TATTATTATTATTATTGTTATTATATGAGACCAGTCTTAGTTGAATGATGACTAGCCTTGTAGCGACTGGAAAACGCACAGCTCTCTCTGGTGAAGAATTCTCGAGACGTGGAACTATTTTATGGGAAGGCGACGGTTTCAGTAAAGTAATGGTCTTTACAGTTGCTGTGGGTTTTCCGGTCAGGAAAACTACAGCAACTGTAACGACCGTTGGCTTACGGAGGACCAGGAGGACATCCGTGTTGTCTGCGTGCTGTCTGCGTGCTGTCTGCGTGCTGTCTGCGTGTTGCATGCCTAATCCCTCGCTGTTCGGTCGCACCTCCCGATGTGGAAAAAATCCGACCAGACCCCAGAAGTAACGGAGGGAGAGGGGGGCGGGCGGGCGGGCGGGCGGGCGGGGGGGGGGGGAAAGACGGACAGACGGACGGACGTGCGGTCGGCTTCGTTGCGCGAGAGGACCGACTGTGCCGTCGCCCGGGCAACGCAAACCTAGTTACCCAAACTTAAACACATTCCGGAGATATTAAAAAGTCCTCTTTAGGAATTCTGGCCGCGCGCGTCGGGAGAATTTTAATTTTGCTTAATGCGAGCTGACATGATTTTTATGAGTTTGGGGCTGATGTTTCCTTCCATTAGTCTAATCAGAGTGGCGGTGGGGAGTGGGGAGTGGGGGGGGAGGGGGGGGAGGGGGGAGGGAGGGAGGGGGGTGTTGGGGGGGTTGGGGGTGTGGGGGTGTGTGATGGCAGAAGCTCCGGTAATCCGTTGCAATCTTCCCGGGGAGTCCCTGTAGCTCAGCGGTGGGAGCGCTCGTCTCTCGCACTCCGCAGGGCCCCGGGGGTTCGATTCCCGGCTGTCTCCGAGCCGAGCCTCAGGCAACGTTCCTTACTCGCTCACACTCACACGCACACTCACTCACACTCACACGCACACTCACACGCACACTCACACGCGCACTCACACACTCACTCACACACACTCGCGCGCACGCACACTCGCACACACACACTCACGCACTCACTCACACACACTCGCGCACGCTCGCACACACACTCTCACACACACTCACACACATACACACACACACTCAACTCACACACACACTCACACACACACTCACACACACACACACTCCTGTGAAGCGCTTTGAGACGTCTCGAAGACGTGATACGGCGCTGTGTCGAATGCAACGATTATGATTATTATTATACATAATCCACTTCGCAGGATTTACTGTAAAGTGTAGTGACTGTGCTTTGCAGGTGAACTCTCGCCCTCTTTCTCTCTCTCTCTCTCTCTCTCTCTGCCTGTTTTCGGAGTCGTCGCTGGGTGCAAGTTGGCGGCCGCGTTCGCCCGCAGAGCACACAGTCACTACACTTGGCAGCGAAATCCCGCGCAGCGCTTTGAGATGCCTCGAAGCCGTGACTTGCGTTTGGCGTCCGGTACGGCGCCATTTCGCGAGAGGGTGTCTTGAACCGCTTCGCGGGAGACACTGACGAGGTCGTAGATTTGAATGCAATAATTATTATCTGTTGTATATCGTTGTCTCCCCACGTGACCTCCTCTGACTTCCTCTCTCTCCCCTCACAAAGGTCCCCGTTGCCTCCGTTCCTCCGGCTCTGGCCTCCTCCTCGTCCCCCGAGTCCTCCGCTCCACCCTCGGCGGCCGAGGCTCTGGAAGTCCCTTCCTCGCTCCCTTCGCCTCACCCCCTCCCATCCCATTCTCAGGTCTCTGCTGAAGACCTTCCTCTCCGACCGCACCTTTGGTCACGTCCCCCCCTCCCCGGCTCGGCCCAGGGAATCCCTCACTGTAAAGCCCTCTGAGACGCCGTCCGGGGCGAAGGGCGCTATATAAATCCAAGTTGTCGTCGTCGTTGGGTGTGTTATTGGTGTGAATCCAATTCATCGATGCCCTGTAATGCTCGGAACCTCCCCCCAGTGTCTTGTCCCGGTCTAATCAGTCCAGAGAGCTCACCCGCGAAGGTCACGGAGGGAAGGACGTACATTTTTGCGGCGTTTTGTGGCATTAAAAAGCACCTCAGGGCACGTGGCAGTAAAGAGTAGTAACTGTTTTCGTAAGCAAAGAGCCCTTTTGCTCTTCGGAGCCTGAGAGCGCGGGGTTCGAGCCCTCGCCTCGCAACGGAGAGGACCCGGGTTCGGGTCCCGGGTCGGGGCGAAACCTTAGGCAAGTTTCCTTACTCCACACCCACACACACACACACACCCACACACTAGTTAGTCGACTAATCGATTGTTAATTGATTGGTGGTGGATCACTTTCTGGAGGTAATAATCCCTCCCCAAAATAAATAAAGAAGAAGAGTAATAATAATCATTAAATGAAGAAAGAAAGTTCCGCGACTGCCTGCGCGGGCGCTGCCGGGCGCAATCGAGCTGCCGTGTTTCCCCCCCCCCCCCCAAGAAAATGCAGCAGTCACAACACTTCACAATAATAATAATAATAATAATAATAATAATAATAATAGTAATCGTTGCATTTGATATAGCGCTTTTCACGTCTTCTCGACCTCTCAAAGCGCTTTCACAGAATAGACCGTAAAGTGAATGGACCGTATACTTGTGGGCGAAACGCGGCGGCCGGTGGCGCGGCGGCGGCGTCCCCGCGAACAGCCGCGGGTTGAAAATGACCCGATTTATTATTGTGTTCGGTTGACTGGAAGTGATTATTATGAGGCGGGCGGAGTCCGGAAACTCGCCCAAGGTCTCGCCCGGCCCTGGAATTGAACCCGTGAAGCGCTTTGAGACGTGACCAGGCGCCGTAACGAAGGCGAGGATTCTGATCGGGGTTCTGGGTGGCGAAACGAGAGCGGAGTGTGCGCGAGACCTGTTTCCAATCCCCCTTTATGAAGCCCGTCAGTTGCTCGGCTTAAAGAGCTGCTAATTAATCCCCGCGTTATTGCTTTCTCCTCGACGAGCGTCTGGAATGCTAATGAAACGACCGGAGGCCGTGCCCCACATCTGTCGATCTCACCCGCCGCTAACCGGCTCTTTATTTTATCCCGTGTCGCCTCAGAGCTTCGTCGGGGCCCCTCCGGGAAACCGTCAGGGTTTCCGCTCTAAACCCGTTCGCCCAACGCAGCGCGAACCGCGTCCCTCCGAGGCAGAGGATTTAGTTTGGCGCATTGTTATCGGGGCAATTGTTTGATTATGTGTCCTCGTAAAGCTGCCCCTCTCCGCACACACACACACACACGCACACACACACACACGCACACACACACACACACGCCCACCCCGCCACCGGCCAGCCACAGCACGGGTTAGCAGAGACTTTACCGGCCGTGCGTGACCGAACACACGGTCACTCCACTTTACAGTGCATCCCGCGGAGCGCTTTGAGACGTCTCGATGACGCGATGAGGCGCTGGTCTAATAATAATAATAATAATCCTTGCATTTTGATATAGCGCTTTTCACGTCGGGCGGACGTCCCAAAGCGCTTCACAGAACACACTGTAAAGTGAATTGACTGTATATTTGTGGGCGAACGCGGCAGCCAATTGCGCACAGCAATGTCCCACAAACAGTCGTGGATTGAAAATGACCAATTTATTATTATTTTTGGTTTTGAAGGGACTATTATTAGGCTCTGTGTGGAGTAAGGAAACTTGCCCGAGGTTTGGCCCTCTGCCTGGATTGAGCTCAGGTCCACTGAGCTACAGGACGAATGCCCATCTGAATGCGAGGGTTGTAATTTTTTTTAATAAAAAATATTATTATTGGGGATTTGAAGCTCCCTTCACGCTGTCGGTCCGTGCTCCCAGATCAGATCAGATCAGACGCTGCAGTGCCTGCTGTGTACATAAACCACATCTGCCGATCTGTTTCAACAAGATTTTTGGTGACATTTTGAGTGTCGTTCCCACGTAACTCCTGTGTTGTTCCGCATTGTGGCTGTGTCTCAGTGGTTAGAGCGCTTGGGTTCATCTGGCAAGTTTCCTTACTCCACGGCAGCAAACAGAGCTCACGATCTCTCAAAAGAATAAGGAAAAGAAATATATAAAGATAATAATAATTTGGTCGCTCGATCCCTGATTTGTTTGCGGGGACGTTCCTGTGCGCAATTGGCTGCCGCGTTTCGCCCGCAAAACGTACAGTCGCTGGACTTCACAGTGTATTCTGTGAAGCGCTTTGAGACGTCTCTGAAGACGTGATAAGGCGCTGTGTCAAATGCAAGGATTATTATTACTATTATTATTATTATTATTACTATTGCTCTGAGACCCGGGACAAGCTCAGTGGGCGGATGATTCTATTCCTCTCACGTCGCTCCCCGTGTTATATAATGATAATAAATCCGCGCTATGGATACAGCGCCTTATCCCGTCGTCGAGACGTCTCGACGTGATTCCCGGAACAGACCGCAAAGTAAATTGACCGACTGTATACTTTTGTGGTCGAAACCCGGCATCCAAATGCACTCCGCAGCGCCCCGTGGATTGAGTGACCGCATTATTATTATTTTTGGGTTTTATTTATTCATTTCGAAGGGAGTATTACCCCCGGAAAGCGATCCCTCCCCCCACCCCCCCCCCCCCCCTCCCCATCAACTAACAACCGGGTTCCTATTTACTGCTGGGTAAACAGAGGCGTGCGTGTGCGTGTGCGTGTGCGTGTGCGCGTGTGTGTGGAGTAAGGAAACTTAACCCAAGGTTTCGCCACCTAAAAATTTCATGTCATTTACGTGTTGCTCCCGTGTTCTTTACACGTTTGCTCCCGTGTTGCTTACACGTTTGCTCCCGTGTTGCTTACACGCTTGCTCCCGTGTTATTCACACGTTTGCGCCCGTGTTGTTTACACGTTTGCCCCCGTGTTGTTTACACGCTTGCTCCCGTGTTATTCACATGCTTGCTCCCGTGTTATTCACACGTTTGCTCCCGTGTTGCTTACACGCTTGCTCCCGTGTTATTCACGCGTTTGCTCCCGTGCGGTGCACGTGTTCCTCTGCACTACTCCCGTGTGGTTTCCCCCATGTCTTTCCAGGCTCTTCACCACCAAGTGCAGCGGCTGCCTGAAGGCCGTGGCCCCCTCGGAGTTTATCATGCGTGTGCTGGGCAACGTGTATCACGTCAGCTGCTTCTGCTGCTGTGAGTGCGATCGGCGCCTGCAGCGAGGGGACGAGTTCGTGCTGAAGGAAGGGCAGCTCCTGTGTCGCAGCGACTACGAGAAGGAGCGAGAGATGCTGAGTGCCATCAGCCCAGCGCCCACCGAGTCAGGTAACCCTCGCCTCGCCTCGCCTCGCCCCGCCTCGCCTCGCCTCGGGGTATTGAGCGACACGGGGCAAGGGACGGTAATTGGGAGTTGAGGTACAGATCAGCTCTTGCAGAACGGCGGAACGGGCTCGAGGGGCTGAATGGCCTCCTCCCGTTTCCTATGTATCTATGATCCAGGTTCGAGTCCCCCCCCCGGGCGGGTCGGGATTGGGATTGGGAGTGTGGTTGGGATTGGTTGGGATTGGGAGTGTGGAGGGCGGGGAGGGTGGGGGTTAGGAGGGTGAACGAAGGCTCCGTCGAAGAAGAGGGTCTTGACTCGAGCCGTGAAGGAGGCGAGGGAGGGGAGCAGAGGCGGAAGGTTTGAGAGGCAGAGCTTTCCAGAGCTTCGGGGGGTGGGGGCGTGGGGGGTGGGGGGGGTGGGGGGGGGCGGCGTAGTGGCTGAAAGCTACTAATAGCGCTTGCGTTCCACACAGAGCCTTATCAGGTTGTAGCGCCGTCTCGAAGCGCTTCGCCGGACACGCTAAAGCGAATTGACTGTCGGTATTTCGCGGGCGCAACGCGCAACAGCCACGTCCCGCAAACACTCGTGGTTCAAGCGCTCCCGAGACACGACCCCACACGAAGGACGTCACGTAGACACAAGCTGTTGTTGTGATTGTTACTGGATCAAATGACCAAATTATTATTATTCTTTATTTACATTTAATATAATTCCCACGCGACCCGCCCCCCGGGGAATCGAACCCGGGCCGTCTCGCTTGCGAGGGCTCTCGAACCTCTACGCTACAGGATGTCACCGTGTGCAAATTGTTCCTTATTCTCGGCCCCTCTCTCTCTCTCCCTCTCTCTCCCTCTCTCTCTCTGTGCGCGTATTTCGCCTGTAGTGAAGAGTGAGGATGAGGATGTGTGTCCTGGGCAGCTCCAGTGTAAGAGCGGTGACGAAGGTAAAGATCACAAGAGGTCCAAGCGGCCACGCACCATACTGACCACCCAGCAGAGGAGGGCCTTCAAAGCCTCGTTCGAGGTCTCGTCCAAACCGTGCAGGAAGGTAGGAGTGCGAGAGAGTGAGAGAGAGAGAGAGTGAGAGTGAGTGAGTGAGAGTGAGTGAGTGAGCGAGTGAATGAGTGAGCGAGTGAGCGAGTGAGTGAGTGAATGAACGAGCAAGAGAGTGGCTAGGTGGATGGGTGAGTGAGTGAGTGAGTAAGTGAGCGAGTGAGCGGGTGAGTGAGCGAGTGGGTGAGCGAGTGAGTGGGTGAGCGAGTGAGTGAGTGAGCGAGTGGGTGAGCGATTGAGTGAGTGGGTGAGCGAGTGAGTGAGTGAGTGAGTGAGCGAGTGGGTGAGCGAGTGAGTGAGTGGGTGAGTGAGTGAGTGGGTGAGTGAGTGAGTAAGTGGGTGGGTGAGTGAGTGAGTGAGCGAGTGGGTGAGCAAGTGAGTGGGTGAGCGAGCGAGTGGGTGGGTGAGTGAGTGAGTGAGTGAGTGGGTGAGTGAGTAAGTGGGTGAGTGAGTGAGTGAGTGAGTGAGTGGGTGGGTGGGTGAGTGAGTGAGTGAGTGGGTGGGTGGGTGAGTGAGTGAGTGAGCGAGGGAGTGGGTGAGCAAGTGAGTGGGTGAGCGAGCGAGTGAGTGAGCGAGTGAGTGGGTGAGTGAGTAAGTGGGTGAGTGAGTAAGTGGGTGAGTGAGTGGGTGAGTGAGTGAGTGAGTGAGCAAGTGAGCGGGTGAGCGAGAGAGTGAGTGGGCGAGTGAGTGAGTGAGTGAAAAAAAATTGGTTAGGAGTGTGACTCAATCCACACAACTGTTTGTGAGACGCTGCTGTGTGCATTGACTGCCGCATTTTCCCACAAAGTACACAGTCACTACACTTTATAATATATTCTGTGAAGCGTTTTGAGACGCCTCAATAACATGAGGAGACACTGTATCAAATGCAAGGATTATTATTATTATTATTATTATTATCGTTGTTGTCATTATTAGTGTTATTATTAGTGTTATTATTATTAGTGTTGTTATTAGTGTTGTTATTAGTGTTTATTATTGTTGTTATTAGTGTTATTGTTGTTATTAGTGTTATTATTATTGTTATTATTAGTGTTATTGGTGCTATTATTAGTGTTAGTGCTATTGTTGTTCTTATTATTGTTATTATTTGTGTTATTATTATTAGTGTTGTTATTAGTGTTATTATTGTTATTATTAGTGTTATTATTAGTGTTATTGTTGTTATTAGTGTTATTATTATTGTTATTATTAGTGTTATTGTTAGTGTTATTATTATTAGTGTTGTTGTTATTATTGGTGTTATTATTAGTGTTATTAGTGTTATTGTTATCATTAGCGTTATTGTTGTTGTTATTAGTATTATTGTTAGCGTTATTATCATTGTTGTTGTTATTAACACTATTATTAGTGTTATCGTTGTTGCCAGTGTTGTTGTTGTTATTATTATTGTTGTTGTTGTTGTTGTTGTTCCAGGTCAGGGAGACGTTGGCCGCTGAGACAGGCCTCACTGTGCGAGTGGTGCAGGTCTGGTTTCAGAATCAACGAGCGAAGGTGAGAGCTTCACGTTCTCCTCGACCTCCCTCCCTCCCTTCCTCCCCCCCTCCCTCCCTCCCACCCTCCCTCCCCTTCCCTCCCTCCCTCCCTCCCAACTCGCCTCCAAAACCATCCTCCGCCAACCTGGAGAGATCAAGACATTTGACCCTCCCTCTTTAGGGGGATTGAACCCTTGTCGGATCGACTTCAAGATCCTCTCGCTCGTCTTCAAATCCCTTCGCACCCTCGCGCCTCCCTACCTCCTCCCTCCCTCCCTCCCTCCCTCCCTCCCCGCCCGCCTCCAAATCCCGTTGAAAGACCTTCCTTCTTGATGGTGCTTACGGCCCCCTCTCCCCTCCCTCGCCCACGCGCTCGGGGTCAAGTGACTCCGCCACTGTCAAGCGCTCCTGTGTGAAGGGCGCTGTGTAAATGCACGTCGTCGTTGTCGTGGTGGTGGTGTTGTTGTTGTTGTTGTCCGGGATATTGGCGTAAAAGGTTCAATTCCTTGCGTTAAGTATGTGAGCGAACAACCAGCAAAACCCGGTTTGCTCTCCGGGTGAGTAGAATCCTCTTTCAGTTGGACCGGACGCCATTTTTTTTTCGCTCTAACGCAGTAGGTTTTTTATTGTGATTTGGGGGGGAATTGGTGAGAGCTGTGACGGAATTTTCTTGGTTTGCCCGTCCTGTTTCCTGGGCTTGATCCCCCTGAGCGGGGCTCAGTGCACTGGGGCCTAGGTTATAGGTTATAATAATAATAATGATAATAATAATAATAATAATCCTTCCTTGTAAAGTGAATTCACTCCCATGTTTTGTGGGCGAAACGCGGCAGCCAATTGCGCACAGCGGCGTCCCCACAAACAGTCGTAGATCGAGTCACCGATTTATTCTTTTGTTTATTTGGTTCTTTTTGGGGGGGAAAGAAATTATTACTCCCCTGGAAAGCGATCCACCAATTGTCTGACAACCGGGTTCCTACTTACTGCCGGGTAGCCACAGGCGAGCGCGCGTGTGCGTGTGCGTGTGGCGTAGGGAAACGTGCCTAATGTTTTCCTTTGCCCGAGCGAGAATCGAACCCAGGTCCTCTGGCCTGCGAGGCGAGGGCACTGACCACTGAGCCGCAGGACCCCGCGGCACGAACGCTGGTCCATACTCAGCTGTGATGACCTTGAGATCCCCACCTTCGTGCATATATCTAACCCCTTCAGGCCCTGTAACCTCCCCATCTCACCTTGAGGGTGGAATCCTGCGGTGCAGGGGTTAAGCCCTCTCCCCTCGCGAGCGGGAGGACCCGGGTTCGATTCCCGGTGGGGGCGAAACCTTAGGCAAGTTTCCTTACCCCCCCCCCCCGCCCCCCACACACCCGCGCACGCACACGCGCCTCTGTTTACCCGTCAGTAAGTAGGAACCCGCCCTGAGACGTCTCGAAGACGTGATAAGCCGCGATGTCCAAGGACTATTATCACTCAGGAACGTAGGGACAGGAGTGAGCCATTCAGCCACTCGAGTCCGTCCCGAAAGGATTAAATTGAAGTATTAAGTTATTACGGCCACTTTATAATTGCAGGTTTAAAGCGGAGGGGAGTGGGGGGTGGGGGGGGGTCTCGCTAATTCTCCGGGTGTTTTCCGGGCTGGGAGACGCGGGATTTTTAACCCGCCTTTCTTTTTTTTTTCCGCCGCCCAGATGAAGAAACTGGCTCGACGGCAGCAGCAGCAGCAGCAGCAGGAACAGGAGCAGCTCAACAACCAGCGGCTGAGGTCAGGGCGCGGGACAGCTCGAGCCTCCAGGCAGAGCAACGAGGATAGTGAAGGTGAGAGCGGAGAGAGAGCCGCGAGAGGGGGGGACTCGATAATAATGATAATAATAATTATAATTATTGTCATAATAATCCCTCGTTTGGTACAGCGCCGTTGAGCGGATATGTTGTGGGTCAAACGGCACTGCCAATTGCCCGCAGCAAGTGCCCCGCAAACAGCCGTGGATCCAGACTTATCTCGAAGGGTCAATTAACCCCCCCACCCCACCCACCCACCCACCCGGAAGCGAACCCGGGTCCTCTCGCCTGCGGGGCGAGCCCCTCTCAACCCACTTCAGGAGGAATAATAATAATAATAATAATAATCCTTGCATTTGATGTAGTGCCTTATCTTACCGTTGAGCACTCGCTCGCTCACTTGCTCACTCGCTCACCCGTTCACTCACTCACTCACTCACTCACTCACTCACTCACTCACTCACTCACTCACTCACTCACTCACTCACTCACTCACTCACTCATTCCCTCCCTCCCTCGCTCGCTCGCTCATTCACTCCCTCCTTCCCTCGCTCGCTCGCTCCCTCATCGACCCTCCCTGACGCACTGACCCTGTGTTGCTGTGTTGCTGTGTGTGTGCGTGTAGATGCCGTGAGTGCTGTGGGCCTGGAGGGTCTGATGCTGTCCTATCCCTCCCTGCAACGCCAGCAGCTGATCGGCCTCGACCAAAACAGCTACAACACGGATCACTTCCGGCAGGGCCTCACCCCGCCGCAGATGCCCGGTGACCACATGCATCCTTACGGTGAGTCCACCATCGCGAGAGTGGCCGTGCTCTCTCTCTCTCTCTCTCAGCCAGAACCCCCCCCGATACTCCGGGACCCTCTCCCTCTATCCCTCCGCCTCGCACCCTCCACACCCCCACCCCCCACCCCCACGACCCACCCTTTCCTTTCCCGTCTTCAGGTCAGTCGTGCCTGACGACCTTCCTCTTGGACCAGTGGTTCCAGTCACTTCTCTCTCACGTGACTCATAATTATTATTATTAATAATAATAATAATAAATCCTTGCATTTGATATAACTCTTCCATACCTTTGAGAGGTCTCAGTGACATGATAAGGCGCTGTATCAAACCGTACAATCGTACAGCACAGAAGGAGGCCATTCGGCCCACCTTGCCTGCGCCAGCTCTCTTAAGAGCGATCCAACTAGACCCTCTCCCCCACTCTTACCCCCCCACCACCGCCCCCCCAACACACACAGCCCCGCAAATTTTTCCCTTTCAAGTAGGTATCCATTCTCAAATTCATGTATTATTATTATTATTACTATTATTATTATTATTAGTTATGTTATATTATACCCTGAAACTCTGGAACGTTCTTCCTCTATCCCTCCGCCTGGTTCCCTCCTTCCCCCCCATCTTCGGGGCGCATCCGAAGACCCTCCGCTTTGACTGTACCTACGGTCACCTCCGCGCCCCCCCACCCCCATCGCCCTGCGTGAGGAGGGGGGGTGGGGGGCGCCGCCGGTAAACGTAGGTCGTTGTGGTGCTTCCGGGAGGTTACAACTGGTTGATCCCAAGTGAAGGGATTGGGTTCTAAGGCCTTCTCTGCTCCTGTGGCTCAGATTCCGACGCAGTTTTCCACGACATGGACGGCGAAGGTTCCCTCAGTCACCTCGGAGATTGTCTGCTCACCACCTCGGAACCCAACCTCCTGCCGAGCAGAGTTGGGAATCCCATAGATAGGCTGTACTCCATGCAAAGCTCGTACTTCACCTCCTGATCTGCTGGTCTGCCACCTCCTTCCTGATCCTTCAAGACCTCGTTTCTGTTCCTAGTTTGGGGGAGGGGGAGCGGGGGGCCGGGCGGCCGGGCGGGCGGCGGGCGGGGTGGGGGGGTTGGTGGGCGGGGGGGGAGAGAGAGGGGAGAGGGTGGATGGGAAGGGGAGGGGAGGGAGGGAGGGAGAGGGAGGGAGAGGGAGAGAGGGGAAAGAAAAAAATCCGCATTGTTTTCAACTGAAGAGTGAAGAACAATCGTGTTTTCGTTCGACTTGAGACGGATATTGTAAAAAAAAACATTTGCAGGAACCTCACACTTTGGATCCCTGAGATCCCATCCCATGGCTGTTTATATTCAACCCTAAGTATCAGACAGACAGACAGACAGACAGACAGACAGACAGACAGACAGACAGACAGACAGACAGACAGACAGACAGACAGACAGACAGACAGACAGACAGACAGACAGACAGACAGACAGACAGACAGACAGACAGACAGACAGACAGACAGACAGACAGACAGACAGACAGACAGACAGACAGACAGACAGACAGACAGACAGACAGACAGACAGACACCTGCCCGCTCCCTGGGGCCTCCTGTCTTGGCCCTTCTCTCTCAGTGACGTTACACCGAAGGGAATCTTGGTGGACGTTGGCAGGACATCGCTTTGCCCGGATTGGCTGTGAAACGGACAGTCACTACACCTTACAGCCAATCCCCCGAAGCGCCTTGAGACGTCCTCCCGATGCGAAGGGCACCGGGTCGACATGTGAGGTTTATTACTCTGAGTATTATTACTAACAAGGTCATTTGGACGAAGGTGGAGATTATGTCTGTAAACTCCCTCTCGCTCTGACCTGGTGAGTACTGATTCCTGCCACAGCCGATAGCAAGGCGAGGGGCGGGGGGGGGGGGGGGGAAGTGGGGTGTTGGGGTAGACGGCAGAGGGAGGAACCACTTTATTGAGGTGTTGAGAGGTAATACAATACATTACACATTACACTTACACGGCCCCTCTCGCGTCGGGAGGACGTCCCGAGGCGCTGGACAGTCAGGGATTTGGACCCGAGCCGGGGGCGGCGGCGGGGGGGGGGAATTGGCTGCTGGGTTTCACCCACGAAATACACAGTCACTACACTTTCCTGTGAAGCGCTTTGAGACATCGCGGCAACGCAATAAGGCGCTGTATCAAATGCGCGGATTATTATTATTTAGTCACAGACAATTATTGCTGAACCTCCGTACAGGTTGTTGCGCACTGGCTGCAGTGAACTCTTTGACGAAGCTTTCAATCATCTCCCACCCCCCCACACACCCCCCCGACCCACCACCCACCACCCCGTATAGAAATGTAAGTGATATTTTATGATAGGAAATCCGAAGGCAAGGACCTTTGGTTCAAAATAAGGGGCGATAAAATAATAATCCTTGCATTTGATACAGCACCTTATCACGTCGTCCAGACGTCTCAAAGCGCTTCACAGGATATATTGCGAAGTGACTGTATATTTTGTGGGCGAAACACAGGAGCCAATTGTGCACAGCAGTGTCGCACTCCCACAAACAAACAAATTACCCCAAATTTACCAACGAATCCAAATCCACTGTCACCTCAGGTCAATAACCCGATTCCAAGATTGTTCTGGGATTGCTTATTATTATTGAATTTATTTCTTTGGAGGGATTATTACCCCCGGAAAAGCGATCCGCCAATCGACTAACACCCGGGTTCCTACTTACTGCCGGGTAAACAGAGGCATGTGTGTGCGTGTGTGTGTGTGTGGAGTAAGGAAACTTGCCTAAGGTTTCGTCCTGACCCGGGAATCGAACCCGGGTCCTTTCGCTTGTGAGGTGAGAGCGTTAACCACTACACCGCAGGACTCCACAGATCCGACAGGGCCTGGCAGGAGGGATTTATCTGTTGTTAAAAGGAGTCACGGGGCACGTTGAATTTACGGTTCCGCCAACAAGGAACTGTAAAGGGTGTGAAAAGGAAAGTGGATCTCGCATTTGTATAGCGCCCTTCGTGCCGGGTGGCTTCTCAGAGCTAAAAGTTATTAGGCGATGAGGTAAGACGTTAGAAGTTTACCCAGATCAACACAGTAGAACAAGAGGACACGGGTTTGAGTTGCAGAGGGGCAATTTCAGGACAGACACCAGGAAGTGTTTCTTTACCCAGAGGGTAATTAACGAGTGCGTCGAGGTGATGAGGACTGATGAGTCAAAGGGTCTTCTTCATCCAAAACCATCTCCGTGAGGAAACCTTTGGGCCGTTGGATAGGCAGCAAGATGGATTTTGTTCCCCCAATTGGATGGTGTGATGGAGGTCATGAGGGAGGCCGGAGCCAGTCGAGCGGAGGCAGTGGGTAGTGGGTTGGGGAGTAAACGGGTTGGAGAGGTATGGAGGTGCCAGGGCGTACTTGATTGTATTCAGTACAAGTGTTTACAATACAATCCCAAACTACACGTCGAGAGGACGTCTCAAGGCTCTGGACAGTCAGGGATTTGGACCCGAGCCGGGGGTTGGGATCAGGAGGGTAGTGGAGGGTGGGGAGGGTGGGGGTAGGAGGGTGACCGAAGGCGCGATTCGAAGAGGATGGTCTTGAGACGGGCTTCGAAGGAGGCGAAGGAAGGGGGCGAGACGCAAGGTGTGGAGTCCCAAAGGGCAGAGAGGCTGAAGGCCCGACCACCTCACTTCAGAAAAGGTGTTATGGCTTTCGAGGGATTGCGGAGGCGGTTCACAAGAATGATTTCGGGGGACGAAGAAACGATAGTTATGGCGAAAGAGATTAGGAGAGAGTTGGTCTGTTTTCGTTGGATCAAAGAACATTGGGAAGGGACCTCGTAGAGGCGTACTGAACTCTGAAGGGTTTCGACAGGGTGGTTGGACGTGGATTGCTGTAGAGTAGCGGTTAGAGTGCTCGCCTCACAAGCGAGAGGACCCGGGTGGGCCGAAACCTTAGGCAAGTTTCCTTACGCCACACGCCTCTGTTTAACTCGCAGTACGTAGGAACCCGGTTGTTAGTCGAATGGTGGATCCCTTCAAAAAAAATTTGATCGCTCAACTGTTTGTGGGACACCCCTGTGCTCAATTGGCTGCCGCAAATCATAGCAGTAAGACACTATCTTTTGCTAACTAGCGGTAAGTAGGAGCCCGGTTGTGAGTCGATTGGGGGATCACTGTTCATGGGTGGGGGGGGGGGGAAACTGCAGATGCTGGAAATCTGAAAACAAAAATAGAAGTAGCCGGGAACACTCAGCAGGTCAGGCAGCATCTATGGAGAGAGGGAAGTGAGAGGAAAGTGAGAGGAACGGCCCACGACCCTTCGTCAGAACTGGGGTCTGTTTGGGAGGGAGAGGCTTTCAAGGGCTAACAGAGAGGGGGGGAGTCAGGGCAAGGAAGACAAAGGAGAAAATGGGGTCGAGGACAGGGGGACGGTGGGTTAAAGAGGTGTTAATGATGCAAAACAAAGTGGGGGATTGCAACAAAACAGGGGAATAGAGGTGTTAATACCGCAGAACAAAAGTGGGGGTGAAGGGGGGGGGGTGGGGGTGACTGTTTATGGGACGCTGTGTGCGGAATTGTCTGCCGCGTTTCGCCCAGAAAATACAAAGTGGAAAGAAAGAACATTTCTAGAGCACCTTATCACGTAGGAGCAGGAGTAGGCCATTCAGCCGCTCGAAACGCCTCGAAACGGCTCAACGACACGATAAGATAGACACTACACCGAATAAAGAGCTCCCCACCGGTTAGCTTGGCGGATGAGGACGACTGCCACCGGCGAGGTTCGCCCCTTCTTCGGGAGAGTGGGAGAATTCATTGAGTACAAGGATAATAATCTTTGCCTTCGACGTTAGCGCCTTAATCACGTCTCCGAGGGCACGCCGGGGCCAAGCGTTCGACAGGCCGGCCCGGCCCGGCCCGGATGGTCGGAAGGACTTGGAATGGCGGAGCAGTCACCGTGGTGGTGGTTGGTTGGGGGGGGGGTTGGGTGTTGGGGGGGGGGGGGTGTGGCAGGGAATTTAACGTCTTGAAAGCTTCGCTCGAGCTAACGACTTTCGCTCAGGGGGCCCGTTGCCAGACTGAGGCAGAGAATAACTAGCGCTGGTGATAATTGGCACGCGGGGGCAGATTTGGCTTTCCATCTCACCGCCTCGGGCGGCCTCGGGTTTCAGTGTCGGTTTGGGACGTTCTGTACCAAATTAGCTCAACTCTTAAAAACGGTTTCCCTCGGCGACCCCGGCAGGTGGAAGGAAAGAAGAACGTGCATTTCTAGAGCGCTCCTCATCGTGTAGGAACAGCAGGAGGCCATTCAGCCCCTCGAGCCTGTTCCGCCATTCTATTAGACCGTGGCCGACCTGTACCGCAACTCCTTCTACCCGCCTTTGCTCCATATCCCTTGATACCCCGTGTCCAAACTTCTCAAAGAGCCTCACCGTCATCGGTGTCAAGTGTAGCGTCCCTTCCTTTTTTTTTTTCGCGGGTAGGTGACCGCGGCGGGAATTTTGTTGGCGCCAAGATTTGTGGAGTCCTGTCGTGTAGCGGTTAGAGCACTCGCCTCGCGAGCGAGAGGACCCGGATTCGACTCCCGGGCAGGGAATAAGGCGCTGTATCAAATGCGAGGATTATTATTATTATTATTATTGAACCGCACGGCGTGTCTGTGCGTCTGTGCCCTGTTCAGGTGGACGTTAAAAGGTCCCACGACTCTATTGGGAAAGAGGAGTGTCTTCTCCCCCCACCCCCCCACCCCCACCACTCTCTGTCTCTCTCTCTCCCCCCCCCCCCCCCCCGATGTCCTGCCCGACAATCCCCCAGATAAAAGCGCTCATTCACTTCACGGCTTCGCGGAACGTTGCGGCGCCTACAAAACACACAGTCACTACGCAAGCCGTGTCGACGACGTGATGAGGCGGTGGATCAGATGTACGGGTTGCGTACATAGGGTGTGTACCCTCGAGCACGGCTCCCTCCGAGCGCGCAAAACCCTACCGGCGCCGCCCAGCGCCTTGGGACGTCCTCCCGCCGCGAAAGGCCACGTGCAAGCGCAGCGCGTTGCTGTTGCGTCCACGCGCCCGAGGGTGGGACCCACACTGCAGACGATGTAAAAAAAAACGCGGTCACTTAACCCACGGCTGTTTGCGGGGACGCTGCTGTGCGCAGTCGGCTGCCGTGTTTCGCCCACAAAATACACTGTCAATCCACTTTACAGTACATCCTGTGAAGCGCTTTGAGACGTCTCAACGTTGTGATAAGGCGCTGTATCAAATGCAAGGAGTATTATTATTATTATTATTATAGGGGCGCTCACACGCCTCAGTCACTGACGACTCCCGTGAGACGTGTGTTTTTAATGTGTGCTGAATATTTAATTATTTATGTTAGGGGAAAGTTAATTATTGTACCACAGCGTGTTTTATTGTTTCGTTAACTGATTAAAAAAAAGGATTTTAAATGTGATGCAAACTCCTACGGTTTGTTGGGCAAGTCTCGTTTTTCTCCGCGCGACTGTGTGCGCGTGTGAACGTGCGTCTGTGAGCGCGTGCGCATGTCTGTGCTTGCACGCACGTGGGTGTGTGTACGTGAGTGTGTGCATGAGTGTGTCTTGTGCTTGCATGCATGTGGCTGCATGTGCCTGTGTGTGTCTGTGTATGTGTGCGCGCGTATCTGTGAGTGTGTGTGTGTGCGCGCGTCCGTGTGTGTGTATCTGTGTGAGTGCGTCTGTATCTGTGTGAGTGTATGTGTGTGTGCGTCAGTCTGTGTATGTGAATGTGTGTGTGCGTCTGTGTGTGTGTGTGGGTGTGTGCGTCTGTGTGTGTGTGTGTGTGGGTGTGTGCATCTGTGTGAGTGTATGTGTGTGAGCGTCAGTCTGTGTGTGTGGATGTGCGTGTGAGCGTATCGGTGCTTGCGTGCGTGCGTGCGTGTGTGTGTGTGTGCGCGCGCGAGTGTGTATTGGTTTCAGCCGCGAGAATAAAACAGTCTCTCCTGAAACGTGGTTGACAGGCACGGAGAGCAATCAAACGCAGAGCTGCGTGCGTGTTCATCGCGAGATCAGCTGGCGTTTCCAAGCAAGTCTGTGGAGCGTGTGTCAGCCTGACTCGGTCGGTAGCGCTCTCTCTCTCTCTCTCTCGTGCCTCGCGACCACCCCCCCCCCCCCGACACGTTGGGGCTCTGAGCTCCCCGCAGTCCACGCTCCCGCTCCCGCGCGGTGTCTGGGAACACGCACCTTTGGATGAGACGTTAAGCCCCACCAGTCTGTGCCCCCGTTTAGGTGGACGTTAAAGATCAAAAAAGAGGAGGGAGTGAGCGTGCGTGCACGTGGGAATGTTTGTACGCTTGGGGCGCGCGTGGGTGCATGACAAACGTACGTGTGTAGACAACCATGTACGAGTACCCGCGCCCACGCACGCACACACACACGTACAGCTTCGCACATACACACGTAGAGCACGTACACATGTACACCCACACTTGCAAGTGTGGTTGTGCACATATCGTCCCACATACTGGTTCTTTCACACACACTTGCACACAAGTACACACACACACACACACACCCACACTCAAGCACACCGATAAATACTCAACACACACACGCGCCGACACACAGACAGACCCAAATACATGCAAACACACACCGACACGCACACGCACGCAAACAGACGCAGACACAAATACACACATGCAAACACATACACAAATACACCCACACAACTCAAAGACACACACACACACACAAACATACACGCAAACGCACCCGCAAACAGACACAACTACATACCCACCCACACGTACAAACGTAAGCACACACATACGCCACTACCCAGCCACACACCCAGTCGCTTTGCATCACTAATCTCCCCAGCGAGCACAGGACCTCGAACAATATTTGTGTAGATTTCCCCCCGCGGCTTATATTCATGAATGCACCAGCATTTTAATCAGAGCCAGGCTGGTGCGGTGGGACGCGGGCTAGATTATTACAGATGGGGAAGGGACTCGGTGTCAGGGCCCCAGGGCCAGCTCAGTTTACAGGTAATAAAACTCGGCTCTCTCCCGTGTCAGCCTGACATTTCAATGGGAGCCGCAGACGGGCAAAAGCTCCGTTTGCAGCCATTCACGTCGTCATCACTGGCTTCCCCCCCCCCCCACCGCACCGCGTCTGGTTCCAGGCGGCGCCCGAAAACACCGGGCACCCCACCCCGCGGGGTTGCCGCCGACCCGTGAACCGGGGCCGAGCCCCATCCGCTCCCGCGGTTCGCCCCCGAAACGCGCAGTCGTTCCACTTTACGCTGCGCCCCGCGTAAGACGTCGCGAAGACGCGAGAAGGTGCGATATCAAATGCAAATGATTATTATTGCTTATTATTATTATTATTAAATGGCATTCAGGCACTCGTACTTAAGACGACGGCTTTCTGCGCGGGGAAAAGTTTCGCGGGGAGGGAGTGAGAAAGGGAGGGAAAGAGAGAGAGAGAGAGAGAGAGGGAGAAGGAATGAAGTCGAGAGAGATGGAGGGAGGGGGAGAGGTTGGGAGGGAGTGATTTAGGGAGAAGAGTTCCAGAGACTGTTACAGCACAGGAACACACCAATTGGCCCAACTAATCTGTGCTGATATTTATACGCTCCACAAGCCTCCACCTCTCTCCCTTTCTTTCATAGGAATAGGAGGCCATTCAGCCCCACGAGCCTGTTTCCCCCCCTTTCTATTAGCTCACGACTGATCGGTAGCTCAACTCCGAAGTTCAACTTCCCTCCCCCCCCCCCCCCATGTGCGTCAAGTTTTCTCTTGGCTACTGTACAAACAGCGCGTGTCAGCCTGGCTCTTGCCTCCGAGTCAGAAGATTGTGGGTTCAAGCCCCCACGATGGGACCTTCAAGACATCTAGACATATATCCTGAATATTATCGGGGTAAATTGGGGGGGGGATTGGGTAATCGTCTCTCCACAAGCGTATACCAAAGCTCTCACCCAATCCAGCACAACAGAGCCATCTGTTGGCAGAAGAATGCTTCTACATTATTTTTAACAGGCGGCTATCCTCCGGGTGGTGGGGGTGGGGGGGGGGGGTAATAATCATAATCCTTGCCGTGTGATCTAGCGCCTTGTCACGCCTTCGAGGTGTCTCAAAGGTAAGCGGGGTTTCCTTTGAGCTGGACTGGCTCCAAGGTGACACGTTTGGCCAAGGAATGTCGGAATCAAGCCCACCCTCCGTGGCGGTCTCGGGAGTCCTGTTCCCAAGCCAGGCTGGTCCACAGTACTCCAGGACTTGGGCAGGACATGGAAAGGCAGACCAGACACTAGGTGCGTAGGCATAGGGTAGTATGGGACGCAACTTGTCAAGCGACTGCCAAGATGGTGGAAGGCGAACTAGATGGACCTTGGTCTTCTTTCGACAGCAAATTCTTATGTTCTTATATTCTTATGAATCCTCCCCCTCACCTCCTGTTAACCCCACAGCCAAAGGCCTAACTAACGGGGAGGGTGGTCCCAGCTGGACAAGCAGCGGGAAAGCTCGGCCAGACAGGGCTCTCAATGGCCAAGCTGTGTGTGGCTTTAGCTGGTTAGACCCCAGCAGTTACCCCAACTGCCCTCCCCCCAAGCCTTGGCTCTTGCCAACCTGCGCCTAATACTTTTGTGAATCAGGTAATCAGGAAGCGTCCATCCAGGGAGAGTGCGCGCATTCATAGGAACATGGGAACAGGAGGAGGCCATTCAGCCCTTCAAGACTGTTCTGAGTTTTAATCAGATCACAGTTGATCTGTACCTCAACTAATCCTTTCAATTCCAATTTCCGGCTTTCTCCCCATATCCTTTAACACCCCTGACCTACCAACAATCTATCAACCTCACTCTTGAGCATCCACGGCCTTTTGGGGGAGACAATTGCAGATTTCTACCACCCTTTGTGTGCAAAAACGTTTCCTGATTTCACTCTTAAATGGCCTGGTTCTAATTTTAAGACTATTCCCCCTGGTTTTGGATCCCCCCCCCCCGCCAGAGGAAATAGCTTCTCTCTATCTACCCTATGAAATCCCTTTATCATCTTAAATACCTCAATCAAATCCACCCCTCAACCTTCTGAACTCAAGGGAATCCAATCTAAATGAAGTGCAGCCTTTTCTCCTTAACCCTCTTAGGCCTGGTAACGTTCCATTCCAACAATCTTTCTCTGGGATTTCCATGGGTCGGTGGGAGGCCTGGAATTCTCAGTTGGGTTTGTTTTCTCTTGAGCAACGGTGATGGGTTTCCGTGTGTGTCAAGACACCCGGCTGGGCAAACCAAATGGAACAAATCCCAACCCTTCCCCCAATGTCACGGCAGTGGCGCTCTACCTCTCAGCGAGTAGGAACCCTGTTATGTTTACATTTAGCGTTTCATTCTCAAATCCCTCTGGTCTTTTATTGGCTATCATTATATTTCATCTTTCTGTGTGTACGTAAAAATAAAATCCCACGTCGTCTCAATTCCATAAATTAAAGGCCAGTCTTTTCGGTTACAGTTAAGTCCTGGCCTCAGTTCTGTGCAGTTACATGGCGACACGTCTCAGGCAGTTGTGAAGCTCTCCCCTTCTCCCCTGCCCCCAGCTCTCAAGCGGTGGTCGCAGCGTGTTCGTGCCGGCTCCTGGGGGAATCAGCCTCTGTTAATAACACCCGGGGTCCAGTCACACTTGCTGCTCCACCTTCACCTGGGACACAGAACACCACCCAGGTCAACGGCAGGGAAAGAACCATAGACGTTTAATAATAATAACCCCTGCATTCGATACAGCGCCTTATCACGTCTTCGAGGCGTCTCAAAAGTGCTTCGCAGGAAACACTGAAAAGTGAATTGACGGTATATTTTGTGGGCGAAACTATGACTGTTTGTGGGACGCCGCTGTGCGCAATTGGCTGTCGCGTTTGGCCCACAGGGTACACAGTCAATTCACTTGACAGTATATTCTGTGAAGCGCTTTGTGAAGTCTCGAAGACGTGATAAGGCGCCGTATCACATGCGAGGTTTACCAAAATGCACGGATTAGGGAAATTTATGGCACAGAAGGCGGCCATTTTGCCCATCGTGTCTGTGCCGCTCATTCAAGAGCAGGTTTGAGGGGCTGAATGACCAATGTTCCCACGTTCCTTCCTCTCGCCTCCACTACTCTGTGTCTCAACCCTCCCGCCTTGCCCCCGCCTCAAGACCTATCTCTTGGAGGGCTTTGAGACGTCTCGAAGACGTGATAAGGCGCGATATCAAATGCAAGGATTGTAGAAATCTACAGCACAGAAGACCATCCTCTTCGACCGCGCCTTCGAAGAGGAAGGTCTTGAGACCTCGAAGGAGTTAATCTTCCTTGCCCTTCGCCCCATCTCGATTCCAAGCCCCAGTTCGGGTGCAAACCCTTCGCTGTCTGGGGTCATGGGACGTCATGAGAAAGGTCTCAAGGCGCTGTGCAAACACAATTTGTCATGGTGGTTGTTGATTTACCTAAACTGGGCACTTTGACCTTCTCGGCACAGGCCAGGAACTGGTTGACGTGTTTGGTGCAGCTGACCATCGAAGCCGGGTTCTCTCTCATGCACCGCTCGAAGCTCGCGAAGGGGGCAGAACATTCGCTGCGGATCTTCTGAATGACGGGACTGGGGGGGGCAAACGGAGAGAGAGAGAGGTGGGGGGGTGGGTTAGCCAGGTCACCACAGCAAGCAGTCACTTTCCTTACCCAGGCCGCAACACGGCTGTTTGTGGGGACGTCGCCGTGCGCGCACCGGACTGCCACCATCGCCCGCAAAACGCCAACAAATTGGGGTTTCGGAGAACACGCAGCAGGTCAGGCAGCATCTATGGAGAGAGAGAGGAAAGTGAGTTAACATTTCATCGACCTTCCGTCGATGAAACGTCAACCTACTTTCCTCTCTCTCCATAGATGCTGCCTGACCTGCTGAGTGTTCTTCCCAGCGGCTTCTGTTCTTATTTCACTAATAAATCCCCCTCCCACCCAAAAAAATAAAATAAATTTAATCACTCAATGGGACGCCGCTGTATGCAATCGGCTGCCGGGTTTCACCCATAAAATATAAAGTCACTGCACTTTACAGTGTATCCTGTGAAGCGCTTTGAAAGGTCTCGAACACGTGATAAAGAGCTGTATCAAATGCAAGGATTATTATTATTATTATTATTATAAGAATCTATGAATTCTGTGCCCTGGAGCGCTTGACAGTGGCGGAGTCCGACACCGAGCCAGGGGGAAGAGGGGGGGGGGGGAGGTGATCGTAAGCACGATCAAAAAGGAAGGTCTTTAGGTGAGGTTTGAAGGTGGGGGGGGGGAAGGGGCAAGGCGGAGGGATTGAGGGAGAGAGTTCCAGAGTTTCGGGGAGTAGTGTAGTGGGCTGAAGGCACGGCCACCGATGGTGGAGCGGAGGGAACGAGGGACAAACGGGAGGTCGGAGCCAACTGAACGGAGGCAGCGGGTGGGGGAGTGGGGGGTACACAGGCCGGAGAGGTAGGGAGGTGCGAGGGATATGAAAACGAGTGAGAGGATCATCATCATCATCATCAACTCACTGAGAAGACGTGCACTCAGCCACCTTCATCTTCAGCTGGTGGCAGTCCTGCTGCCAGGTGGAGGGCTTTGAGGTGACGCACTGCCCGTAAGCCTCCATTTCCTCGGCGCAGTGCTTCGCCGTGACCTCCAGGGCCGCCTGCCTGCCAACCACAAGAGAGATGCGGGTTAGAGCCCCAGCGATCAGTGGAAGAGCGAGAGCTCGCCTGTAAGAGTCAGCCTGGCTCAGTCGGTAGCGTTCCTCGCCTCTGAGTCAGGTGGTCGTGGGTTCAAGTCCCCCACACACCGGGACTTGGAATCACGAAGTCTCGGCTGAGGCTCCGATGCAGCGCTGTGGGGGGTGGGGGAGGGGGTGGGAGGGTGTTGCGTTGTCGGAGACACAGTCCTTCGGATGAGACGACGAACCGCGATCGCTGTGCGGTGTACGAATGCAAGTTGTTGTTGTTGTTGTTGTTGTTGAAGTCCCCCCGTCTGCTTGTTCAGTTGGCGTTAATGATCCCTATCTCAGAAGAGAAGGGAGTTTCTCTCTCTCTCTCTCTCTCTCTCTCTCTCCCCCGATGTCCGAGCCAACAACCTTCCCTCCCTCCGCCCAACGCCAAATAATTTGGCCGCTCACTCCAAGGCCGTTTGTGGGACACTGCTGTGCACATCTGGCAGCCGTGCTTCACCCAAACCATACGGTCACTGCACTTCACAGTAGACCCTGTGAAGCGCTTTGTAGCGTCTCGATGACACGATACGAAGCCGCACAATAATCAATAACAATATCAATAATCAATAACAAGGATTATTATTTTTATTATTATTATTATTACCGTTGCAGCTGAATTGCGGGATTGTCTGGGACACGTCAAGAGTGTCTTCACGATCTGAGAAAAGAGTCGTCTCCAGGGCTTCCCGGCGCAGTTTTCCGGGAATTCCCAAGCGATCCAGGATCCCGGGCTGGGAAATGAGTCAAGAGTGGAATGCGTTCCATCTTCGGCTGCGGGGGGAGCCGGATTCATCTCAAGGTGGGGACGGGGGGGGGGGGTAAAAGTTTGGCGGCACATTTCACCAGATTATCTTTTTAAAAAAATATATATATTGCAAGTCGTACGTTATGTTATTACGAGTCCTGTAGCCCAGTGGTTAGAGCGCTCGCCTCGCAAGCGAGAGGCCTGGGTTCGATTCCCGGGCGGGTCAGGGCGAAACCTTGGGCAAGTTTCCTTACCCCACACCCACTTCAATGAATTAATTCCTTCCCCCAAAAAATCGGTCCCTTTAATCCACGACCGTTCGCCCACAAAAATACACAGTCAATTCGCTTTACGGTGAAGGGCTTTGGGGAGTCTCAGCGACGTGATAAGGCGCCACATCAAACGCAAGGATTATTATTATTATTTCGGGTCAGTCAAGAGGAAGTATCTCTTTGCATGGGGGTGGGATGGGGCGGGGAATTAACAGATGTTTATCGGGAAGGATGATGGCAATTTAGCAGCACAACATGCAGTGCAAGAAGGTGCAGGAAGTTTGAGAAATCTCACCAGGTTTTCCCTGGAGTCTGATTTCCAACACAAGTGTAGTTGTTTTCGAAAACAACAGTGTCAGGAAAAAGTCAAAAAAACACCCCAAGAGCGACAAGAAAGAGCCGCAGGAAAAGCAGCTTAAAGATCAGGGGACGGACGAGATGTCATATATTATGTGCGCGATTGGCTGCCGCGTTCGTCCACCAATATACAGTCAATTCACTTTACAGTGTGTTCTGTGAAGCGCTTTGGGACGTCCTCCCGACGTGAAAAGCGCTATATCAAATGCAAGGATTATTATTATTCTTTAAAGTGCTTTGAGACCCCACGATGATGATAATACAAACGTTATTACAGTAATAATCGTGTTACAGCATTATTATTAATAACACAGTAATACTCGTATAAATCGGAACATGAAATTGAATATGATTTACGAAAAAGAACGAGTTACAACCCAACTTGGAGTAAGCCTTTGGTCACCTTCTTCCCCCCACCCAACCCCCCCGGCTCGGCCCCGGGATCCATTATTGTGAAGCGCTCTGAGACGCCGCCCGGCGTGGAGGGCGCTATATAAATCCGAGTTGTTGTTGTTGTAAGCCATACAATATCTGACCGTGAGTGACACACTGCTGTGCGGAATTGGCTGCCGCGTTTCGCCCACAAAATACACAGTCACTGCACTTCAGCGTATCCTGCGAAGCACTTTGAGAAGTCTCACTGACGCGATAGGGCGCTAAAAATAAATAAATAATAATAATAATAACTTGGTTTAATCCGCGACCATTGCTCTATATCAAATGCAAGGATTATTAGTCCTGTAGCTCGGTGGTTAGAGCGAGAGGACCTGGGTTCGATTCCCGGCAGGGCAAAACCGTGGGCAAGTTTCCTTACTCCACACGTCTGATAATAATCCCTCAAGAGAAAAATAATAATAAATTGGTCACTCAATCCGTCTGCTGTGCACAATTGGCTGCCGCGTTTCGCTCACAAAATACACAGTATATTCTGTGAAGCGCTTTGAGACGTCCAGAAGACGTGAAAAGCGCTATATCAAATGCAAGGATTATTATTATTATTATTATTATTATTATTATTATTATTATGCCTGTCTGCACAAAGCAAGTGCTGTGCTGAGGGAGCGGGAGATGTTGCAGTGTCATCACAAGCCTCCCACTCCCCACAGCCGCAGATAAACCGCTTGCCAAGTGATTTACGGTCAGGAGCTGCCAAAAAAAAAAACGGGAACCAGCATACAGGCGCAACAACAACGTGCACTTATACAGCCCTCTTCACACGGAGCTTGATGACCAGCGAAAAACAAGGGGAAGCGGACCGTCCTCCCGACACGTGAGAGGCGCTCTGTAAATGAATTGTTGTTGTTGTTGTTGTTGTAGACACAGCCAAAGAGGAAAGTCTACAGGCGCGATCTGAAGGACACAGCGAAAACACCGTGTGTTTACGCAGTGCCCTTTGCTCAGGCAGCGTCTCGGGAGGGCTGAACAGCGGTGCGGTTTGACTCCGTGCAGCAAAGGGAGAGAGCCGATTCAATAACAAGTTTCAAGAGAGAAGTAGATCATTATTTGGGGAGGACAAGTTTGCGGGGCCATGGGGGGAGAGCGGGGGGGTGGGGTTGATCGGGGCTATGGGGAGAGCGCAGGGGGGAGTGGGGTTGATCAGGGCTATGGGGGAGAGCGGGGGAGTGGGGTTGATCAGGGCTATGGGGAGAGAGCGGGGGAGTGGGGTTGATCAGGGCTATGGGGGAGAGCGGGGGGAGTGGGGTTGATCGGGGCTATGGGGAGAGCGCGGGGGGAGTGGGGTTGATCAGGGCTATGGGGGGAGAGCGGGGGGAGTGGGGTTGATCAGGGCTAAGGAGAGAGCGCGGGGAGTGGGGTTGATCAGGGCTATGGGGGGAGAGCGGGGGAGTGGGGTTGATCGGGGCTATGGGGAGAGAGCGGGGGAGTGGGGTTGATCGGGGCTATGGGGAGAGAGCGGGGGAGTGGGGTTGATCGGGGCTATGGGGAAGAGGGGGGAGTGGGGTTGATCAGGGCTATGGGGGGAGAGCGGGGGGAGTGGGGTTGATCAGGGCTATGGGGAGAGAGCGGGGGAGTGGGGTTGATCAGGGCTATGGGGGAGAGAGCGGGGGAGTGGGGTTGATCAGGGCTATGGGGAGAGCGGGGGGAGTGGGGTTGATCAGGGCTATGGGGAGAGCGGGGGAGTGGGGTTGATCAGGGCTATGGGGGGGAGGGGGGAGTGGGGCTGATCGGGGCTATGGGGGGAGAGGGGGGGAGTGGGGCTGATTTGGAAAAGCTCTTTTCAAAGAGCGGGCACAGACGCGATGGGGCCGAATGGCCTCCTTCTGCGCTGTAGGACTCTACGATTCTATGAAGGCCCCAATCCAAGAGGGGAGCCCTCAGGTTTGATGCGAAGATGGGCGAAGAGGGGGGCAAAGACCGAGGATTGGGGGCAAGAAATGACACGTGCCCAGCGCCTCTTCGCGTCGAGCGGACGTCCCGCGGGGGCTGAATGGCCGGGGCTCCGGACCGCCCCTGAGCTGGTGGTTGGGAGCGGGAGGGGTGGAGGGTGACCGAGGCTCCAGGGGTTTGGGCCGTAGCGGCCGAAAGTACGGCTGCCGTTGGTGGAGCGGGAGGGACGAGGGATGTGCCGAAGACCCGAGGCAGCTGCGCGGAGGTCGGCGGTAGCGCGAAATGGGGGGGGGGGGGGGGGGCAAAAAGGACCTTGTGCCAACGGGCGACGGGAATTCCTCTCTCCCCCCCCCCGTTTCAGACACCCGGGTCCCCGTGTCGCTGATATGTTACTCTCTCCGTCTGCGTGTCACTCACATGTTACTCTCTCTCTCTCTCTCTCTCTGTCGCTCAAGTGTTACTGCGCGTGTGCCTCTGTGTGTGTGTTACTCACGTGTTACTGTGTGTTATTCACGTGTTATTGTGCATGTGTGTGTTACTTACATGCACTGTGCACGTGAGCGTGTTACTGACATGTTACTGTGCGTGTGTTACTTACATGTTACTCTGTGTGTGTGTTACTCACATGTTACTGTGTGTGTGTTACTCACATGTTACTGCGTGTCTGTGTGTGTGTTACTCACATGTTACTGTGTGTGTTACTCACATGTTACTGTGTGTGTGTGTGTTACTCACATGTTACTGTGTGTGCTCACATGTTACTGTGTGTGTGTTACTCACATGTTACTGTGTGTGCTCACATGTTACTGTGTGTGTGTTACTCACATGTTACTGCGTGTGTGTGTTACTCACATGTTGCTGTGTGTGTGTTACTCACATGTTACTGTGTGTGTGTGTTACTCACATGTTACTGTGTGTGTGTGTTACTCACATGTTGCTCTGTTGCTGCTCCTCAGGTCCAGGCCTCACGTGAAGGTGACCAGCCCAGGCCCCGCCCCCTCCTCCTCCCTATTGGCTGTCGTCGCCCCGTCACGCACAGCGGCCGCGCATTCCCATTGGTCGCCGGCACATCATGGCCGCGCCCCCTCTAGTAACCGGCCGATGATTGGTCAGAAGTTGTTGCTAAGGGATGGGGGGGTGGGAGAGGGTCAGGTCAACCGGAAGTGACGGTTGCTATGGCCGGTGGGGGGGTGTGAGGGGGTGGTCCCCAACAGCTGGAAGTGGCGGTTGCTATAGAACGGAGAGAAGAAGGTGGGGGCGGGGTGGGGGGGAGGAGGGGGCACATCGGCTGGAAGTGACGGTTGACACGGTGGGGCAAGGTGGCACGTCAACCGGAAGTGATGGTTGCTATGGCGAGGGAGGGCGGTTCGGGCGAACCGGAAAGAAGTTGACGGTTGCTACGGCCCGCGCGGTGGGCGGGGCCGGGGCCGGGCGAGTCACGCGGACCGGAAGTGACGGTTGCCATGGCTGGGAACCGACGGGCGCGGGCCCGCGTGCGTGTCACGTCGGCCGGAAGTGGCGGTTGGCCGCCCGCTCTCTGCCCCCCCCGTCCCGCACGCAGCGTCACGGCGCCGGTGGCAAGATGGCGGCGGAGCGGGAGCCGGAGCGCGGTGGCGGCGGCGGCGGGAAGGAGGAGAGGCCGGCCGGCCTGGCCCTGGCCCTGGACGAGCTGGTGCGCAGCGTGTCTCTGCAGCGGCGGCGGCCCGTGCTGCTGCACGTCACGGTGGGGCCCTTCGGCCTGCTGTACGCGCTCTGGCTCTACGTGTGGCTGTGCCGCTTCGACGCCGTGAGCGAGCACCCCGAGGCCGGGCTGGCGGCGCTGGCCGCCCTGGGCTTCGTCCACGTGCTGAGCGCGCTGTCCGGCCACTGGTCCGTCCACGCGCACTGCCTGCTGACCTGCTACAAGGTGAGGGTCGAGAGCGCCGCCCGCAGGCCGCGTGGGGTGGGAGAGTGGGGGGGACTGCAACAGCGCCTCCTGCAGCTCGGTGTGTGGCTGTGGGGGTTAGTGTGTGTCTGACCGGCGCCCCTTACTGGTCGCGGTGTGTAACTGCAACTGCCCCCCCCCCCATCCACCACCCACCCAAACACCCCCGAACAGCGCCTCCTGCAGCTCGATGTGTGGCTGTGGGGGTTAGTGTGTGTCTGACCGGCGCCTCTTACTGGTCGCGGTGTGTAACTGCAACTGTCCGCCGCCCCCCCACCACCCACCCCCGAACAGCGCCTCCTGCAGCTCAGTGTGCGTGTGTGAGACTGGGAGACGGGGGGGGGACAGGGACGGGGGAGGGGAGGTCAGTCAGACCAGCGCCCCGTGCTGGCCGCAGCGTGCACCTGCAGCCCGAGCACCCCCCCCCCCCCCCGGCTCAGCGTTACTGTGAGACCTGGGGTGCGGGGGTGGGGGGGTCAGTGTGCGTTGGGTCTGACTGACCGGCGCCTCCTGCAGCCCAGAGCGTGGTGACAGCAGCCGCCGTCCGCCCAGCGCTCCCGGCAGACCAGGCGGAGTGCGCGGCTGACCAGCCCGGAGTCTGTAACTGCGGCGAGTGTCCGGCCAGTGCCTCCTGCAGCTCAGAGTGTGTAACTGCAGCCTGATCACCCCCCCCACCCCCCACCCCCCGCATCGCAGAGTATGTGACTGGAGTCCATGTGGGAGTTGCGCCTCCTGTAGACTAGTGCGGGCGCCTCAAGATTTCATTTATAGAGCGCCTTTCACGTGGGGAGGACGTCCCGAGGCGCTGGACGGTTGGTTCGGGACCCGAGCATTGGGGGGGGGAATGGTCAGGGTGAGGGGAGGGAAGGGAGGGAGCGAGGAGGGGGTAGAGAGTCGAGAGCGGAGCTGAAGGCTGAAGGTCAAAGAGAAAGGTCTTGAGACCGGCCTTGAAGGAGGAAAGGGAGGAGGCGGCGAAGGCACTGGGGATGGAGTCCCAGGACCTCGGGGCTGAGAGGCTGAAGGCCACCGATGGTCGGGCGGTTGGGGCGGGGGATGTGGAGCAGACGAGTGTGGAATGGCAGCCAATGTGACTGTGCGTTCCCCGCCCCGCTCGCCCACTCCGGCCGGCATCTTAGGAGGCACCCCTTGCAGCCATTTTGCTTGGTCACCCGGGCGTCCGGCACAAGAGGAAACCCATCACCACGTTCCAAGTTAGACTCCGGCGGTCCTGTTGGAATGCCACCCGCACATGGACGTTTCCCAGTCAGTGTCCGGAATAAGCTATGCTAATGGCTAAGCTATAAGAACAACAACAAATGATATTTTTATAGCGACTTTCACGTCAGGAGGACGTCCCGAACGCCATGCACTTTCTCCACGAAGGGTTATCCCCTCTGTTACCTGATTCGGGACGAATTAGGCACGGATTTGGCAAGAACCAAGGTTTGGGGACTGCGGAGTGCGTGCGTTGGGGCTATCTATGCCCGGAGCTCGGTTAGTTAAAGTCACGTAGCATGTCGCTCGGAGCACTGCCGTGCCTTGGAGTACTGCGGACCCCGCTGGCTCAGGAACCCGGGCGAGAGAACGTCACCGCGGGTTGACTTGATTTCAACATCGCAGCTAAACGCATCACCTTGAAGCCGTCTCAGCCCCAAGGAGGCTTTGCTCACCTCCCTCCTATATCACCTTCCCTCCCACCGGTTGCTCATTTGACATCTGACGAGTGCTCAGATGCTTCACTGTCGGGAGTCTTGTACTACACACACCAGGTGACGCCCCTAATTCAGACCACGGGTGTCGCACACAATACTGTTAACAACAACAACGAATTGCACGTATACAGCGCCTTTCTTGTCCTGACCTGAACAGTCAAGGGTTTGCGCCCGAGCTCGGGGTTGGAATCAAGAAGGTGGAGGGCAAGGAGGGGGGGGGGGTGGGTGTGGAAGATGACTGAAAGCGAAGTCGAAGTGGGTTCAGCCTACGCCACTGTCAAGTGCTCTGGGACGCTATCCTGTGTGAGGGGCGCTATGTGAATGCAAGTTGTTGCTGTTGGAAACCAAGAGATGTTGTGTTTGAGCTTTAGTTGCCCACGAAGGTCGTGTAGGTGGGGGCGGGACCTTGCCAGGCATTCGGAGTGTAAAAAAAATGTAAATCTCTTTTGAGTTTCCTTTTAAACTGGATTGATTACAACGCGTGCTCACTCGTGCCCAGGCCGAAGCTGTGGGGGAGAACCTTATAATCACTTCTGTTTCTATCCGCCGCAGGAACCCAACCCCAGCAAAGCCACCTGGGCCAAAGTGGTTCCCACACCCAACAACGGATCTGCCGAGCTTGTGCAGCTCCACCATGACAAGGTAATTGGGGTCCCGTAGCTTAGTGGTTAGAGCACTCCCCTCATAAGCAAGAGGACCCAGGACGAAGCCTTAGGCACATTTCCTTACTCCACACCTCTCTGTTTGTCCCTCGTGCCCTCCGTTCCACCATCGGAGCCCGTGGCTTCAGCCACCACGCCCTGAAACTCTGGAACTGTCTGCCTCATTCCCCCCCGCCTCGCACCCTCCCTCCTTTCAAATCCCGTCTAAAGACCTTCCTTTTTGATCGTGGTTAAAATCATATCCTCCCTCCCTCACCCCGGCTCGGGGACAGACTCCGCCACTGTCAAGTGCTCCGGGACGCTACCCCGTGCGAAGGGCACTGTGTAAATGCAAGTTGTTGTTTACCTAGCAGCAATTTGTTTCAAGAACAAATGAGATAGATTTCTGTTAGACAGTAATATAACAACAATAATAATAATAATCCTTGATACATGATACGTGTTCGACACGTCTCAAAGCGCTTCACAGGACATACAGTAAAGTGGATTGCCTGTGTTTTGTGAGCGAAGCAGCGTCCTCTCTATCTCAGGATACAATATATAGTTTGCGACACGACGTGTCAAGCGACTGCCAGGATGGTGGAAGGCAAACTGAACGGAGCATCAGACATGAAGGGCGCAATGTAAATCCAAGCTGTTGTTTGTTGTCCGAAACTCTGAAACACTCTCCCTCAATCCCTCCGTCTCCCCCCTCTCTCCCCATCTTCGAATCCTGCCTGAAGACCTTCCTCTTTGACCGTACTTACGGCCACCTCCGCCCGGCTCGGAGTCAGGCTCCGCCACTGTTAATCGCTCTGAGACGCTGCCCTGCGCGGAGAGCGCTGTATAAGTGCAGGTTGTAAAGCCACTTTCTCTTTCTGTCGCTGTGCAGGGCGAGGACGGCAACGAGATCATCTACTTTGAGTTTCAGAAGATTAAGTACTGGCGTGACGTCAAGGAGAGGCGAGAGTTTGTGCCCGTGGCTTTCCCAGTAGAGCGGGCACTTCACTATTACCAGAACGCAAAGGGCTTCCAGGACGAGACCGAGTTAAAAGCCACAGAAAAGAAATACGGTACAAACAAGTATGTACAGGCGCCTGGGCAGGCGTGTGAGGCAGGGCTTTGTACACCTAATAATCCTTACACCCAGGTTTAGGCATCTACTGCTGTGGACAATTGGCTGCCATGTTTCGCCCACAAAATAAACAAGTCAATTCACTTCAAGGTATAGTCTGTGAAGCGCTTTGAGACGTCTCGGAAGATGTGATAAGACGCTACATCAAGGATATTAATAATATTTAATAATAATCGTTGCATTTCATAAAGCGCCTTATCACATCGTTGAGATATCTGAAAGCACCTCACAGAGTATACTGAATTGATTGTATATTTTGTGGGAGAAATGTGGCAGTCAATGGTATATGGCAGTGTCTCGTGTGGATTGAGCGACAATTTTGTTTTATGATGAATCATTACCCCCGGAAAGCGATCTGTCAATCAACTAACAAGTGGTTTCCTAGTTACTGCTAGCTAAACAGAGAGCGCCAGTACTAGGGAATGGACAGGGGTTCAGGCCCAACATCTGTCTGTATCTCTTTTCTGCAAGGGTGATTATTATTATCTAGCATTGACGGACACAGAGCATCAAGCTTTGTCATTGTGGAATTAGGATATGTACAGACTGAGCCGAACAAATAGTCTGTGGTGGGATGGGATTGAAAAGTACGTGTGGGTGAAGGAATATTGTAGTGTTTGCTTGATTGCTTTTGGGAAATAGTCTGAGGCATTGACTGAACCATTCCAGCCCCACGGCCTGTGCATGCTGTGAGCAAGCTGAGCGGGAGGGGAAGGAGGTGAGATTGTATCAGTGATAAATCACTGACTGGTGCTTTTGTTGGTTTCTCAGGGCTGAAATGGTGGTTCCCGAATTCATGCAACTCTTCAAAGAGAGAGCTACTGCCCCTTTCTTTGTCTTTCAGGTAAGTGTATGAACAACAGCAACTCGCATTTAGATAGTGACCCTCACGCAGGGTAGCGTCCCAGAGCACTTGAGAATAGTCCAACTGAAGCATTCAGTCTCGGGCCAAGTAATTGGATTGAAAAGCACTGACCTCGTCACATCCGACATATATTGCATTGAACATAAGAACATAACAATTGCAGGATGAAAGAAGACCCAAGTTCCATCGAATTCACCTTCCAGCATCCTGCCAGTCGCAGGACAAGTCGTGTCCCGAACTATTTACTGTCTTCCCAGATATTATTTTCAAAAAGAAATTGATCTAATTTGCTTTTGAATTTATATTGTGTTGTAGAGTTTATATTGTACCATCTCTTCGTGACTGTTTGTGGCGACATTGATGTGCCCAAATTGGCTGCTGCGTTTGCCGACAAAATACACAGTCGCTAGACTTTACAGTTTATCCCATTTGAGCGATTGTAAGGATCAAAGGTAAGGATTAGAGCTGCCTGTTTGGCAGTAGCGGTTTGAGGGCAGCCTCAAGGAAGAGGGAAAGAAATGCGTGACACTAAGCTCACTGCCCAATGGGTAAAGGTGGGTAAGTGGGTGGTGGAGTCCTGTAGCGTAACCTGTAGCGTAGTGGTTAGCACATTCGTCTCGCAAGCGAGAGGACCTGGGTTCAACTCCGTAAGCGGGACAAAATCTCAGGCAAGTTTCCTTACACCACATGTCTCTGTTTACCTAGAAGTAAGTAGGAAACCCAGTTGTTAGTCAATTGGCAAAGAATAAATAATCCTGCCGAAAAGAAAAAAAATTGGATCACTCAATCCACAACTGGTTGTGGGACACTGCTGTGCGCAATTGGCTGTCGTATTTCGCCCACAAAACATGCAGTCAACTCACTTTACAATATATCCTGTGAAGTGCTTTGAGACGTCTCGACGACGTTATAAGGCCCGCACTATATCAAATGCAAGGATTATTATTATGATCATGGGTTAGTCCAGAATCGAAAACGTATTGGGAAGAGTAGTGAGAAATGGAGGTCACTGACATTTTAACATTACTGTTAATACCCTGGCTTGTTGTTCAGCTACGTTTCCAGACGAGGTATTTTCCTGCCCTCATGCTGGGAATTGTTTCCAACGGTAGAGTTTTGGACGGCTTTGCACGATGTGGAATTTCAGGAACTTGGGGAGTCGCAGTTCTCTCAGATAATGGTGCTGTTGTACAGTGTTTCCTGTGTGAAGGTGACTCCTGTTAGGGTACATGTATTTTGGCTTTGTTTTACCGTCGACACCAATAATACTACAACCACAAAAATTGCATTTATAACAACAATAACAACAAAATGACATATGCAAAGCGCCTTTCATGTTGGGTGGACGTCTCAAGGCGCTGGACAGTCAGTGTTTTGGACCCGAGCTGGGGGTCGGGATTGGGGAGGGTGGAGGGCAGTGGGGGGGAAGCGGGGTGATCGAAAGCAGGGTTGAAGAGGAGGGTCTTGAGATGGGTCTTGAAGAAGGCAAGAGAAGGGGCGAGACGGAGGGACTGCAGGTTGGAATTCCAGAGGGAAGGGGCAGAATGACAGAAGGCCTGTGTGCCAATGGTGGGGCTGGCGAGGCGGAGGGAGCGGGCAGGGTGGTAGCGCCTTTCACATCGAAAGAACTTCCCAAGGCGCTGGTGTCTGGAAAATGGAATTTGCCAGTCACCTTTGACTACGCCCCGAAACTCTCTTCCTCTATCCCTCCGCCTTGACCCCTCCTTCCCCGTCTTCCGGTCGCGCCTGAAGACCTTCCTCTTCGATCGTTGCCTTCGGTCACCTCCTCCTGGCTCGCCGTTGTACTCCACCACTGTCGAACTCTCTGGGACGCTACCCTGCATGAGGGGCACTGTTGTTGTTGTTGAAATAGTACGTTTACACCTGGGTCAGACCCCAATACCTGGGTCAGACCCCAATACCTGTTCAGCACCGAGGTCCAGTCCTGGTGACCCATGATTTTAGCAGCAAGTTGATTTCAATTTATTATTCCCTTTTTTTCCCCCAAGTTCCTGTTCTGTGGAACCCTCTCCCCAGTTCCATTTGTCTTGCACCCTTCCTGTTGGCTTTCAGAACTTCAACCATGTCTTCAGTCACCTCCCTCCTATAACAATAATAATAATCCTGGCATTTGCTACAGCGCCTTATCATGTCTTCGAGACGTCTCAAAGCTCCTCACTGTAAAGTGAATTGACTGTGTATTCTGTGGGCAAAATGCAGCAGGCAATCGCGCACAGCAGCGTCTCATGGATCGAGTAACCAAATTATTTATTTATTTTGGAAGGGATTATTACCCCCAGAAAGTGATCGCCAGTCGACTTAACAACCGGGTTTCTACTTACTGTTATGTAAACAGAGGAGTGTGGAGTAAGGACATTTCCCAACGTTTTGCTCTGGCTGTGAATCAAAGCGAGTGGTCTAACTATTCTGCTACAGGGGTGCACAACATATCCCTGTCTCCCAATGTGTTTGGGTTTCCAATCGGTCTTTGTAAAATGATTTGAGGCTTTACCCTACGGGAACCTCTCGATTTTGTTTCACCCACAAAATATACAGTCACTGCACTCTGCAGTATATTCTGTGAAGCGCTTTGAGACTTCTCAACGACGTGATTAGACATTATATCAAATGCAAGGAATATTATTACGGCTATGGAAAGGTGCTTATCGATTCTAAGGAAACTCCAAATGGCGAGTTCTCCCCGGCAGAGAGCTTCACTTTCGGTTTCAAATTTGTTGCTTAATTAAATCCAGTTAATTTCAGGGAACTCTGCAATAATCCGGAACTCTGCCCCAAAAGGGCTGTGGATGCTGAATTCATTGAAATTTTCAAGACCGAGGAGGGTAGATTTTTGCAAGAGTCAGGGTGTCAAGGGATGTGGGGCAAAGGCGGGTAAAGGGAGGTTAGGTACAGATCAGCCGTGATCTCGTAGAATGGAACCAGGTCGATTGGCAGATCACTTGCCGGGCATAATAATTTGGTCACGCAATTCACGAACTGTTTGTGGGACACCGTTGTGGGCAATTGGCTGCCGTGTTTTGCCCACAAAATGCACAGCTTGAGCGCATTAACATCGAGCCTGGTCTAGAACACTTGAGTTGCTCAGTTGACGTGGTTGATCGCCAGCTAGTGTTCGGCATTGGCAGCACCGCTTGGGAAGAGTGGGAGAGAGACGTGAGGACAAACGTTCTTGTTCACTCCTCTGTGCTTCCCATCGGTCGTGGTACAGTCTGCAAATCCCGTCACGCCCTGGCACCTCCCTACCTCCCCAACCCGCTACCAACTGCCTCCGCTCCACTGGCTCCGGCCTCCTGCTTTGTCCCTCGTGCCCTCCGTTCCACCATTGGTGGCCGCTCTTTCAGTCGCTACACCCCGAAACTCTCTCCCTCAATCCCTCCATCTTGCTCCTTCCTTCTCTATCTTCGGATCTCTTCGACTGTGCCTACGGTCACCTCCTCCCCACACCCCCCCCCCCCCACACACACCGGCTCAGCGTCGTGCTCTACCGTTGTCAAGCACTCCGGGATGCTACCCTATGTGAGGGGCTCTATATAAATGCAAGTTGACGTTGTTAAATGCTCTTGTCAGTGCTGTAGCTACTTTAAACCCTGTATAAATCTTAATCTGTGTACCCGGCTGAAAAGAGGAACCCACGGTTCTCGTTATTAAACATGCTGAGTGTAAATCAGTCATCCTTTGTTTACGCAGCGCAGGGTGAAAGCCGATCTGTTGTCACTATATTTATGGTAGTTGGGCTGGGGGTGTGGAAGAGACTTGGCATTTGAAGTGCGCAGATAGCACTGACAGCTCTGTCCGGGGGTGTGTGTGTTTGAAAGAGAAATGCCCTGGTCAAGAGATTCTACAGAGAAGAAATATTCCCTGCTTTGAATGAAAGCTGGAAACAGTTAAAAGGACTTTGTGTCATGAGGTTCTCATCTCCTCCCCTCTCCCCCTCCAAACTAACCTTTAATGTTCGCGTTTGATAACTGTCCTGACAGCATCTGCCAATGCGCAGAGAACCGCAGTTTGTTGTTGTGTTCAATGAAACGTTTAAAAAGGGAGGAGAAAAAAAAGGTTGTGTGAACCTTCTGGGAGGAATCCAGTGTCCCTCCCTCCTTCCCTCCTTCCCTCCCTCCCCAGCGCTGGCACCAGTTTGCAGTAACCAGCAGAGTTTTGTGAAGAGTATTTTGTTAAAGTTTTGCCTGTGGAATCCCGTAGTGTAGTGGTTAGAGAGCACTCGCCTCGCAAGTGCGAGGACCTGCTTTTGATTCCCGGGCAGGGAGTAACCTAAGGCAAGTTTCCTTACCCCACACACACGCCTCTGTTTACAAAGCAGTAAGTAGGAACCCGCTCATTAGTTGATTGTTGGCTCGCTTTCCGGGGGTAATAATCCTTCCAAAAAATGTATAATAATTTGGTCACTGAAACCACGACTGCTCACAAAATACACAGTCACTACACTTTACTATATTCTGTGAAGCACTTTGAGACGTCCCAATGACATGATAAGGAGCTATATCAAACGCAAGGGTTATTATTATTATTCCAATTCCTAGATACTATTCCCACTCTTTGAGCGTAAACTAGTTAGTGGTACTTTCCACACATTGGAACAATTTCAGCCCCATTTTGCCATCCACATCCAGTTTGTGATGCCAGTTCCCTCATACTTGTGTTTGCCATTAGGGTGGTAGTAAATGTACGGAACAGGCTGCCTGGGGAGACGGGGGGTGGAAGCAAAAAGTGTTGATTCTTTCAAAAGCAAATTCGATAGATTTATTTTAGGAAATACCATCTTGGGATACAGTGTATAGTTTGGGACATGACGTGTCGTGTGACTACCAAGGATGGTGGAAGGTGAACTAGATGGACCTTAGTCTTCTTTTTTCTAGCCATTCTTATATGATCCTATGTTCTCTTTGCCAGCGCCACGCCCCCTGCCCAGCCCGCCCCACCGTCAGCGGTCGGGCCTTCAGCCTCTGTGCTGAATGCTTTGGAACTCCATCCCACAGTCCCTTTGCCTTGCCCCTCCCTCACCGCTCAAGAACCACCACTTCGACCTCGCCTTCGGCCACCCTCCCACCCTGCCCTCCACCCCCTCCTGATCCCAATCCCCAGCTCGGGTCCAAATCCCTGACTGTCCGCCCATCGGCTTGGGACGTCCTCCCCATATTTGGTGGTGATGTTGTTGTTTGCTTCCGCAGGTATTTTGTGTGGGTCTCTGGTGTCTGGACGAGTACTGGTATTACAGTGTCTTCACCCTCTTCATGCTGGTGGCTTTTGAGGCCTCGCTGGTGCAGCAGCAAATGAGAAACATGTCCGAGATTCGCAAAATGGGGACCAAACCCTATATGATCCAGGTAAGAATTCCTGGGGTGGTGTTTGTTTTTTTCAACGTTGGTTCGGTTCCTTGAGTCGCGTGTCTGGGACCCGGACTTTTATCCCATATTCTGCTGTTTTGGGGGATTTCAGTTTGGGATCGAAAATGCCAGAAGGAAACAAGGGTTGGGGGGGGGGGAACATTTCGCTTAGATTTTCAATACGTGAATGAAACTTCCTAGTGCAATAGAAGTCTGGCCAGCCGCACTATTGGGGAGGAGATCTGGTACACTGGAACTTATGGCTAAATGTAATCACAGTGCCAGTACCGACATTGTAATTGTTTGAATCCCGTGCGCAGAAAGTAGCAAAGAGCGAATAATTTTTTTTCCCAGGGTAATAATCCCTCCCTTCCACCCGCCCCGCCCCGCCACCACCAACCAACCAACCAACCAACCAATGGTTTATGTGCAATTGGTTGCTGTGTTTCCCGCACAAAATACACAGTCACTCCATTTTACAATATATCCTGTGAAGCACTTTGAGACCTCTCAACGACATGATAAGGCCCTGAGTCAAATGCAAGGATTATTATTATTACTAATGGTGGTGGAGTGGGGTGCAGTGTTAGTGGGATGGTAACAATAATAATCCTTGCATGGGATATTGTGCCTTATTAGGTTTTCGAGATGCCTCAAAGCGCTTCGCAGAATATACTGTAAAGTGAATTGACTGTGTATTTTGTAAGCAATGTGTGTTGCTGATATGCGTATGTGTGCACGGCCTATGCTGTAATGTGTGTCACTATACAGTAGTTTTGTCTCGAAGACGCGATAAGGCTCTATATCAAATGCAACGATTTTTATTATTATTTTGGTTCTAGGTCTACAGGAATAGGAAGTGGAGGCAAATTTTCAGTGATGATCTTATTCCAGGCGACGTTGTGTCAATAGGTAATACTCTCTTTTATTCCAACATCTGCAGTATTTTGACTTCTGGTAATAATCTCTTATTTGTTGAAGACGTCCAATCCATGGAGTGTTTTCTACGTGAAGTATCTTCCCTATGCGTCAGGCAATCTCGCGGTATGGTATCTAGTCTACCTGGGTCTAAGTATTCCATTTTTATTCCTTTGTAGCCTGGTGCAGATGAATCATTTTGTCTTAGGGTTAGCGGTACCTCTAATGGGATCTGGTGTTAATTGGTGGAGTCGTGTAGCATAGTGGTTAGTGCGCAAGCGAGAGGACCCGGGTTCGATTCCCAGGCGGGTCAGGGCAAAACCTTGGGTAAGTTTCCTTACTCCACACACACTGTTTACCCAGCAATAAGTAGGAACCCGGTTGTTAGGATTGGTGGATCACTTTCTGGGGGTAATAATCCCTCTAAAAAATAAGAAATGGGGTCACTCAATCTACGACTGTTTGTGAAGCGCTTTGAGACCGTTCAACGACATCAAATGAAAGGGTTATTATTATTATCAATAATAGTTGTGGAGACTTTCTCGAAAACGCTATGCGCAATTGGCCACATTTCCCCCCAAAAAAAACATTTACTTTAAGGTGTATTCTGTGAAGCGCTTTTGAGACGTCTCAACGACGTGATGAGGCGCTTTATCAAATGCAAGGATCATTATCATTATTAATTATGGTTATCCGGCTGCAGTGTACCGAGAAACGATAGCAGGACACATAGAGTTAATAACGACTACATGTCCAGGTCACTGTGTGATCAATTCCTTGGTCGGCTCCCGTGTGCTATTGAAAAACCTGAACTTCAATCATAGAATTATACAGTACAGAAGGAGGCCTTTGTTGACAGCTATTTTAAGTCGGTTTCCTCGGGTTACCGACCCAACCGCCAGTGGAAATAGTTTCTCCTTTTCCACCCTGTCGAATCCCCTCATAATTTTGGAAACTTCTATTAAGTCTCCTCTTAAGGATCCATCCATCCATCCTTGGCCCCCTCCTCTTTCTGATCTACATCCGCAGACATGGGGTACACTTCCACATGTACGCGGACGACACCCAACTCTATTTTCCCGCCTCACTTTGCGACCCCCAGGCCCCTGATGTTCTGCCAGTCAGACCTCAGGGGCTGGATGAGCGCAAATTTCTTTCAGCTAAATGTTGACAAGACGGAAGCCATACTCTTTGGCTCTCGTCAATGTCTAAAATCTCACGGTTCTCAGCTCCTCCACCTGCCCGATCTCTCCCTAAAACTCTCCGAACCCGTACACAAACTAGGCGTCAGGTTCGACCCCCAATTATCCTTCCTCCCCCACATCCGGTCCCTCACCAGCACCGCTTTCTTCCACCTCCGACGCATCGCCCGTCTCCGCCAATACCTCACTCCAAAAGCCACTGAAACCCTGGTCCATGCCTTTGTCACCTCTCGACTGGACTATTCTAACGCCCTCCTCGCTGGTCTCCCCTCCACTAAAATTCAGGTAATACAAAACTCTGGTGCATTCTCTCCCGTACCAAACTCCGCTCCCCGATTACCCCCAGTCCTCGCCAGACTGCACCGGCTACCTGTCCTAGAAAAGATCGACTTCAAGATCCTCACTCTTGTCTTCAAATCCCTCCATTCCTCTGCACCCCCCGACCTCTCTGCCCTCCTCTCTCCTCACAACAGTGCCCGGGTCCTCTGGGTCTGGCCTGCTCCTTGGCCCCAGAGTCCTCCGCTCCACCCTCGGTGGCCGTGCCTTCAGCCACTGTGCCCCAAGACTCTGGGACTCCCTTCCTCGCTCCATTCACCTCGGCCCTCTCTTCCTATTTTCAGGTCTCGGCTGAAGCCCTTTCTTTTCGACCGCGCCTTTGGTCACCTTCCTCCCCCTCCCCCCGGGCTCGGCCCCGAGATCTGTTATTGTAAAGCGCTCTGAGACACCGTCCAGCGTGGAGGGCGCTATATAAATCTAAGTTGTTGTTGTTAACCTTCTCCAAGGAGAATAATCCCGGCTTCTCTCGCCTCTCCTGATAACTCAAGTCCCTCATTCCTGGTACAATTCTGGTCAATCTCCTTTGTATCCTCTCCAATGCCTTGACATCCTTCCTAAAGTGTGGGGCCCAGAACTGAACACAGTCTCGAGCTGAGCCCCAACCAGTGTATTCTCTGCCCCTATTTATAAAGCCCAGTATCCCATATGTTATTTTAACAGCTTTATCTCCCTGTTCGGCCACCTTCAAGGATTTACTTATATGAACCCCCAGGTCTCTCTGTTCCTTCACCCCCTTTAAGATTGTACCATCAGCTTATATCGCCTCTCCTCATTCTTCCTCTCAAAATACATCACTTCACATTTCTCCACATTAAACTTCATCTGCCACTTGTCGGCCCATGTTACCAGTCTGTCTATGTCCCCTTGCAGTTCTGATACTGTCCTCCTCACTGTTTACTGCTATTCCAGCTTAGTATCATCTGCAAACTTGGAAATTGTACTCCCTATACCCAAGTCCAGGTCATTTATAAAGATCAAAAACAGCAGTGGGTCCAATACTGACCTCTGGGGGACACTACTGTACACTTCCCTCCAGTCAGAAAAACAACCGTTCACCACCACTCTCCTCTTCCTGTCTCCCAGTTAGTTCTGTATCCGCTGCCACTGTCCCTTTAATACCGTGAGCTTCTATTTTGCTTATACGTTTCTTATGTGGCACTTTGTCAAACACCTTTTGAAAATCCATAGAAACTACATCAACTGCACTACCTTCATCCACCCTCTCCGATACTCCGATACAACAAATCCACGTTGGATATCCTTTATTAAGCCATATTTTCTAAGTGAAAATTTATTTTGTCCCGGATTATAGTCTCTAGGTGTTTCCCCAATACTGACATTAGGTTGTCTGGCTTGTAGTTCCCGGGTTCCTTCTGCCCCTTTTTGTACAGGGGAGTAACATTTGCAAAGATGTAACGGACGCACTTCAACAAGTGGTGTAAGGGAACAGCAAGTCTCGGCAAGTTATGGGCCATAAATCTCTTGACGGGAACAATCCACCTCGGTTGGAGTGCGTCACAAAGAAAAGAACACAGGAGAGTTTTAGCCATGAGAACAAAACTGGAGTTGTTTTGATCAGCCTTATCTCAACCCTTCAATGTGTTAGTTCCTGAACACTTGTGTACCACTGAAATCTAGCCATGCAGAGTCTGTGGGTAGTTTGTTTTTCCATCACAGGTCAGTCTGTCAAGCCTTATTGATTTTAGAGTTGGAATTGAATCAGGCGACGGGGCTCCTTGTTATCATTTGTGCGATGTCCAGTGACGCCTGGTTTTATTACTGGGGAGCTGCAAGTTATATATAATAATAATAATAATAAGTTATTATATAGTTCAATTCCCGGGCAGGGCAAAACCTTGAGCAATTTTCCTTACTCCACACACACGCCTCTGTTTACCTAACAGTAATTAGGAACCCTTATGTTAGTCGATTGGTGGATCGCTTTTTGGGGATAATAATCCCTCCCAAATTTAAAAAATAATCCAGTCACTTAATCCACGACTGTTTGTGGAACACCGCTGTGCTCAATCGGTTGCAGTGTTGCGCCCACAAATACACAGTCACTACACTTTATAATACATTCTGAGAAGCGCTTTAGGATATCTCAAGGCACTATGTTAAATGCAAAGATTATTGTTGTTGTGATAGTTATGTGTCTGTGTTATGTGTGTGTGCGCGCGCCTGTCCAAATATCCTCTCCCTCCTACATCTAACCTATTTTTGGTCAGGTCGCTCTCCTCACGAGAACCTCGTACCCTGTGATGTTTTGCTGCTTCGAGGGCGATGCATAGTAGATGAAGCCATGTTAACGGGGGAGTCTGTCCCTCAGATGAAGGTACAGTGTGAAGTGTGTGATGCTAGAGAGGTCAACTGTCCTCAGTGTTTTGTCACATTATCCGGGAGAGAAGGAAAAAAAGAATAAAAGTTGGTGAGAGATTCTCTCTCACTACCTGTCAAATGCTTTGGGTCAGACAGATTTTCCGAGGGTTTATTTTTAACCAAAAGGTTTTATCTTTCACGTGGGGTATCAGTCACTAAGTCATATGTCGCGGTGACCAAATAACGCCAGTAATAGCAGGTAGCTATGAACAAGGTCATTTGAGGCTGCAGCATTTGGAAGCTCCTTGTGATTAAATCTCAAGCTTCTGTCTTTTTTGGAGAGGGTTTGAGAGAGTTTTCATTTGCTTCTCCTCTGTTGCTCTTCACTATCTGCCTCTCCAGGGAGGCACTCAAGGCGATTTTGATCTCTTAGTTTTCTCTCCATACCCATACTGTGATCAACTGTGACACACTGCTGTGCGTAATTGTGTATGGTGGATTTGCTTTAAGTGCGGGACACCTGGGTTCAATTCCAGGCAGGACGAAACCTTGGGCAAGTTTCTTTATTCCACACGCCTAATAATCCTCCAAAACAAAACAATAATAATTGGTCACTCAATCCTCGGCTGTTTGTGGGACGCTGCTGTGCTCAATTGGCTGCCGCTTTTCGCCCACAAACATATGGTCAATTCACTTTACAGTCTATTCTGTGAAGCGCTTTGAGACGTCGAGAAGACGTGAAAAGAGTTACATCAAATGCAAGGATTATTATTGTTTGTTATTGTCTGCTAGCCGCATTTTGTCCACAAAATACACAGTCACTGCACTTTACAGTATATTCTGTGAAGCTCTTTGAGACGTCTCAACGATGTGATAAGGCGCTGTGTCAAATGCAAGGATTACAGTTATTATTAAAACCCTTAGTGACAGGGGAAGACATGGAAGTCCACTTGTGCACTACCTTAAGATGATTGGTTTCACTGGAGCTCATCAAACTAATGCCAAATGTTGCAACCAGAGTGAATGATATGGAGATTTGGGAGTGTGCGAGCAGAACTACAGAGTTCTATAGCTTAGTGGTTAGAGCACTTAATGCGGGTTTGATTCCCGGTCAGGATGAAACCTTTGGCAAGTTTCCTTATTCCACACCTCTGTTTACCTAGCAGTAAGCAGGACCCGGTTGTTAGTTGATTGGCGAATCTCTTTCCGTGGATAATAATCCCTCAAAAAAAAAATGATTTGGTCACCTGCTCCGCGACTGTTTGTGGGACACTTCTGTGGGCAATTGACTGCGAAGCGCTTTGAGACTTCTCAACGACGTGACAAGGCGCTATATCAAATGCAAGGATTATTATTATTAATAACTGTTGGACAGCTGGGTGTAGGCTGGCAGTTTCACTCAGAGCTGATCACAAAACCCTTTGATTGTTTTGCAGGAGCCTATAGAAGACTTGGATCCAAAGCATGTCCTGGATCTGCAGGCAGATTCAAAGCTGCATGTAATATTTGGTGGCACTAAAGTGGTTCAGCACACTCCACCTCAGAAATCCAGTGCTGGGCTCAAGCGTAAGTACAGAAGCAAATTGATCCTATTATCATAAAGTCATATATGTGGAGTCCTGTGGTGTATTGGTTAAAGCACTCGCCTTGCAAGCGAGAGGAACCTGGGTTCGATTCTCGGGCAGGGAAAACCTCTGGCAAGTTTTCTCTAAGTAGGAACCGGTTGTTAGTCGATGGGCGGGTTGCTTTTCCCGGGGTAATAATCCCTTACAAGAAGCATTTTTCAAATAATAATTTGGTCACTCAATCCACAACTGTGTGTGGGGACACTGCTGTGCGCAATTGGCTGCCGCGTTTCGCCCACAAAATATAGAGTCAATTCACTTCACAGTATATTCTGTGAAGCGCTTTGAGACGTCTCAATGACGTGATAAGGCGCTATATCAAATGCAAGGATTATTATTATACCTTCTGCTCTTCCACGAGCGGTCTGTAATGAATGTGCTCGTGTGGTACACATTTTAGTGTCTTGGTGGATCCTCATCCTTTCATATTCATGTTTAAAATAAATTTTGATTTACCAGGGCCTGCACAGGTCAAGGTTTCAAAGTGTTCCACAGTTATTAAGGTCAAGTGTAGTGACTGATGCTGAAGACAAACGGGACAGTAAAACTCACATAAGTCGTATCAGTCGGGACCGGGATATTTAATATAGCTTACACCAAGTCCGAGTTGCAGGCAAACTGTGGAAATCGTATGAAATCTGATTTAATCAATAATCTACACTGCGCATTCGTAATTCAATGCAGCCGGTAAGTGCGGGAATAACGGAGGATTGGGGAGCAGCGTTACGAGTTAGGAGATGATTAATACGACGCGTGCAAATAAATCTAAGCGGTTTTGATTGGAAACTGAATGGGACTTGGGAGCATGTACGATTTAGGAGATTATATAACAACAACAAATAACATTTGTATCTCCCCTTTCACGTCAAGAGGATGACCCAAAGGGCTGGGAATACGATTTCAATCATGTCTCTTTTAACATTTCCTGCTTGCGTTGGTATAATTGTAATTTTTGTTCCCTCAGCGGTGGATAATGGGTGCGTGGCTTACGTATTAAGGACCGGGTTTAACACGTCTCAGGTAAGTTCCGAAAGTCTTGTGTTGTGTGAGCTGATGCCAGCTCTAGCTCAGTGAACACTCGTGGTCAGAGGCATCTTTCTGGCTCACTGGTATCAGTCTCCCCAAGTCTCCCCAAGCTCCTTCCCCTGCTGGGTAGTGTGTTGCTGTGCCAGCCTGAACCATAGACCACAGAAGTGTGAATACGTTCAACATAGTAGGAGGTCGTTCAAAATTATTATTTTGTGCTGGCGTTTGCTCTTCCCAAGAAGCCATCCACCCTACACACCAACGACTTGCATTTACACAGCGCCCCCTCACGCAGGGTGGCGTCCCAGAGCGCTTGACAGTGGTGGAACACAACACCGAGCCCAGGGTGGGGGGAGGTGGCCGTAGGCAGGAGCGCGACCTGAAGATGGGGAAGGCGGGGGCAAGGCGGAGGGGTTGAGGGAGAGAGTTCCAGAATTTTGGAGCGTAGCGGCTGAAGAATATACGTCTGAAAGATGGCACCTGGGCTATTTATTTCAGAAGGCCTGAATGAACTCCGTGTTCTAACTTTGCCCCCTGTAGTTTGTTGGCGCTCATTCAATGAATACAGTAGCGTGGGGAGTGGGATGGGAAGGAAGAGAGAGGGAGGACCTAGGTCTCTGTGAGGGAGGCACCTGAACAGGCCAACATTCAGGTTCAATGGTGCGTGGCTTAGGTATGCAAGGACTGGTTTTAACACTCCCCAGGTACGTCGTGCAGAAAGTCTTGTATTGTACGAAGTGATGTTTGCTGTTGATCAATGAACCCTCGTGGTCAGAGAAATCTCTGGCTCACTGCTACCAGTCTCGCCGAGTGATGTGAAGCCTTGGGGCTGGCACAGGTTCAGTTTGCCTGCTGGGAGGGGGGAGGGAGGAGGGAAGCCCCACAGCGGCTGGCCAAAGGATTTGGTAGGCATAGGAGGACTTGCCCATCCCTTTACCATGTGGGGCTGAGAACAGTAGGAGCATTAAACACCAATGGAGAAAATATTTGTGGCCTGACAGATCAGGACTATTGACTTTGGATTTCATAAGGCTTTCTCATCGACAACAAGAGGCAAATGACATTTACATGAAGGGCTTTGAGAGTCCTTGAAGGCGTGACAAGGCGTTATATTTCCTCCCATTTCCCTGTCCGTCTGGAGTTAGCCTGTCTGGCCCCGGGGCAGGCCGTACCGTACACGGAACAGGAATTACTCACCAACACTGAACTATCTCCCGTTAACTTCTCAGGGCAAGTTGCTACGCACCATCCTGTTTGGTGTCAAACGCGTCACGGCCAACAACCTGGAGACGTTTATCTTCATCCTGTTCCTCCTGGTCTTCGCTGTTGCTGCTGCCGTCTACGTCTGGGTGGAAGGTAAGTAAATCTGGCTGAGCCGTGTGTCTCCTTGACAATCGCTGGTTAGACTCCAGCAGTCAACACCGNCCCCCCCCCAACCAACGCACACTCTTGGCTTTCCCCCAAAGCCTTGGCTCTTGCCAACCTGCGCCTAATACTTTCCGGCATTAGGTAAGCAGGATGCGTCCCTCCCAACAACAACAACAATTTGCATTTGTGCAGCGCCCCTCACGCAGGGCGGTGGGTTTCCACACGTGTCGCATGTCACCCGGCCGGGCAAAAATAAATCAGCACCTCCGAAAACATCCCCTTTAGTGCTGTTTGTGGAAATAAACTATTACAGTTTACCCTGTCACAGCCCTGCGTAGAATTAAAGTCTAAATTGAACTGAGCGAAGAAGGCACTTTTGCCCCATCCAATCTCGTCCTCCCATCCCACCCGTCCTGCCGTTCCTCCCCCCCCATTACTGCAGCAGGGTCCCGAGCCAGGTTTTTATATTAATAATAATGATCATCCTTACGTTTGATACGGCTCCTTATCACGTGGTTGAGACATCTCGAAAAGTGCTTCACGTAATATACTGTATTTGTCTCGAAGCGCTTTTTGTAAACTCTCAAAGCGCTTCACGGAATATATTCCCCCCTCCCCCCAAAAAGAGAAAATTATGATCACTCCCACGGCTGTTTGTGGGGACGATGCTGAGTGCGATTGGCTGCCGCGTTTTGCCCACAAGATACAAAGTCAATTCACTTTACAGTATACTCTGTGAAGCGCTTTGAGACATCTCGAACAAATGGTAAGTGGCTTTATCAAATGCGAGGATTATTATTATTATTTGTAGATGGAACAGGTTCGAGGAGCACCAGCCAACCGATTGCGCACAGCAGCGTCCCACAAACAGTTGTGGATTGAGTGGTCACATTTTGTTGTTGGGGTTGGGGTTGCAGGTACAAAGGATCCCAACAGAAACCGCTACAAGTTGTTTTTGGAGTGCACGCTCATCCTGACATCCGTCGTTCCACCCGAACTTCCGATCGAGCTGTCCCTTGCTGTTAACACTTCTCTCATTGCACTGGCTAAACTCTGTAAGTACCGGGGCTTGTTACATTTACACAACGCCTTTCACGTCTGGAGGACGTCTCAAGTCAGGGATTTGGTCCTTGAGCTGGGGGTTGGCATCAGGTGGGGTGTGGGGCAGTGAGGGTGGGTGTCGGAGGGTGACCGAGGGTGCGGTCGAAGAGGAGGGTCTTGAGACGGGCCTTGAAGGAGGCAAGGGAGGGAGCGAGGAGAAGGGACTGTTGGCCGATGCTCTATCGGGTTGTGTGGCAGACATCAGGGCCTGGGTGAGTGCAAACTTCCTGCAAGACGGAAGCCACACTCCTTGGCTCCCGTCAATATCTTCACTCCTGCGGATCTGAACTCCTCAACCTCCCCTGGATCTCCATCACGTTCACCGAACGGGTGCACAATCTAGGAGTCCAGTTTGTCCCCCAGTTTCTTCCTCCCACACATCCGGTCCCTGACCAGGATCATTTTCCTCCACCTCCGCCATATTGCCCGCCTCCAACCGTAGCCCAAATGCAGCCGAAACCCTCGTGCATGTGTTTGTCACCTCCCGCCTGGATTACTGAAACCCCCTCCTCGCCGGTCTCCCCATCTCCACTATTCACAAGATCAGTTCATTCAGACTCTGCCGCCCACATACTGACCCCGAACAAACTCCGTCCCCACATCTCACCAGCTCTGGCCCAGGCTCCACTGGTTCCCCACCACCGAACAGAACAACTTCAAGATCCTCACACTCGTGTTCAAATTCCTTCCCTCTCTGGCACCTGACTCCCTCTTCGTCCTCCTCACTTCCCAAACCACCACCTGGTCAGCGCCTCCGCTCGACCGGCCCGGGCTCCCGCTCACCCCTCGCACCCTCCTCCCCATCATCGGAGGTCGGGGCTTTCAACCACTACGCCCCGAAACTCTGGAACACTCTCCCTCAATCCCTCCGCCTCCCCCCTCTCTCCCCATCTTCAAGTCCCGCCTGAAGACCTTCCTCTTTCATGTCAAAAGGACCTACAGCGCCTTATTGTTTCGTTGCGACGTCTCAAAGCGCTTCACAGAATATACTGTGAAGTGTAGTGACTGCATACTTTGTGGGCCAAGCGAATAACCGGTTTGAATCTGAAAAATTATTTGGAGGAGAAGAGAGCTGATTGATTGAATTTTCCCTGGGAAAGTTTTCTGAAATGTTGAAAGACGTTCACAAGGGAGTTGAGTAGATACATCTTCAAAACAAATCTATCTGAGCTGCTCTTTGGGGAACTGTGGATACAGAATTTATTGCGAGTGGGTGGAATACATTTCATAGTCCACGGTTTGCCATCGAGTCTCTCTGTTATGAAAGGTATGTATATATATATTATTATAATAAATAACTTTTTAATCTGTACAACATGGGGTCGACTACAGATGACGGGATCTCTTCTCTCACTGACCCTGTGTCTTTGTAATCTTTCTCTGCTTTCCGCCCCCCCACTCCCCCCTCCCCTCCTCTCCCCGAACGAAAGAAACTTTTGACAAATGTAAAGCTCTCCCATAGCTGACCATCTCTCTCTCTCTCTAAATATATAATATATATGTAATATATATATATGTAGCTTAGTGGATAGAGCACTCGCCTCGCAAGCGAGAAGACTTGGGTTTGATTCCCAGGCAAGGCGGAACGTTGGGAAAGTTTCCTTACTACACACACACAGATCTCTGTTTACGCTGCAGTTAGTAGGAACCCAGTTGTTAGTCGATTGGCAGATCGCTTTTCCGGAGGTAATAATCCCTTCAATCATTTATTAAAAAAATAATAAATTGGTCATTCAATCCACGACTGTTTGTGGGATCCTGTTGTACGCAATTGGCTGCCGCGTTTTGCCCACAAAATACACAGTCGATTCACTTCACAGTATATTCTGTCGAGCACTTTGAGATGTCTCGACAATGTGATAAGGCGCTGTATCAAATGTATTTATTATCGTTAATCAGTACAGTACATCACAGCTTGGATCACCGAAGAGCAACAATGTTTAAACAGCGTTGATAGAAATCGAACGCTGAAACGGGGAAAGAAATCCTCAGAAATGTATTTATTGAATCAAATACCGAGAGAGAGAGAGACTGAGGGAGACCTCCCCAGTCTGACTGGTTTAATGGACAGTCAGATCCAACCATTCCAACTGACCTCAAGTCAAGCTCAGAAATGTCGGGCGTGCCCAATATCTCTCTTGTCTCCAGTGTCGCTCTTGAGGAAAAAAAAATTCATGTAATTGATGTTAGGAATTTATGTCCTAATGAAAAATACATTTCGAGCATGTGGAGCCAAGAGCTGTACAACAGCCTGGGCCAAGCGAAAGTTTCTGGTTTGGCAAACATGTCCCAAACTGAGAGTATGGAATGGCCTTGTCTGCTTTCCCCCCCGCCTCGCTCCCTCCCTCGCCTCCTTCAACACCCGTCTCAAGACCCTCATCTTCGACCGCACCTTCGGCTGCCCTCCTACCCTCGCCCTCCACCCCCTCCTGATCCCAACTCGGGTGCAGATCCCTGACTGTCCAACGCCTTGGGACGTCCTCCTGATGTGAGAGGCGCTATACAAATGTAATTTTCAATTGTTGTTTCATACCGTTGCATTTGGAAACTGGATATGCTTTGCGGTAACCTGTATAATATATATGGAGTCCCGTAGCGTATTGGTTAGAGCGTTCGGCTCGCAAGCGAGAGGGTCTGGGTTCGATTCGGGGCGAAACCTTCAGCAAGTTTCCTAACCCCACACGCCTTTGTTTACCTAGCAGTGAGTAGTAACCCGCTTGTTAGCCGATTGGCGGTTCTCTTTTCCGTGGGTAATAATCCCCCCAATAAAATTGGTCACGCAATCCACGACTGTTTGTGGGACACTGCCGTGCGCAGTTGGCTGCTACGCTTTGCCCGCAAAAAATTCACAGTCACTCCACTTTACAGAATATTCCATGACGCGCTCTGAGACGTCTCAACGACGTGATAAGGCGCTGTATCGAATGCGAGGGTAAAAGCAAGAGAAGTAACTTCACATTGAAAATTCCTCGCTTCCTCTCCTGATCCCAGAGCCATGTTCTTGCCTTAACCTCCGGTTGATCCAGAGCCAGAGAGCTGCCTTGGGTCTGGCTTGGATTCCCTGGGCCAAGCCCACGGCCTTTATTATGACATTGACGAGAGCGAGACGCCATAAATGTTTGTGATTTAGCGCTGATATTTCTCAGCGAGGATAAATCTCGTGCTCCGATTTGACATGAGGTCCGTTCTATCAGATGAACAAGCCTTCTGATGTACAGTATGTGGTGCCTGCGTTTGCTTAAGATTGTTTGTGGATGATTACTGTCTCCTTGAGACAATAATTCATCCGGACGGGAAGAGATTCTCGTCTGGCAATCGCTGACAGTGAAGTATTTCACCTGCAGAATTGAACCGTGGATTGCGACTTTTACAGACAAATGAAGTTTACAAATCGGTTCGGAGTGGTGCAGATGTGTTTGATGTTTCTTTTGATCTGTCCTGACTCTGAAAGCTGTGTTGTGTGTGACATTCCTGTATGGGAGCGGGGGCCTGTGCGGCTGAAGCTGATTTAATGGGTTTGATTTCTTTTTTCTTTTGGCAAAGATTTTTGCTGATTTTTTTTTTTTTGCACAGCCTTTGCGGTGGTCGATGCCAAATGTGCGGTGCAGATTACAGCAACAACTTGGTAGCGTCCTAGAGCGCTCGGGATTACAGCGCTGAAACCATTGAAATCCTTGCTCGATGGGGCAATAAAATCTCCACTCTTTATCATAGGATGCTATAAGGGGAGACGTGTAGAGCTTGGAATGATTCGGAGCCAGAGACCAAAGTCATTGCTGCTCCTGATAAATTGGTCCCTGCTTACATGCAGAAATAATAATAATCCTTACATTTGATACGGTGCCTTATCACATTGTCGGGACGTCTCAAAGCGCTTCATAGGATTAAATATACAGTCAATTCACTTTGCAGTGTACCTGGAATGGGCTGTGTATCTGGAGTGGGCTGTGTATCTGGAGTGGAATGCACACTGTGAAGCGCTTTGGGGCTTCTCGAATCAGGCGCTGTATCAAATGCGAGGATTATTATATTATTCATTAAATGAAGTGGAGTGACTGCGTATTTGGTGGATGAAACGCGACAGTCAATTGTGCACAGCAGCATCTCACAAACATTCGCGGATTGAGTGACCAATTTAAAAAAAACCACAATGGTTTGAGGGAGTAATCCCCCCCCCACCCCCGGAAAAGTGATCCGACAATCGACTAGCAACCGGGTTCCTCTTTACTGCTAGGTAGACAGAGGTATATAGCAGCGCTATATCAAGAATTATTATCATGTAATATTTTGCTTTACCTTCTGGCTGGGGTTTACGGAGCGGGTAGAGAGCGGGAGCAGTAACGTTTGCTCTTTTGTCTTCCGTTCCAGATGTTTACTGCACGGAGCCATTCCGAATCCCATTCGCTGGCAAAGTACAATTCTGCTGCTTCGATAAAACCGGGACCCTGACCAGCGATAACCTAGTGGTCAGGGGGGTCGCTGGGCTCAGGTGAGTGCCTTCGGAGTAACGAGAATGGGGAGGGGCGGGGGAGGAGACAGCATATTGGTCACGTGTATTTCTTATTTGGCTATGACACACCATTGCTGAAGGGTCTCCAAACCAAACTGAGAATTGGGTCTTGGGTGGGGGGAGCCCAGAGTGTGTTTGGGGTAACTGCTGGAGTCTAACCAGCTAAAACCCACACAGCTTGGCCATTGAGAGCCCTGTCTGGCCGAGCTTTCCCGCTGCTTGTCCAGCGAGGACCACCCTCCCTGTTAGTTAGGGCTTTGGCTGCGGGGTTAACGGGAGCTGAGTGGGTGACTGGTCTGCCCTGGTTGGGCTGTGCTATCATCAGCAGTGAGTGTCCTGGAATACTGCAGATCCTCCTGGCTCAGGAACCGATCTACCTCTCCTGGATCAGTGTAGAACAGTGTAAGTCCTAAAAGTATTGTCCAATTGAACAGGCACAGGGGGACTTTGATAATAATGTTTCAAATAGCTACCTGATTCCCTCGTGAATTTACGGACAGTCTCTCCCTGGGTTGTCCATTCCAGATACATGCACCGCCTCGGGTTTAAATCAATTAACTTGTCCACGATTTATTATTTAAGTACTTAAATCGGTTCATCTGAGTTCTGCCCTCTCCTGAGCTCAGGGAAGTCCGTGCAAGTTTTATGTGAGGAGGGAGAGAGCGTGAGAGGGGGAAAGCACATTCTAATAGCAGTAAGTAGGATCACGGTTGTTCGTAGATTGGCGGAACGTGTTCCGGGAGTAAGAATCGTTTCCCCCTCCCTCTTCCTCCCCCCAAAAAAGTCACTCATTCCACGGCTGTATGTGGGACATTGCTGGGCGCAATTGAATGGAATCCAGAGCAGCAGCAAAACAGCCCTACTCCAGTCTATCCCCATCTTAACCTTTAGTCAGTGTGAAATTTTCATCCTCGTTTAATTAAACACATTTTTTTCCTTCCCAGTTATTAAATGGAGATGAGGGAATGACCCTTCGTTACTCCCAGATATTTCTTTCTCTCTCTCTCTCTCTCTGAAGCCTGGAGATTTAAGTATAGCTTCTGAGAATTAAATACAGCCCCTGTCGCGTGCGTGTGTGTGTATGTGTGAGTGTGTGGTGTGTGTGGGTGTGTTCCTCTTGGGGGACAGTGTGACCCTCACCATCAGCATCGAACTTGATGGATGGACGTCATTTCTGTCTTAGGGAGTATTTTTTAATGAGCGGATTTTATTCTCCCTCTCACAGTTGTTGAAAGTTAGCAGTCAACCTGTAAGATATTGTGCAGTGATTAGAGGGAGCCCATTGCTGACAGATCGGGGCTGCCTTGTGCAGTGATCCGGGGCTGAAAGTCATTCCAGTTAATCTTGTAGGACGTCCGACTGTCTGTTCGAGTCCTGCCCCGAGACCTGGAGAACACCCGAAAAGCATTGTGTTAAACAGTAATAATAATAATAATCCTTCCTTTCGATACAGCTCCTTATCACGTTGTCCAGACGTCTCAAAGCGCTTCACAGAATATACTGTAAAGTGAATTGACTGTATATATTGTGTGGGCGAGACACGGCAGCCAATTGCGCACGGCAGTGTCCCACAAACAGTCGTGGATTGAAGTGACCAATTTATTATTAGTATTTTTTTTTGAAGGGATTGTTACCCCCGGAAAAGCGATCCGCCAATCGCCTAACAACCGGGTTCCTACTTACTACTGGGTAAACAGAGGCGTGTGTGTGTGTATGTGTGCGCGTGTGTGTGTGTGTGGAGTAAGGAAACTTCCCCGCCCGGGACTCGAACCCGAGTCCTCTCGCTTAACCACTACGCTACAGGACTCCACAGAGAATTTCAACCCAACGGCGCTCAGAGACGTCCGGGCGTTGGAATAGAAATCAGCCTAAAAGGATTTTGAGAATGCTCTTTCCTTTTTTTTTTCCAAAAAAAAATTAAATGCCCAGATTAAAAACGCTGGAGCCATGAAACCTTGGCCCGAGGGAGCAGGTTCATCTTAATAACGGGCCCATTGTTCAGCGCCAGGGCAGGTGCAGGCAGCTCGCGTGTTAAGACAGCTCATAAGAGTGGGGTTGAGAGATTGACTGGGGCCTCGGAGGTGTGGGCTAAGGTCGCGCTACACTGCTCCGTTTGTTAGCCCAGCGATGGAACGGAGAGAGTGCTTTTTTTTTTTCCTTTTTAAATTTATTTACCGTCACTCTTACCCCCGCCGGGACCTTTTAACCGTCCCTCCGCCACCCCTGGTGTCAAAACAACAGCGACAGATTATTATTATTGTAATAATAATCTTTGCGTTCGATTCAGCACCTGATCTCATCTCAAAGCGCTTCACAGAATATCCTGTAAAGTGAATTGACTATATGTTTTCGGGGGGCGGAACGCAGCAGGCAATTGCGCACAGCAGCGTCCCGCAAACTGCGGTGGATTGACTGACCGTTTGGTGGGGGGGGGGGGGGTTATTGGATAGGATTTGGACCCGATCTGGGGGTTGGGATCAGAAGGGCAGGGGGAGGTGTGGGTAGGAGGGTGACCGAAGGCGCGGTCGAAGAGGATGGTCTTGAGGTTGGCCTTGAAGGAGGCGAGGGAGGTGGGTGTGGGGGACGAGGCGAAGGGACTGCGGGATGGAGTTCCAAAGAGTGGGGGTGGGGGAAAGGCTGAAGGCCCGACCGTCGATGGTGGGGCGGGAAGGACCGGGGGGGACGCGGGGCAGGCCGGAGCCCGTAGATTTTTACGGGATGAAACAGCGCTGATAACACCAGTGCCTTTGCGTCGTTTTTTTTCAGCCGATCGTTTTTTGCGTAGCGGGGAAATGCAAATAGTTTTGTGCAATCTGTCGAACGCAAGACTGAAACCTTTTATTGATCGAAAGCTCTTACTTGGGAGAAAATAGTACTTTTTTTTTTAAAAAAAAAGGTGACGTTGTGTTGTGGTGTGCGCTGCTTGCTCTGTGCAGTGAATTACACAGCCCTCTGGTGAGCTGTGCAGGAATCGCAGCCACACGCAAATGCCATTCTGTCAATCAGCGAGCGGGCGGGCGAGTGGCGCTACTGGTAAAAAGGGCATCGTTTATTGGTAGCCGTTGCTTCTCAGTTTACAGTCTTTGTTTCTTTCTACGCACTGCTCTCGGACTCGAGGCTCTCTCTCTCTCTCTCTTTCTCTCCTCTCTTTCCCTCTCTCAATTCTCTCGCTCTATTCTTTCTCTCTCTTCTCTCTTCTCTCTCTCGCTCTCCTCTCTCTCCCTTTCTCTCTCTTGCTCCCTCTTCTTTAATAATAATAATAATAATAATCCTTGCATTTGATATAGCGCTTTTCACGTCGGGAGGACGTCCCAAAGCGCTACACAGAATATACTGTAAAGTGAATTGACTGTATATTTGTGGGCGAACGCGGCAGCCAATTGCGCACAGCAATGTCCCACAAACAGTCGTAGATTGAAAATGACCAATTTATTATTGTTTGGGGTTTTGGAGGATTATTATTAGGCTCTGTGTGGAGTAAGGAAACTTGCCCGAGGTTTCGCCCTCTGCCTGGAATTGAACTCAGGTCTCTCACTTGCAAAGCGAGTGCTCTAACCACTGAGCTACAGGACTCCTCCAGCTCCAGGACTTTCCCTCTCTTCTCTCCTCTCTCCCCTCCTCTCTCTGTTCTCTCCCTCCTCTTCTCTCTTTCTCCTGTCCCGCACTTACCAGTGGCCTGGAATCATCATCGACGACAACAACACGCATTTATATAGCGCCCTTCACGTGGGATAGAGTCCCGGAATCGCGGGAAACAACATTGTGAGTCGTTGACACACATGCGCAGAAGAACCTAATGTCCCGCGGTTCAATGTGATTCCAACACTCGCTGATAAGTGCACATGCAGCAACGGGTCAAGACACATTGAGTCACGGGAGGTGCGGCGCTGTTGGGAGTGGTGACTGAGGTCTTTGCTGTGTGATTACAGGGAGGGGAAGGAGGTGGTGCCGGTGGCTGAGATTCCATTGGAGACGCACAGGGTGGTAGCGACCTGCCACTCGCTGGTCCAGATGGACGATGGGACGTTGGTGGGAGACCCTCTTGAGAAGGCGATGCTCACAGCGGTGGACTGGACATTGACTAAAGGTAAGCACTTGGAAGAGACGCCCAAGTGCAGCTCGTCTCCAGTTTTCTTACTCTGTTTACCTGGCAGGACGTAGGACCCGGGTTGTCGTCGATTGACGGGCCAGGGGTCATAATCCCTTCAAAAATAATAACAGACATAATAATAATTTGGTCACTCGATCCACCCACGACTGTTTGCGTGTAAGGGATCGCAGCTGCGCGCAATTGGCTGCCGCGATTCGCCCACAAAACACGCAGTCGCTGCACTTTACAGTACGTTCTGCGAACCCGTCTCGAGACCGCGATAAGGCGCTGTATCAAATGTGAGGATTATCGTTATTTTATTATTGTTTTAATGCGTTTTGATAAGAGCGCCTTCTCACGTCGTTGAGACGTCCCAAAGCGCTTCGCAGAATGTACCGTGGAGTGGAGTGACCGGGCACGCTGCGAGCGAAACCGGTTGATGCCGTTTCCCTGTTGGGTGGCGGGGATTGAGCAAAGGAACTATTGCGCCTGACTGCTTACTGTCCGCTGTTCATGTTCCGCCTTCTGCGTCTCCAGATGAGAAAGTGTTCCCGAAAAGTATCAAGTCTCAGGGCGTGAAAATCCACCAGCGCTTTCACTTTGCCAGCGCCCTCAAAAGGATGTCTGTCCTCGGCTCTTATGAGAGGATGGGCTCCACTGATCTCCAGTACATCAGCGCTGTGAAGGGGGCTCCCGAGACCCTGCGGAGCATGGTAAGGTGCTTAACGAGGACGTCAAAACGTGTACAGCAATCCGAGGAACGCGTTACTCAGCCTGGGGTTCGTTGTAAAGGAACACAGGGCCGTAGGAGCAGGAATAGACCATTCAGCCCCTCGCGGCTGTTGCCCCATTCCATTCCGTCCTGGCTGATCGTGGAGCTATTTGAAAGGAGAAGGAAGTTTCTCTCTCTCTTTCTCTCTCTCTCTCTCTCTCTCTCTCCCCGTGTCCTGGCCAACAATCTCCCCAACAAAATTGGTCACTTGCTTCCTGGCTGTTTGCAAGACGTCACGGTGTGCAATCCTGTGCGCGGTAAAAACCCGTGAAGCGCTTTGAGACGTCCTCCCATCGTGGAGTCCTGCAAGCTCAGTGGTTAAGAACGCTTGCCTCGAAAACAAGAGCACCCGGGTTCGATTCCCAGGCGGGTCAGGGCAAAACATTGGGCAAGTTTTCTTACTCCACACACACACCTCTGTTTGCCCAGCAGTAAGTAGGAACCCGGTTGTTAGTCGATTGGCGGATTGCTTTTCTGGGGATATAGTTCCTTCAAAAAAACAATAATTTGGTCACTCAAAATGGGAGGATTATTATTTTATTGCAATGACTGTACCAAATGTGAAGACTATTCCCATTGTTTTTCTTTTCTTCCAGTTTTCAGTGCGTCCAAACAGCTACGACACCGTCCACACTGAAATGTCACGAGAGGGAGCGAGAGTCTTAGCTTTGGGGTATAAGGAGATAGGACATCTCACTCACCAACAGGTAACCCTGTCCGTTATCCTTAGCCGTCGGTGGCCATGCTTTCAGCCACTGCGCCCCGAAACTCTGGAACACTCTCCCTCAATCCCCCCCCTCCTTTCTCCATCTTCAAGTCGCGCCTGAAGACCTTCCTCTTCGAACGCGCCTTCGGTCACCCTCCTATCCCCACCCTCCCCGCCTTCCAGCCCCTCCTGATCCCAACCCCCAGCTCGGGTCCGAATCCCTGACTGTCCAGCGCCTTGGGACGTCCTCCTGACGTGAAAGTCTCGCGGTAATGTCATTTGTTGTTGTTGTTGTTGCTATAGATTTTCAGGCTGTGAATGTCACAAAAAAAGCGGTCTTTTCGATGTAAAAAGCTCTGTAAATATCATTTGGTATTGATAATGATGATGTTGTTGTGGTTGATAATGATGTTGATGTTGTGGTTGACGATGATGTTGATGTTGTTGGTGATGATGATGTTGTGGATGATGATGATGATGATGTTGTTGTTGATGATGATGATGATGGTGTGGTTGATGTTGTTGTTGATGATGATATTGGTGATGATGATGTTGTTGAGGATGATGATGATAATGTTGATAATGATGTTGATGTTGTGGTTGATGATGATGTTGTTGTGCTTGATGATGATGTTATGATGATGATGTTGTTGATGTTGAGGAGGAGGATGATGATGTTGTTGTTGTTGATGATGATGGTGATGATGTTGTTGAGGATGATGTTGATGATGGTGTTGTGGTTGATGATGATGATGTTGAGGAGGAGGAGGATGTTGTTGTTGTTGTTGATGATGGTGATGATGTTGTTGAGGATGATGTTGATGATGATGGTGTTGTGGTTGATGATGTTGAGGAGGAGGAGGATGTTGTTGTTGTTGATGATGATGGTGATGATGTTGTTGAGGATGATGTTGATGATGATGGTGTTGTGGTTGATGATGATGATGTTGAGGAGGAGGAGGATGTTGTTGTTGTTGATGATGAAAGTGATGATGTTGTTGAGGATGATGTTGATGATGATGGTGTTGTGGTTGATGATGATGATGTTGAGGAGGAGGAGGATGTTGTTGTTGTTGATGATGATGGTGATGATGTTGTTGAGGATGATGTTGATGATGATGGTGTTGTGGTTGATGATGATGATGTTGAGGAGGAGGAGGATGTTGTTGTTGTTGATGATGATGGTGATGATGTTGTTGAGGATGATGTTGATGATGATGGTGTTGTGGTTGATGATGATGATGTTGAGGAGGAGGAGGATGTTGTTGTTGTTATTGTTGATGGTGATGATGTTGTTGAGGATGTTGATGATGATGGTGGCGTTGTATGTATATTTCTAAACCTGCGTCTCGTGTTTGCTCCAGGTCCGGGAGATGACCCGGGAGGACTTGGAGTCCGACCTGAAATTCGCCGGCTTCATTGTCGTGTCTTGTCCCCTTAAGAGCGACTCGAAAGCCGTCATCCGAGAGATTCAGAACGCTTCCCATCATGTAAGTGCGGGCGGGGCGGGCCGGGCGGGCGGGGCGGGCGGGCCGGAGCCAGGGTTTCCGTGCGCTCCCATCGACGCCACTAACAATAATATTCCTCGCACCCCATCTCGCCAACAGCAGTCAGGGTTCAGACTCCTTGCCACCCCTGCACTCACTCACTCACTCACTCACTCACTCACTCACTCACTCACTCACTCACTCACTCACTCACTCACTCACTCACTCACTCACTCACTCACTCACTCACTCTCTCTCTCTCTCTCTCCCTCTCTCTCTCCCTCCCTCTGTTCAAGATCCACCTCTTACCTCCCAATTAATTCTATTCGGGACGTCCTTCCGATGTGAAAGGCACTGTACAAATACAAAGTTGTGTTGTATTATAATAATCTTTGCATTTGATGCAGCGCCTGATCACGTCTGGGAGAACAGCGTGAGTGTTGGCTCTTTTTACGGTGTCAGGAGACATCCACTGTTTAGCCATTGAGAAGCCAGTTATTTTGAGTGAGACAATGTGATTTGAAGGAAGCCTTGTTTTTAAACAAGAAACTCTCTGATTTTCTCCTCCTCTGCTTTATCCTCTCTCCCTCTGTCTGTCTCTCTCTCTCTCTCTCTCTCTCTCTGTGCAACTCTCTCGCTGTGTCTCTCCCTCTCTCGCTCACTCTCCACTCCCTCTCCCTCTCTCTCGCACTCCCTCTCTCTCGCACTCCCTCTCTCTCGCACTCTTCCTCTCTCTCGCACTCTTCCTCTCTCTCGCACTCTTCCTCTCTCCCTCTCTCTCCTGCTCGCTTGCTCTCTCTCCCTCTCTCTCTCTCTCTCTCTCTCTCTCTCTCTCACTCACACCCTCCCTCCCTCCCTCCCTCCCTCCCTCCCTCTTCCTCTCTTCCTCTCTCTTCCCCCCCCCCCGTCTCTCCCTCTCCCCTTCTCTCTTGCTCTCTCCCTCTCTCTCTTGCCCCTCTATCTCTGTCTCGTTGCAGGTAGTAATGATTACCGGTGACAACCCCCTGACTGCTTGCCATGTGGCCCGCGAGCTCCACTTCATACAGAAAGATCACACACTGATTCTGCAAGCACCGCACACCAGAGGTAAAGGCTCCGTCACCCAGAGCACTCAGCTCACAGTCTGTGTTAGACCTTCACAGCTTTATTAAAGCTTTTCATTGCAATCGATAGTAAGCAGCCTGGGACACTACCCTGTGTGAGGGTATGTTTTGTGGGCGAAAAAGGTCTTGAGACAGTTGTGCGTGTGTGTGTGTGAGTGAGTGTGCGCGTGCGCACGTGTGTGTGGGTCCCTGGTTCAGATGATGGCATGTACGGGGTCTTTGGGTCAAACAGTTGTGTGTAGAGGGGGTGGGCTCCGAGTCAGATGGTTGCATGTGGGGCGGTGGGGGGGGCTCTGCATCAGATGCGTGTGTTGTGGGGGGGGGGGGGGGGGTTGGTCTCTGAAACGGAAGCGAGGATGTATTTCTTCGTTTCTAAAGATGAACACTTTGCATTGACCTGTAGGTGTTGAGTGGTGGTGGGAATCCATCGATGGCACCATCACCATCCCCATGATTCCAGCCTCCGCCAGGGACCTGACCAAATACTATGATCTGTGTATGACGGGGGAAGGTCTTACTCACTTAAACACCATCGACAGGAAGTTTCTGCTGAAGCTCATTCCTCACGTGCAAGTGTTTGCTCGGGTCGCACCCAAGCAGAAGGTTAGAGACCGTCTATAATCTATAATCAATAATTAATAATCATCTTTGTGTTTGATACATCGCGTCGTTGAGACGTCTCAAGTAGGTTCATGCCAGAATTTGCCGTAAACGGCCTTGCTCCCTCCTACCTCTCCAACCTACTATCCCCCTACCTACCTGCCCGTACCCTCCGTTCCTCTGGCTCCGGTCTGCTCCACGTCCCCGCCCAACCGCCCTACCATTGGTGGTCGGGCCTTCAGCCTCTCAGCCCCCAGGCTCTGGAACTCAATCCCCCAGTGCCTTCGCCGCTTCCTCCCTTTCCTCCTTCAAGGCCGGTCTCAAAACCTTTCTCTTTGACCGTGCCTTCAGCTCCCCTCTCGACTCTCTTCCCCCTCCTCGCTCCCTCCCTTCCCTCACCCTGACCATTTCCCCCCTCCTTGCTCCCTCCCTTCCCTCCCCTCACCATTTCCCCCCTCCTCGCTCCCTCCCTTCCCTCCCCTCACCCTGACCATTTCCCCCCTGCTCGGGGCATGACCCAACTGTGCAGCGCCTTGGGACGTCCTCCTGACGTGAAAGGCGCTTTATAAATGGAATCTTGTTGTTGTTGTTGTTGTTGTAAAGTGGCTTGACTGTATTTTGTGGGCGAAAAGCGACAGCCAATTGCGCACAGCAGCGTCCCCACAAACAGTCGGGGAACAACTACAACAACAACTGGCACTTATATAGCGCCCTCCACTCAGGCCTGTACACACTATGTCTACCTGTACAGTGTGTGCGCCTTACATTATATCTTGTGAAGTGCTTTTGAGATGTCTCGACTATATCGCAATATCAGATTCAAGGATGATGATTATTATTATTATTTTTACCCTCAAAAATAATCTAGATGTTCTTCAGTCTTCATTCCATAAAACCATAGAAGGTTACGGCACAGAAGAAGGTGGTTCAGCCCCATCGTGTCTGTGCATCGTGTCTCCTAACCAAATCGCGCACGTCTGTCGAACTAAAGGAGTCATGTGAATTATAGTAATAATAATCCTTGCATTTGATACAGCGCCTGATCACATCTGCGAGACGTCTCAAAGCGCTTCCCAGGACACGCCGTAAAGTGAATTGACTGTACAGTTTGCGGGCGAATCGCGGCAGCCCATTGCGCACAGCGGCGTCCCCGCAAACTGCCGTGGATTGCAGCCACCAATTTTTTTTATTTTAAAAGAAAAATCGTGTCTCACTCTTAACTGTGAACGTGCAACTTCCTTTCCGTTACAGGAGTTTGTGATCACGAGTTTCAAGAGCCTGGGTTTCACTACGCTGATGTGTGGCGATGGGACAAATGATGTCGGGGCTTTGAAACACGCTGACGTGGGTGAGTACGTGGCAGAGTACGTCGGGTGTTCGGGGGGAGTTAGAGGAAATAACAAAGAGTTATGCCTTTCGATGTCTGGTGCCTCGGCCCTGATGAAACTCTGGAACTCCATCCCACATTCCCTTCACCTCGCTCACCTCCCTCACTTCCTTCACGACCTGTCTCGAGACCCTCGATGTAGTCACTCAATCCACAACTGTTTGTGGGCCGTCGCAGTGCTCCATTGGCTGCAGCATTTTGCCGTCAAAATACACAGTCACTACACTTTACAACGTATTCTGTGAAGCGCTTTGACGTGATGAGGCGCTGTATCAAATGCACGGATTATTATTATTATTCCCCACCCGCAGTTCGGGGGTGAACCCCTCTTTGACCAGCGCCTTGGGACGTCCTCCCAATGTGAAAGCCGCCGTATAAATGTTATTTGTTGTTGTTGATGACGTTTCACAGAACATACTATAAAGTGAATTGACTGCGTATTTTGTGTACGTTTATCTGGGTGTCGTGCGTGTTATTGCGTGTGCTGGAGGGTTTTTGCGTGTTCTGGCGGGTTATTGCACGTCCTGGTGTATTGCTGCGTGTTCTGGTGTGCGTGTTGTCGCGTGTTCTGGCCCGCTGCCGCGTGTTCCGGCGCGTTGTCGCGTGTGCTGATGCGTTCCTGCGGTGTTACAGCCGGTTCTGGCGTGTTGGTGTGCGTTCTGCCGTGTCGCTGCGTGTGTTCTGGAGTGCGATCGGCGCGCCTGACCTGCCTCTCCTCCAGGCGTGGCGCTGCTGGCCAACGCCCCCGAGCGAGCCCCGGAGAGGAAGAGGAAGATGAAGGAGCTGCTGAACGACGCAAAGCCATTCAGCTCCGTCCCCGGCAGCAACCTGAAGGCCAGCTCCCGGGGGGCCAGACACCGGGTCATGTCCCAGAGAGAGGAGCAGCTGGCCTTACAGCGTGTGAGTCACCCTCGGGCCGTCTTCTCCTCTGGCCAGTAGGAGGGGGGGGGGGGTGGGGGTCCAACCGTTTGGCCGCTGAGGGTTTGAGGAGCGCCTGCGGGCTGCCCGAGCACTTTGGGACGCTACCCCGCGCGGAGGTTACAACAAACAGCGGCAGCAACAACTTGCACTTAACACAGCGCCCTTCACGCGGGGTGGCGTCCCAGAGCGCTTGATGGTGGCGGAGTCTGACCCCGAGCCGGGGGGAGAGGGAGGGAGATCGAAAGGGCAGTCGAAGAGGAGGGTCTTGCGATGGGTCTTGAAGGTGGCGAGGGAGGGGGCGAGGCGGAGGGACTGCGGGATGGAGTTCCAGAGGGTGGGGGCAGAGTGGCAGAAGGCCCGCCCGCCAATCGTGGGACGAGCGGAGGGAGCGAGCAGGGTGGTAGGGGGTTAGGAGATCACAGAGATAGGGGGGGAGCGAGGCCATGGAGGGCTTTGAAGGTGAGGACCAGGATCTTGAACTGTATCCTCTGTGTGATGGGAAGCCGGTGGAGTCGGGCGAGGATGGGAGTGATAGGGTCGCGGAGTCTGGTGGGGGTGAGGATGGGAGTGATAAGGTCGCTGAGCCTGGTGGGGGTGAGGATGGGAGTGATAGGGTCGCGGAGTCTGGTGGGGGTGAGGATGGGAGTGATAGGGTCGCGGAGTCTGGTGCGGGTGAGGACACATTACTGTCCTCTGAATGCTAAGGTTGGTGGCAGTGACTGTTGACGCTTGTGATTCTCTATCGGTGCGCTCTTGTGATTATTATTAATCTCTGTGTCTCTCCCCCCAATAGGAGCGGCTGAACCAGGTGCTGAAGGACCTGGAGGAAGACCAGATGCCTGTAATTAAACTGGGAGATGCCAGCATCGCCGCACCGTTTACTTCTAAACTCTCCTCCATTCAGTGCAGTGAGTATGTGTGTGTGTGTGTGGGGGTGAATCTGTGTACGAGTCTGTGTTTTTTCTGTGAGTCTATGTGTGTGTGAGTCTGTGTGTCTGTGTATAAGTGTGTGTGAGTCTGTGTGTGTGAGTCTGTGTGTGAGTATGTGAGTCTGTGTATCTGTGTGTGTGTGAGTCTGTGAGTGTGTCTATGTGTGTGTGATGTATTTGCGTGTGTGAGTGTGTGTGTGTGAGAGTCTATGTATGTGCATAAAAATGTATGCGTGTATGTGTGCTCTGTGTAAGCCTGTCAGCTCCCTGAGAGGAGGAGGAGAGGCTAAAAGTGGCAACAGATCAAACTGGAGTATTTCCCCTGCCCCCCCCCCCCCCACCCCCGGCCCCTCTGTTTGCCGCCCTTGTGTAACGCTCGCGGCCGCTCTCTCTCCACAGTCTGTCACGTGATAAAGCAGGGACGCTGCACGCTGGTGACCACGCTGCAGATGTTTAAGATCCTGGCTCTGAACGCGCTGATCCTGGCCTACAGCCAGAGCGTCCTGTACCTGGAGGGAGTCAAGTTCAGCGACTTCCAAGCCACGCTGCAAGGCCTCCTGCTGGCCGGGTGCTTTCTCTTCATCTCCAGGTCGAAGGTACAGTGGATCCGATCTAGAGGAGCCCGGGAGGCGGCTTCGACTGGGACCTCGTTCCTAACGTTAAATAACCACGATAGTAATATCCCTTCCATTTGACGCAGCGCCTTATCGCGTCGTTGAGACGTCTCGAAAGCGCTTCACGGGATATACTGTGCAGTGTAGCGACTGTGTATTTTGTGGGCACAGCAGCGTCCCCACAAACAGCCGTGGATTGAGTGACTTATTTGGGGAGGAATTATTACCCGACAATCGACTAACAACCTTACCGCTGGGTAAACAGAGGCGTGTGTGTGCGTGTGTGTGCAGCAAGGGAACTTGTTTAAGGTTTTGCCCTGCCCGGGAATCGAACCCAGGCCCCCCGGCTTGTGGAGGCGATGGCTCCAAACCACTACGCTACAGGGCTCCGCTGCGTTGACGGAAAGTCTACGGTAAAATGGAAGAATGCAGAACACCTGACAGCTATTATCAGGCAATAAAGGAGATAGGTAACTGGGACGGTTTATAACCAGTGCCTGAATTTGCAGAGATTAACTGCCTCAAATCACACTGTCTTTAATTTTTATAACTGTTCTGCGAGCCATTTAGTTTCATTGGTTTTCTTGTCCGTGCCAACGCGAGAGAGGCAAGGGATAGGGGCGCTCTCGAAGACAATTAATTGATGGCCTTTTAATGTGGTGGTTGTAACGATGGACGTAAGCGTAACTGCCTTAGAGCCCGACACACAGCTGGTATCCCCAGAAGACAGACAGACGAACACACACGCACCGACAGACACAGAAGTTGACAGACAGACAGACAGACTGTGTGAAATATCAGATGCATGGTGACATCTCTCATCTCATTTGCTATAACGAGTTTGTTCTCTCTCTCTCTCTCTCTCTCTCTCTCGCTCTCTTTCCGATTGACTGCAGCCGTTGAAGACGCTATCGAAGGAGCGACCTCTGCCGAACATATTCAACCTTTACACTGTGCTAACTGTGCTCCTGCAGTTTGCTGTGCACTTTGTGAGTTTAGTGTTCCTGTACAAAAAGGCCCAGGAGAGAGCTCCCTCCAGGTGAGGCCCTCTTTGTTTGTACCTTCGACAGAAACATTTGGTCACTCAATCCACGACTGTTTGTGCGTGCGGGGACGCTGCTGTGCGCAGTTGGCTGCCGCGTTTCACCCACAAAACACGCGGTCAATTCACTTTACCGTATATCCTGTGAAGCGCTTTGAGACGTCTCGATGACGCGATAAGGCGCTGTATCAAACGCAAGGATTATTATTGTACATTAAATAATATAACGCGCTAAAATATTAAAAGACGGCTATCTGTGGAACATTGCTGTGCACAATTGGCTGCCGCAATTTGCCCACAAATACACTGTCAATACACTTTACAGTATATCCTGTTTTTTTTTGAGACTCTCAAACGATGTGATGAGGCGTTATATCAAATGCGAGGATTATTATGTACAGATTCATACGCAGTACGCAAAATACTGCAGATGCTGGAAATCTGAAACAAGAACAGAAGTGGCCGGGAACACTCAGCAGGTCACGCAGCATCTATGGAGAGAGGAAAGTGAGTCAAAGTTTCGGGTCCACGACACGCACGGACGAAGGGTCTTGGACCTGAAACGTTGACTCACTTTCTTTTCTCCATAGATGCTGCCTGACCCGCTGAGGGTTCCCAGCCACTTCTGTTCTTGTTTCATATACACGGTCCTGGTCAAAGCATGTAATGTGCCAGTAAGCGACTGGTGACTTCGCCTGGTCGACGTAGAAAACCTTCGGCAAGCTCGCTCGCTCGGTGCAGCGATCGACGGATTGCCGTAGGAGTCGGGTGGATCTGCTTCCAGGCCATCGCTTCTCTTGCTTTCGTTTTCACTGCTTTATTTCCCCCTCTTGTTCTTCGCCCCGTCCCCAGAACAGACGAGTTTGTGGATCTGTACAAAGAGTTTGAGCCCAGCCTGGTGAACAGCACGGTCTATATCATGTCCATGGCGATGCAGATGGCTACGTTTGCCATTAACTACAAGGTAAATCCAATCGCCGCGTAACTCCTGAGGTGATTGTGGACCGTGTCTGTCCGGTCTCACTCCGCTCAGTCCAAATCCCTGATTGTCCAGCGCCTTGGGACGTCCTCCCGACGTGAAAGCCACTGTGTAAATGTCGTTAAAAGGTAAAATCCCGCAGAGGCCGGAAATCTGAAACAAAAACAGAAGCCGCTGGGAACACGCAGCAGGTCAGGCAGCGTCTATGGAGAGAGGAAAAATGAGGTTATCGACCTTCCTGACCTATTGCGTGTTCTCCAGCGACTTCTGTGTTTATAATAGTGACGGTGTAACGTGTTGTTGCCGTTGCTATTCCTGACTAAATACTAAATACACGCTCTCCTTCCCTGGGGACTTTACTCCGCTTCGCACATTTTTAAACTGCAGATTATCCGCTTTCCCATCTCCCCTCTCGTCTCTGTCCCCTTACTCTCTCTCCCCCCACCCACCTCGTGCCTCTCCCTTAACGTCCTCGCTGCGGTGCCGTTGCTGGCCGCTGTAGCCTGACCTGCGCGTTATTTTCAGGGGCACCCGTTCATGGAGAGTCTGAGGGAAAACAAGCCGCTGCTGTGGAGTGTGGTGGTCTCAGGCCTGGCCATTGTCGGTCTCCTGTCGGGGTCCTCTCCGGAGTTCAACCAGCAGTTTGGTCTGGTGGACATCCCGACTGAGGTAAGGACACAGACCAACGGGGAGAGGCCTGCAGTGTCAGCGGTTGGAGCGCCCACATCCCGAGGACCCGGGTTCGATTCCCGACGTCTCAAAAAGCGCTTCACGGGAATACATTGTAGTGTACTTTATAGGACGAACCTCAGCAGCCAGTCGCGCACAGCGATGTCCCACCAAGCCATGGATTGATAAATCTTATCCTAGAGGGATTATCGCCCCAGGAAAGCGGTTCACCTTACAACTGGGTTCCTGCTTACCGCTGAGTAAACAGAGGGGTGCGTGCGTGGAGTTAGGAAAACTGCCTGAGGTTTCACCCTGAGCCGCCTGGGAATCGAACCCAGGTCCTCACTTGCGACCTGATCGGCGCCGTCTTGCGGTGAATGGCGACTGTTTTAAGACTCTTCGTCTAAGCGCGTGATTTGCTTCCTCCCACGCAGTTCAGGACGGTGATTGCCGGAGTGCTGGTGGCCGACTTCGTAGCAGCGTTGATGTTGGACCGTCTCCTGCAGGTGTTATTGGGCAGCAGCAGATTTCACACACCTTCCTGATAGACTCGCGGGAGAAGAGCGAGAGAGAGAGAGAGAGAGAGAGAGGGGTGGGGGTGGGGGGGGTGTGTGTGCGGAGATTCAGACCAGACAAGCTCAGCCCGTCCCAGCGCTCACCCACACTGCTCGCTCGGCAACGTTACGGGACGAGCGGGAGCCTGGACAGCCACCGCTGAGGGGGAACTTCAATCCGCAGACCGTTTTTCTTAAGATGGTTTTTTTTTGATAAAAATTACAACTGGTATTTTCCTACCTACCAAAAAAAAAATGAATAATAATAATAATAATAATAATTCCGGAAGGAAAAGCAAAAAAAAATAAAAACCTGTGCTCCACAGACACGAGCTGTTGGGAATGCGATGCCGGCCCCGTGTCCGTGTAAAAACCAACCACTGTGGAATGTGAAAGTGCTTATTGCTGGAGTTTCCTTCTTTGTAAACACTCCACCGCCACCGCCGCCACCGCCACGGAGAATGCCTTCAATAGATTTCATTGATGCAAAAGCTCAAAGCTTTTCTCGTTGGCTCCAGTTTGGCTTTATGGTGGCGGGCGGGAGGAGGGACTGTTTCAGAGCGAGGGCAGGGCATCGCGACTCGCAAGAGTTTGCGATGTTTCTTTCAGTGAATATATTCCATATAGACCTGTCTGCCTGTTCCGTGTTCCTGCCCTTCCCATCGCCAGTCCAGCCCGCACCCCCCACCCCATCTCTTCGACCACACCCTCTGGCACTCTCTTACCCTCTACCCTCCCTCCTGTTTCCAACTCGGGTCCAAATCCCTGACTGTCCAGCACCTTGGGACGTCCTCACGATGTGAAAGGTGCTGTGTAAACGTCATTTGTGGTTGTTGAACACAGTGATAGCTCATAGCCACACAGGAACTGCTCAGCAAAAAAAAAAAATGACCCGAGGTCAATCTCGCTCACCTTTTACCACCCTGGCGGTTTCCGTTCCACGCGAGGAAGCAAACCCACTCGAGTGACATCGAGAAAACCCTCAACGAACAGATCGGTAGCGAGTCAGTCTTGTGCAGCTCTTGCTGTTTCCGTGGGAGAACATTTGGGGTTAAACCCGACACTGTGCTCGATCGTGAAATGCGAACGTGGGACAAATCGCCCTTCGAAACCATTTAAATGTGAACCAAATCAGGTGCTGAAGCCTACTGTGTAGCAGAATATTTTAATGAAAAGATAAAACAGACAGAACAGGACAGGCCTCACTCACGCTGCGCCGTCCAGGCTCGGCAGCTCGGTGTGTGTACGCTCCACATTAAACACGCTTGTTTCTTTACACCGGACATGCTGTCATATCACTGTGTGGACCCCATTCCCACAGGCAGAGTTCCAGCCACTGCCCACAACCATCCCGTCTGTTAGCAACCGAGTCGCAAATGTAACCCACCCACCACCCGTAGACACACGTTTATGAAGCGACGCCGGACTGATTAACGCCAGTTCTAAAAAAAATACATTAAAAAAATTACAATCTCAGGGATGCGCCCGAGGGTGAGGACAGCCACCATTGATATCCACTTCCTGGTCAGTGTGGGGATCGGCCGGGGTTGCCCTTCCGCTCTAACCCTAGCCCAGGGGCACCGAGGGCAACCTGGCTCAGCTTGTGGTGTTCCTCATCGCATGGCTCAGTGCCGCCCTGCATTCACCAGTGTGATCAGACTGGCCTTATCGTAGTGTCTTAAACGCTTACATTATTTTTTTTATATCAACGTACACAATCCTCAATTACAATCGATCCCGTTCCCAGAGACTACACGAGCTTATCTGCTTCTGTAAGGCGGGGCAGTCCAACTGGCGGCCCGCGGGCCGGATGCGGCCCTTGAGCAGCGTGTCCGAACCAGGCAGGAAAAACTCTTGACGCGAGGCTCCAGTTAGGCAGGAGAACCTGGCGATCACTTTCAAACCAGTAACGAGAGAGAGAGAGAGCGAGAGAGAGCAGGCAGACGCATACAGACAGACGAGAGATTCAGAGACGCACAGATACAGGGAGAGAGATGGAGCCATTCACACACACACACAAAGATACAGAGGTAGAGAGACACGAGGATACAGTGAGACGCAGACAGGTACCCCGTCGCTGGCCGTATTATTTCAAAACGTGTGAATTTTTTTTTTACGTTTGCTTATTTAAAGTCTGCATTGCCACTCGAATATGGTGACGTGAAGTAACAGTTACGCAGTTAAAAACGAGAGGATTTCTGTACGATTCTTTACGGGTCGAGTTCCTGGAAGGAAATCGCCAAAATATTGCTCATGCGGCCGGGAGGACATTTCTCAAATAGGGCAACCGGCCCTCAGCAGCCACAAGGTTAGACCCCCCCACCCCGACCCGCTGTAAGGAATGTGTAGCCGAGAGACATTGAGCCGAACTGTCCCCTCATCCGTGGGAACAACTATTTATAATCACGTCGCTGGGGGAAAGAACCAAACCCGGCGTTTTGTCAGATAACCGGTTATAAAAATAGGCACTGATCACCACAGGCGACTCCCGGGAGCCAATTAAAAGAGGATTTTGTTCAACGTGGTGCCGAGCTCTGACCGCAGGTCTGTTGTGAAGCCAAGAGTCGAGGACAGATCCACCAGAGAGAGAGATGAGAGGAGGGAGGCGAGATCCTGAAGGTTCCCGTTTCGTTCCCCCCCCCCCCCCCACTCCCTTCCCCTCGTGTCCTGAGTCGCCTCCAGGTTTCTGTGCTCCTTAAGAGGGTGTGGGAGGCGGTCTGGTGGCCGCTGACTTCTCTGTCACAAAGCTGTAGCCGTACTGTTAACAGCAAGGGTTAGGATCAGCAACAGCAACACGTTACGTTCACACTTACATAGATAGCCCCGTTCACGTCGGAAAGACATCCCAAGGTGGTGGCCGGTTAAGGAACATAGGAACAACAACTCGTATTTATACCGAGCCTTTCAAACGGGATAGCGCCCCAGAGCGCTTCACAGTGATGCAGTCTGCTGGGTGGTGGGGGGGGGGGCAGGTGACCATAAGCACGATCGAAGAAGGAAGGTCCTTAGGTGGGATTTGAAAGTGGGGGGGGGGGGCAAAGCGGAGGGATTGAGGGAGAGAGTTCCAGAGTTTCGTGGCGTAGTGGCTGAAGGCACGACCACCGATGGGGAAGCGGAGGGGGGGACGGGGACGAGCAGGAGGCTGGAGCTGGTCGAGCGAAGGCAGAAGGGTGGTGGAGTGGGGGAGTAAGCGGATGGGTAGGAAACGCCAGACGAAAAGAGACCCAGGTCTATTCAGTTCGCCTTCCACATTCCTGCCAGTTGCACGCACGTGCCATCTGTTGGAACTTGTATATTGTATCCTCAAAACAATATTTCCTACAAGAAATCTATCTTAAGGGTTTGCACCCAAACCTGGGGGCTGGGATCAAGAGGGTTGGAGGGTAAAAGGAAGTGGGAGTGTGGCTGAAGGCACGGTCAAAAAGCAAGGTCTTGAGATGGCCGTTGAAGGGGGCGGAGGCCAAGAGGATGGGGGCAGAAAAGCTGAAGGTCAGTCGGCCGGTGGTAGAGCGGGCAGGGCGGGGGGACATGCAGCAGACCAGTGCCCGCCGGGCGGAGGGAACGGGCAGGTTGGTACGGTGGTAAGAGGCCGTGGAGGTAGATAGGGAGGAACGTGGCAGCGGAGGCTTTAACGGTGCAGAACGGAACTAAACGAGGAGAGAGGAGTTCTGCGAGTGTACGTTCAGGACTCGCCATCTTTACCAGGCTCAAGGTCTCTCTGCCTAACCCCAGGCCCGTCTGAGGAGAAACGCGGAAGTTACTCCGACCCCCTCACTTTCCTTGCTCTCCATCTCGGTGGAATAACCCTTCCACCGCCTGTAGATGGCGACCTCCAATCACTGGGCCTTCAGCGGCCAGAAGTAATCGCTGGAAGGAAACTGACTGGGGCAGAGCAGAGGAGGGGCATTGGGGGGGGGGGGAAAGAGGGGTTCCTGGGGCTGTAAATCCTCAAGACATTCGCTCAATTGCTCTGCTCCAGAAATGAGAACTAAGACTTTGGACAAGCAGCGGGAAAGCTCGGCCAGACAGGGCTCTCCATGGCCAAGCTGTGTGGCTTTAGCTGGTTAGACTCCAGAAGTTACCCCCAACGCGCACCCTGGGCTCCCCCCAAGCCTCGGCTCTTGCCAACCTGCGCCTAATAGGGAGAGCATTCCATCCCAACCATCTGTCACTGGGATTTCCATGTGTGGGTGGGATGCAGGGAATTCTCAGCCGGGTTTGGAGGCTCTTAAGCGACGGCGATGGGTTTCCGCGTGTGCCAGACACCCGGCCGACACCACACAAGAATCAGTAAGTTTGCCCGCGGGCACGGGTTGGCACAACCCAAGGCACTGCCCTCTGCTCCCAGCGCAGCCCCTCACTCACTTACTTTGCTCTCTATGTCGGTCTGGGACATGATTTGCACACTGCCAACGAATGCGCAGGGCACCTGTGAGGAGAACAACAGTGGAATTAGCACGAGCTGTTTTCCGCTGCCAAAACAAAGCCCCCGGCTAATTCTACACCACCACCAACTTGCAGTTATATAAGCTTCTCCACGCCGGGCGGTGTCCCAATTCATATTGGTAATAATTAATCAATAATAATAACTAACATTAATTCATATCAATAAACAGTCAGTTAACACAACAGCAATTACAGTAGAACTCCCATGAGTCGTATCAGTCGGGACCATGATATTTAATACGACTTGTGGCCAAGTCCGAGTTGCAGGAAAACGGTATAAATTGTCTAAAATCCAGTTGAATCAATACCCTGCGCGAGTGTAATTCGCTGCAGTCGGTCAGTGCGGATGTGGTGACGGGTCAAGACTACTTTTCCCCGTGATTCAACGCAACTTGACCGGTCGCCGTGTGTGCACTTACTGACCAGCGTTTGATACGACGCCTTATCGCATCGTTGAGGCGTCTCAAAGCGCTTCACAGAATATACTGTTTTTTTGTGGGCGAGTATAACAAGGTAAGTTTTACTGTGTTACGATGCCTCTCTCGAGACATTTCAACCTCATAGGCACGAAATCAAATACGTATCATCCTCAGTTGGAAGGGTTGGTGGTGCTTATGGTCACCTACCCACTCCCTCTCCCCCTGGCTCGGGGTCAGACTCCGCTACTGTCAAGCACTCTGTATAAATCCAGAGCACTGTATAAATTCAATTTGTTGTTGTTGTGGTGGACAGATACTTACTACAGTCAGTGGCTTTTCGTACCGAGGGTGCAATACAAATGGCACGCCATCCATCGCTGCCAAGAGAGAAAGAGAGAGAGAGAGGGGTGGGGGCTTTAATCAAACCACAAATCCTTTTAACCCGCTAACCAAACTCACAGATAGGTGGCAACCAACCCTTTCAGAACAAAGCACCACTTCCTGGCTGATCACCCCAGCCCGTCTTTTGATAATAATAATCCTCGCATTTGATACAGCGCCTCACCACGTCTTCGAGACGTCTCAAAAAGCGCTCGACAGGTTACACTGTGAAGTGGCGTGACTGTATATTTTGGGGGTTATAAACGTTTCCCAGGGGTGGGAGCTTTGTACCTGTGTGGCTCTTCCTCCACCAGACAGTGAGTCGAGAGAGACGGTTTGAGATTCAGTAGCTTGATGCCCTCCTGGGCCGTAGGGCTGTCTCTCAGAGGATCTCGCTCGCTCACACGATCCACTGACATCTCCTCCGCATCTCTCCTCTTCAGATCATAGGAACAGGAAGAGGCCATTCAGCCCCTCGAGCCTATTCCGCCACTCTATTAGAGCACAGCTGGTCTGTACCTCAACCCTGACTACTCGCCTTTGCCCCACATCCCTTGATTCCCCCCACCCCCTCCCCCCCCAGCTGTGTGTGCTGGACCCTACCAGAGATGCCGTAGATATTCTCCGAGTTGTAAATCGTGTCTTTGGCCTCCAGGGTCGACCGCCTCTTGCCCAGACGCGGCTGCGGAGCACCATGTCTCCTGCAACACAGCAGATCAGATTGCAACAACCGGGCCATGGGCTTCCTGTCTGCATCACCGTCGTGGATTGAGCGACCAATTTTTTAATAGTATATTCTAAAATATATCATATTTATAATATAAGTTGCATTATAATATATTTTATTAGAGTGTATATACATGTATATATGATATATATATATACATATATATGATATATATACACACATATATATATGATATATAAAGGAATGGGATGGGTTTAGACCACTGCAGATCAATGGATCCCATCTGAACGCCACACCCACCCCTCCTCCCCAGTCACACATCCGCTTACACTTGGTTGAAGACCCCCAGCGTCTCTCTCTCCAGGCTCAGCTCGCTCATCTCCTTGTTGATGGCTCGGGTTTTGGGGGAGGGTTTGGGTTTGGGTCGGGACAACTGCCCTTTCTTGCACCATATAATGAAGCCATTCAGCTCCCTGCAAATCACAAAGGCAGCAAAACCCGTAAGATACACATACACACCTCCCGCTCACGCACACTGCACACGCACACACACACCGCACATCACACATAGACCATAGCAAAACCTGTAAGATACACACACACACACACTCTATACAGCTGATATTAACAGTGAGCACTTCTATATAGTCTGATAATCACCGTTTCTCAGCCGAAACCAATGTCTAAATTAATAATCTGAATTAAACGACGACTGTAATGTGACTGGGCCAAGATTTCAGCTCGAAAATAGTATCTCGGGAAATATCTATGACCATCCGTCTGAGGCGGGTATTGGAACCCAAGGATTTGTTTAAACAAGCTTCCTCGTCAAGAAACTGATGCAAATTTCTGCAGGCGACATGCAGGCGGGGAGGGAGGCAGGAAGGGAGGGAGGGGACTTCAGGTCGGTCACGGAAAGCTGCCGTGAATTTGCGAGCGCACAAGGTGGCAGGTTGGAGGTCAGAGCCCGCTGCGGCTGCGCAGACAGCTGAACGGTTCAGGGTAACGAAACTGACAAGCGCGAGCAGCCGGCTGTTTGTGGGGCTTTGCTACGCTGCCGTGTTTGCCGACAAATACGGTACATACCGCACACGTTCGCCCACAATGACGACTTACACTGAGTGAGCGTCTTCGAGACGTCTCAAAAAGCGCGTCACGGAACGCGCCCTGAAGTGAATTGACTTGAATTTTTTTGCGGGAGAGACGCGGCAGCCGATTGCGCACGGCGGCGTCCACGCAAACAGTCGGCGACAAAAATTTTTTTTTTTAATTTATTTTTGTTTCGAAGGAATTATGACCGCGCCCCCCAAAAAAAATTATTATCTGCCAATCAACTAACAACCGGGTTCCTACTTACCGCTGGTAAACAGAGGCGTGTGTGTGTGTGTTTGTGTCCGTGGAGTAAGGAAACTTGCCCAAGGTTTCGCCCTGACCGGTAAATCAAACCCAGGTCCTCTCGCTTGCGAGGCGAGGGCTTTAACCACTGAGCTGCAGGACTCCAGTGGATAGTAATCAGGGTCCTGCTCACCTCCCAACCCCGGCCCAGATTCTCTGGAGCCATCAGTGTGGCCTGGCTGAGATCAGCCTCTCAGCGCAGAGCAGGAGATGGGCCCAGGACACTCCCTTCTTGACCAGTCAAAGCCTTTGATGTTGTGCTGCGGAGTTTCAATGCCGTCAAGGCCCGGGAGTGGCACTCACCCTATGCAGGTGTAGGAGGGGACGATCTGCTTGCTTTTCACCGTCAGTTTAATATCAAACACAGCCGTGTCCGCTTCGCTGAACGGCACCCGCTTCACACACAGACGCTTCTTCTTAGACACCGTGACCTCTGAGGGGGAGAAAGAGGGAGAAAACAAGGGGTCAGCTTGGTTCGGTCGGTAGAAGGATGTTTCTCCCAATGTCCTGGTCAAAAATAATAACCCTTGTGTTTAATGTTGCACCTGATCACGTCTCAAAGTGCTTTACGGAATACATTTTAAAACGAAGTTTGTGTGTGAAATGTGGCAGGCAATTGCCCACGGCAGTGTCTCACAAACAGTTGTGGACTGAGTGAACAAATTATTATTATTATTTTTTTTGGAAGGGATTATTATCCCCGGAAAGCGATCCCCCAATCGACTAACAACCGGGTTCCAATAGTCTTGTGCTGCCAATATTTGCCTACAAATACGATTCGCATTTGCCTACGAAAACAATTTGCATTCGGCGGACGTCTCAAAAGTGCTTCATAGAGGTGACTGTGAGCCCGAGCTTGGTGGGGGGGGGGGGAGATGGGGTAAGAGGAGGAAACAGTCACTAGACTTGACAATGACTGTAAAATGCTTTGAGACACGGTAATGCTCTATAAAAATTCCTTTCTTAATTGAATAGAAAGCCCTGGCAGCTCCCTGGCGAACATTAACAATGCATTAAGCTAAATGGATGTTTAAGTTCAACTCCGTGCCTGTGCGCTGCTTGAATATAAACCACCTTTCGTACTGAAGGCATTCCACAGCGCCGTTCGTTGCCTTGATGATTCTGAGCTGTCAGAATGGCTGCAGTTTCGGAGGGGGGGGATTAACCCTGGCAGCACTGAAGGTTTCGTGCCAAGTTCTGAAGCGGGTCAGGGCTAAACAGCACGGTACACGGCGGGAAGTTATCCTGGGATTACTTGCTGGGAAGGAAATGCAAGCCGGCAGGCGTCCCTCACAAACTGCTCTCAGACGCCAACATGTGGAGTCCTGTCGCTCAGTGATTGGAGCGCTCGCCTCGTAAGCGAGAGGACCTGGGTTCGATTCCACGGCAGGTCAGGTCGAAATGTTGGGCAAGTTTCCTTACTCCACGTGCCCCTGTTTACCGAGCAAAAAAATATATATAATGTGGTCACTCAATCAACGCCCGTTTGTGGGATACCCACCGCTGTGCGCAATTGGCTGCCAATTTTCTCCACAAAATACAGTCACACTTCACAGTATATTCTGCGAAGCGATTTGAGACGTCTCGACAACGTGATAAGGAGCTGTGTCAAATGCGAGGAATATTATTATTATTATTATTATTAGGGGTCTGTCAGGGAGAACGACACAAGGTCAGGGCTATGTTCTCGTGGGGCCCACAACAGGAAAGCGAGTCCACACACCAGGCTATCTGCAAGTGCAACAACGCACGATAACATTTACCCACAAATTCCCAAGCGGCAGCAAGAGCAAACAACAACAAATTATATTTATGTATATAGCGCCTATCACGTCGGGACGACGTCTCAAAGCCCTTCGCAGGATACACGGTTGAGTGTAGCGACTGTGTGTTTTGTGAGTGAAACACGGCAGCTAATTTGCACACAGGAATGTCCAACAAACAGTCACGGACTGAGTGAATGACGAATTTTACTTGGGAGATTGTCGTCCAGGACACTGGGATAGAGAGAAACGCGACTGTTAGCACGATCATACAGGAAGGTCTTTAGGCGGGATTTGAAAGGAGGGAGGGAGGGAGAGAGGGAGAGAGGGAGAGAGAGAGAGCAAGCGAGCAGGAGAGAGAGGGAGAGAGGAAGAGTGCGAGAAAGAGGAAGAGTGCGAGAGAGGGAGTGCGAGAGAGAGGGAGTGCGAGAGAGAGGGAGAGGGAATACTCACTGGAGTCTAGGAACTCGTTGATGAAGCTGTACCCCAAGGGTAGAGGCGATTTATCAGGCAATAGCTGGATTTCAGACACAATATCTCCCTGTGGGTTCTGCAAATCAACACAAAAGCTGGGTTAGAGGCAACGTCAACTCCTGCTCAACTCCCCGACTCTTCACACCTAACTCACTCCAGGATCAGACACTCCTCACTCTGGATCCAGACAATGCTGGGCCCTGCAGTGTATGCTATGGGGTTAGAGCGGAGGAGTGGGGCTAGTTGGATAGCTCTTTCATAGAGTGAGCGCAGGCACGATGGGCCGAATAATAATAATAATAATCCTTGTTTTTGGTATAAGGCCTTATCACGTCTTCGAGATGTCTGAAAGTGCTTCACAGGATGTACTGTAAAGTGAATTGACTGTATATTTTGTGGTCGAAACACGGCAGCCAATTGCGCACAAACAGTCGTGGACTGAGTGACCAATTTAGTATTGTTTTCCTTTGTTGAAGGAATCATTATCCCTGGAAAAGTGATCCGCCAATCGACTAACAACCGGGTTCCTACTTACTGCTGGTAAACAGAGACGTGTGGAGTAAGGAAATTTGCCCAACATTTCACCCTACTGGGAATCGAACCCAGGTTTCTGGCTTGTGAGGCGAGCGGTCTAAACACTGCGATACAGAACTCCACGAATGGCCTCCCGACACTGAGGCTGGCTGGTGTGGAAATGTGCTCGGGGACTCACCTCCTTCAGTATCAGGGCGCTGACGCACAGGAAGCAGCCAGACTTGCCAAAGCCCTTGGTGAAGTTGGCGGAGGAACCATCCGCAGTGGTCGTGATCTGCAAACAAACATAATAATAATAATAATCCTCGCATTCGACACGGCGCCTTATCACGTCTTCGAGACGTCTCAAAGCGCTTCGCGGGATACACTGTAAAGTGAACTGACTGTGTTTTGTGGGTGAAACGCGGCAGCCAATTGCGCACAGCAGCGTCTCGCAAACAGCCGTGGATTGAGTGACCAAGTTATTATTATTATTTTTTTTGAAGGGATCATCACCCGTGGAAAAGCGATCCGCCAATCGACTAACAACCGGGTTCCTACGTATTGTTGGGTAAATAGGTGCGTGTGCGCGGAGTAAGGAAACTTACCTAAGGTTTCGCCCTGCCCGGCAATCGAACCCGGGTCCTCTCGCTTGTGAGGCGAGTGCTCTAACCACTACACTACTGCACCCCAGGCTGAGAAAGGTGAGCTGCTTTTAACCCTCCAGTGGGGACCTCGCAGAAGTGATAGCGCCGGGAGCTTGCACGCTTTAATAATAATAATAATCATTACGTTTGATATAATTGCCTCATCAGGTCACGGAGACGTCTCAAAGTGCTTTACAGGATATACTGTAAAGTGTAGTGACTGCGCTTTGGGGGCGAATTTGCTGACATGCTAATAATCCTTCCATTTGATGTAGCCCCTGTCGTGTCGTTGAGACATCTCGAAGTGCTTCACAGGATATATTGTACACACACAGGATTCACTGTGCATATTTGTGGGCGAGACGCGCAGCAGAGTCGCGCGCAGCAGTGTCCCACAAACAGTCGTGGATTGACTTGACCATTTTTTATTTTTTTTTTGAAGGGATTATTATTTCCAGAAAGCTACTTATTGCTCGGCAAACAGAGGCGTGAGGAGTAATTAAATTTGCCTAAGCTTTCACCCCGCCTGGGAATCAATCCTGGGTCCTCTGCTCGCGAGGCGAGGGATGCTGACCACTGCACTCCGGACTCAATCGACAATATAAATAGGAAACGGTGTCAGCCCGGCTCAGCTGGTAGCACTCTCACCTCCAGGCTGTTTGTGGAGTTCGAGACACACGTGAGCTTAGTCTGGATGTCTTTTGCATGCGATGTTAAACTGAGATCACGTCTGGACATTAAGCAAAGAAGGGAGTTTCCCCTGGTACCCCTGGCCAACAGACGAAATTGGGTCATTCGCTCTGTGCCTGTTTGTGGGGCGTTGCTGTGTATAAATTGGCTGCCGGGTTGATCGGCAAAATGCGGTCACTAAAGCTTCGCAAAAGCTCCGAAGCGCTCACGATGTTTCGCCACCGTAGGCGCGCCAGAGGCACTGGACCGTTATTAAATGAAACCAGTTTAAAATTTTCCTCTTGTGGTTTCTCCCCCTCTATTGCTCACGGTGACTCACAGCGTGTTGCAGTTCCACACACTGCGAGCCTTGTGGGATCTTTGCTCAAGTCACCGGAGCTCACGTTGATACGACGTCATTTCCATTTCTCTTTTTCCTTTTCAAAAGTCATCTTGAAGCACTTTACGGAACGAGGTTCCTTCGATTAGCAGCAGCTAATCCGTGCCAGCGACACGCCGTGATAATAATAATCCTCCCGTTTGATGTACTGTAAGTGAATTCACTGTATATTTGTGTGCGGAGCCCAAGCAACACCACAACACGTGGGAAAAGCCAATTAACAGGAAGATTTAGGATATACAGTCAATCCTCTTTATAGTATATTTTGTGAAGCGCTTTGAGACGTCTCAACGACGTGATAAGGCGCTATATCAATTGCAAGGATTATACTTATTATTTCCAGACAGACCAAGCCACGACCGCCCACCAAACAAGGGAAGGGTGAGAGTCCTTGCGTTCAGACTTACTATTTTATACTCCTTGGGACAGCTGTTCTGGCTCGAGGTCCATGCTACTCCAGTCAGAGCATCTGTGCAGTCACACTCAGCCATCTGCAGTAAAGCACAAGCGAATTTACACAAGGCAAGTCACACTCGTACATAATGTCCAAGTTAAGAGACAAATAAAGAAGGCAGAGCGTAGCAAAGAGACACATCGACAGAGAGAGCGAGAGAACGGCTGGCAATAGCGTGGTGCTAACAGTGACAACAAATGACATTGTATGGCGCCCTTCGCGTCGGAAAGACGTCCCACGGTGCTGAAAAATCAGGGGTTTTGGACCCGAGCTGGGAGTTGGGGGCCAGAAGAGGTGGAGGGTAGGGGGATGGGAGTGGCCGAAGGCACGGTGGAAGAGGAAGGTCTTTAGACGGGACCTGAAGGAGGCGAGAGAGGGGGTGAGGCGGAGGGATTGTGGGATAGAGGTCCAGAGTATGGGGGCAGAGATGCTGAATGCCCGACCACCAATGGTGGGGCGGGAAGCGCTGGGGACCTGAAGCAGCCGGCGGTGCAATATAGTGTCAAGTGAACTGACTGTATATTTTGTGGGCGGAACGCGGCAGCCAATTGCTCACAGCAGTGTCTCCACAAACAGTCGTTGATTTGAGTGACCTAATTATTATTACTATTCTTTTCTTTGAAGGGTTTATTGTCCTCTGGAAAAGCGATCGGCCATCGACGAACAAACTGGGTTCCTACTCACTGCCAGGTAAACAGAGGGGTGCGGAGTAAGGAAACCTGCCCAAGGTTTTGCTCTAGAATCTCAACGTAACTCAGCAAGGACCAATAGTAATAATAATAATAATCCTTGCATTTGATATAGCGCTTTTCACGTCGGGAGGACGTCCCAAAGCGCATCACAGAACACACTGCAAAGTGAATTGACTGTATATTTGTGGGCGAACGCGGCAGCCAATTGCGCACAGCAATGTCCCACAAACAGTCGTGGATTGAAAATGACCAATTTATTATTGGTTTTGTTTTGGAGGGATTATTATTAGGCTCTGTGTGGAGTAAGGAAACTTGCCCGAGGTTTGGCCCTCTGCCGGGAATTGAACTCTGGTCTCTCGCTCGCAAAGCGAGTGCTCTAACCACTGAGCCACAGGACTCCACAAGGACCAAGACTGGGACTTGCCACCATGAGCCAGCGCGTCTAATCCCACTCTTCTGTGCTCTTTCCAAATCCTTTAATGGTCCTCCTCTTGAAGCGTCTATTCTTCCACATGCCAACCACCCATTGAACGCAAGCCGGGGAGGGAACTGGCAGTACCACACCCTCGCTTGGAAAGCCCTGGTACGAACGTCAGCGAAGGCAACGAACGGGCTGTGCGACAGGACCTTTAGCAGCGTTTCACAACCTATGACTAACGTCACAAAAATTAGCTGTTAAAATATGTACCAAGGGATTGGCAGATAACCCTGGGCAGATAACTTGGGAACCTCCTCTGGGTGGAATTCACTGCAGTTTGCCTCTAGTGTTTACAGATGACTAAAAGTCAGAGGGGGATATTGTTCAAGCAATAAATCGAAGGGCAATTGAAACAAAGGGTCACATAAAGAAAACGAAGAATAAGATCAGTGTTTTAATACCGACACAGCGTTGAAACTGACACGTTTAGAAATAATAATGATAATAACCCGTGCCTTTGACAAAGTGCCTGATCACGTATTCGATACGCCTCAAAGTTATTCACAAAATTGACTGTTTTGTGGGCGAAACACGTTATTATTATCATTATTATATTACAGTTATTATTGTTTGTTTTTTTGAAGGGTTTATTTCTTCCGAAAAGCGATCCGCCAATCGACTGAAGTTCCCACTCCCTGCTGGGCAAACGGAGGCGCGTCTGCGGAGTAAGGAAACTTGCCCGAGGTTTCGAACCTGCCCGGGAATCAAACCCAGGTGCTCTCGCTTGCGTTTTAATACCGACGCAGGGAGCCTTTGGAAATGCAGTTTGGAATTAATAAAAATAAGTAGGTCATTCAAATAATCTTTAAATTAGAGCTGGTCTATTCAGCAGTGAAATCAGGAAGCGTTTTTCCATACAAAGGGTCGTGGAAATCTGGGTCAGGGTATCGAGTGATATGGGACAACGAAGGGCAATTGGAGTTGGGTTACAGATCAGCCATGATCTAATAGAATGGCGCCACAGGCTCGAGGGGCTGAATGGCCTCCCCCTGCGCCCGTAAATGCTGACTCTCGTCACCTCCCTCCCCCTTCCTTCTCTCCTCCCAGTGAAAATCAGCAGTTGATTGCCTGAAAATTCATGGGCCTCTGAAATGTACCCTCTCACAAAGTGCCTTTGGATTAAGTGTTAAACCGACGTCCTGACACTTTGTGCCAATGCTACAAAATGCCATCGATCGGTCTGGAAGTGCATCTCCTCTTTGGACCGAGTCCATTTTGGGTTAATTGTTACCGAAGGTGTGACTTAGATGCTCTTACCTCCGGGGGGGAAGGGAAGGAGAAACACACGCAGACGAGCGGGGAGAAATAAATCAGTTTGGCTCAGTTGGTAGCAATCTCGAGCTCTTGGTGGGTCAGATGAGTGGGGATTAAAGCCACGTGTCCGGATTTGAGCTCATAGACCAAGCTGTCACACAATATGTGGAGGGGGAACGAAGAGGGAGACAGAGAGGGAGTGAGTGCCGCATTGTCGGTTGAGATGTCAAACCAAGGTCCCGTCTGCTGTTCAGCTGTTTGTTCCCCGACATCGTGAGCAATATTCCTCCCACACCAAGGGCACATGAATCATTCAGTCAACTCATTTTTCCTGAGTGTGAGACATTTCAGCTGCAGACTAGCTGCCTTGTTTGTCTACCTGACAAGTCGCTGCATCTCAATGTAACTTGAGTGTATAAAAGCACTTTGAAATATTCAACGTAAGGCAATGAATCATAGATATATTCAGTGGAGAGAGAGAGCGAGAGAGGGGGAGAGAGTCATGTGTCTGTATACCTGCTTTGCGTTTTTCTAAATTGCCCATTCTTATTAATCTCACTTTCCAGCACTTTCTCCATATATCTGAACATCTTTACTGCTCTGGCACTTGTCCAGTTATCTTATGAATGATTCTCTTAAGCCGGACCTCAGCAGCCACTATGGTAATGATTTCAGACCGTGACAACCCTGAGCGAAGTCATTCTAAGAGGAACTGAATCCATCTGAATCAAACAACCTGCATATATATTATTGATTAAGGGCTATAAGGATCTTTCAAACTACGAGGGGTTCTGATAATAAGAATCATAATAATCCTTGCATTTGACAGAGCGCCTTATCGCGTCGCTGAAATGTCTCAAAAGCACTTCCCAGAATATACCGTAAAGTGAGTTGACTGTATATTATGTGGGCAAAACGTGGCAGCCAACTCTGCACGGCAGTGTCCCAGTTGTGGATTGAATGACCCAATTTTGTTTTCTCTCTGAGAGGTTATTAAAACAACAGCATCTTGCATTTCTATAGCACCCTTCACATGGGGTAGCGTCCCGGAGCGCTTGACGATGGCGGAGTCTGACCCCGAGCCAGAGGGAGAAGGAGGATGGAGGTGACGGTAATCACGATCAAAAAGGAAGCCCTTTAGGTGGGATTTGGAAGTGGGGAGATTGCGCCCGGAAAACGATCCGCCAATTGACTAACAACCGTTAAATCCCGTGAAGCACTTTGACACTACCTCCCCACATAAAAGGCACTGTATGAGATGTAAGGGGTATTAATTTATTATATAAACTTCTACGGCTCTATGGCTTTATTATTATTTATGCAGAATGCCCGGCCGGATGGGGCGGTTGAGGCAGAATCAATACCGGTTTTCGAGAGGGAACTTGATTATGTCTAAAGAGGAACAATTTGCATGGGAGGAAAGAGCCAGCACAGACACGACGGGCCAAAATGTTGTTTGTAAATGCTGCAAATGTGTGGGAATTTACTGTGTGCAAACTGGCTGCCGTGTTTGCCCACAAAGTGCAGTCACTGCACTTTACTGTGCATCATTTGTGGAGTCCTGTAGCTCAGTGGTTAGAGCACTCGCTTTGCAAGTGAGAGACCTGAGTTCAATTCCAGGCAGAGGGCGAGACCTTGGGCAAGTTTCCTTACTCCACACAGAGCCTAATAATAATCGCTCCAAAACCAAAAACAATAATAAATTGGTCATTTTCAATCCACGACTGTTTGTGGGACATTGCTGTGCGCAATTGGCCGCCGCGTTCGCCCACAAATACACAGTCAATTCACTTGACAGTGTGTTCTGTGAAGCGCTTTGGGACGTCCTCCCGACGTGAAAAGCGCTATATCAAATGCAAGGATTATTATTATTATTATTATCTCATGAAGCGCTTTGAAACATCCATCCTCCTGCCACTAGTCCTGTAGCTCAGTGGTGAGAGCGCTCGCCTCACAAGCAAGAGATTTGGGTTCTATTCCCGACAGGGCGAAATGTTGGGCAAGTTTCCTAACTCGTCTCTGTTTACCTAGCAGTAAGTAGGAACCTTGTTGCTAGTCGATTGGTGGATCGCTTTTCTGGGGATGATAATCATTCAAAAAAAACTAATAATAATTTGGTCACTCAATCCACACGACTGTCTGTGAGACGCTGCTGTGTGCAATTGGCTGCCGCGTTTCGCTCACGAATATACAGTCACTGCACTTTACATTCTATTCTATGAAGCACCTTGAGACGTCTCGAAGACGTGACAGTCACAAGGATTATTATTATTATTAAAGATGCTGAATCAAATGCAAGGATTATTAAACTATTATATAAATCTCTACGGCTCTAGACCCAAGTATATATTTTTATTAACAGCCAAGATTATCACTGATTCCCCACCTAAAGCAAAGTCCTTCCTTCCCTTATCACTGAAGCGTTGTATCAATAATTATTAATTACAATAATAATCCTTGCATTTGATGCAGCGCCTTATCATGTCACCGAGCTGCCTCAAAGCGCTTCACAGGAAACACTGCAAAGTGAAGCGACTGTGTATTTTATAATAATAATAATCCTTGCCTTTGATATAGCGCTTTTCGCGTCGGGAGGACGTCCCAAAGCGCTTCACAGAACACACTGTAACGTGAATTGACTGTATATTTGTGGGCGAAACTCGGCAGCCAACTGCGCACAGCAACGTCCCCGCAATCAGTCGCAGACTGAAGTGACCAATCTGTTTCGTCGGGGGAGGGATTCGCACTGAAACCTGCAAAACGTGTTTTTCTCTGCTTCGAAGAGCTTTGCTTCAACAGAGGAACAGGAAGAGGAGGCCATTCAGCCCATCGAGCCTGTTCCGACATTCCACTCGATCGTGATCTGATCTTTGCCTCAACTCCACATGACCGCGTTCGGCGCAGAGGTACAGATAAAGTTAGACCGTTCATAATAATGGTAATAAACCTGGCGTTTGGTGCAGCGCCTCATCAGGTCATTGAGACGCCTCAAAGTCCTTCACAGGACACACTGTAAAGTGGAAATGTTTTCCAGTGTATACGACTGTTAACCCTAAATTGGCCATTCCGCACTGGGGGTGAAACATGAGATCGGGCTACTCGCGGGGCTTTTTTGGGGCTACTTTGGTGGAGATTCGGGCTACTTTGCGGCGACTTTTGGGCTACCCGAGGGGCGACTTTTGGGCTACTCGCGGGGTGACTTTCAGGCTACTTTTGTGGCAACTTTGGGTGAGTTTTTGGGCTACTTTGGGGGCGACTTTGGGGCTACCTTGTGGGGTGACTTTGGGGCTACCTTGTGGGGTGACTTTGGGGCTACTTTGGGGGTGACTTTTGGGCTACTTTGAGGGCGACTTGTGGGCTACTTTGAGGGCGACTTGTGGGCTACTTTGGGGGTGACTTTTGGGCTACTTTGAGGCTGACTTTGGGGCTACTTTGGGGCTACTTTGAGGCTACTTTGGGGGTGACTTTTGGGCTACTTTGGGGGCGACCTTTGGGAAACTCTTGACCTGAGTGACACAAGGCGCGGCGGCCCCGGGGCCGCTCTCTCTCTCTCTCTCTCTCTCTGTACCCGCGCTCGGCCTCGGTACCTGGTCGTGGGCGGTTCTCCCCGTCGAGCGACGACTCTTCCCGGGATCCTCGCCACCCACTCCCGCCCCTCCCGGTGCGGCCTGGTTTCGGGTGTACGACGCCTTGATTTGGACCGGAGCTGCTCTCTCCCGCTCTCTCCCTCTCTCGCGCGCGCTCTCTCTCCCTCTCTCTCTCGCGCGCGCGCGCAGCGACCGCTGATCGTCAGGGCAACTGCCACCCTCCTCCCTGCCACGTCGCGCGAGGGATGCCGGGACCTGCAGTACGCGGCCGCCGTAGGTCGTACTACATTTCCCGGCGTGCTTTGCTCCTCCGACGCGGCCGCTCCGCCTCTTTGGGCTGTGTCGCTCCCCCCCCCCCTCTCCCACTGCCACCCTCCACCCGCGCGCAGGCGCAGCAGCGTCCCCAGTCCCTGTCGCGTGGCATGCTGGGAATTGCAGTTAGACGGAGCCACCCGAAAAGGCACTACATCTCCCGGCGGGCTTGAGCGCTTCGGCGCAGGCGCGGTGGCGACTCCTTCCTCCCTGGCCTTCCTCCCTCGGCCCCGCCCACTCCTCGCGCGCGGGCGGCGAGCGGCGGTTGACGGTTGGCGGTTTGAAAATGGCGGACGGCGGGAACCTGAAGATCAGGTAAAAAAAAATCACACGGCGGCTTCGCCATAGCGTCCCTTCAACTCCAACGGCTGTGGGCGAGTGGCAGTGGGGGGGGGGGACGCCATTGTCCGCCCACCGAACAAAACGCACAGTCACTACACACACACATTACCCAGTGGATTCCGTGAAGCGCCGCGAGACGTCTCGAGGGCGTGAGAGGGCGCCGCGTCTTCAACGACGCCACACACAGGAAAAACATCCGCCCCCTCCCCCCCACACACAGCCCCCCCCTCCATATACCCCCCCACCACCCCCACACAGCCCCACCCACACCCCCCCCACACACCCCCCACACAGCCCCCCACCACACCCCCCCACACCCCCCCCCCCCACACCCCCCCACACCCCCCCCCCCCCCCACCACACCCCACACACACACCCCCCACCCCCCCCACACCCCTCCACATACCCCCCACCACACCCCCCACCCCCACACAGCCCCCCTCCACATACCCCCACACACCCCCCTCCCCCATTCCCCCCCACCACACCCCACACACACACACCCCCCATACCCCCCCCACACCCCTCCACATACCCCCCACCACACCCCCCACACCCACCACACAGCCCCCCTCCACATACCCCCCACACACCCCCCACCACCACCACACACACCCCTCCACCACACCCCCCCTCCCCACACACACACACACACACCCCCACCACCCCCCTCCCCCCACCACACCCCCCTCCCCCCCCCACACCACTCCCTCCCCCCCCTCCCCACACACCCCCCCACCCAACACCATGATCAGGCACTGTATCAAATGCAAGGAGTATTATTAATTATCATTATTACTATTTCTTGGCTATTTCAGGAGGGCGATGGCCTCTGTTCCCCAGTCCCTCCCGGCACTCCAAACCGCTTCACAGCATATCCCGTAAAGTGAATTGACTACATTTGTGGGCGAAACGCGGCAGCCAATTGCGCACAGCAGCGTCCCCGCCAACAGCCGCGGATTGCAGTGACCAATTTATTGTTGCTTGTTTGTTTTTTCTTGCGGGATTATTATTTAGGCTCTGTGAGGAGTAAGGAAACTTGCCCAAGGTTTTGCCCGGCCGGGAATCGAACCCAAGTCTCTCGCTTGAGAGGCGAGCGCTCTAACCACTGAGCTACAGAACTCCACTTCCATGATGAAAAATGGGAGTGACTGTATTTTATGGGCAAACGCAGCAGTGCAATTTGGGCACGGCAATGCCCCGCAGACAGCCATGAACAAACGCCCAATTTTATCGATGGATTGTTGGCCAGGACACCGTGAGAAACTCCCTTTTATTTTCAGATAGCGCCAGGGGATCTTTAACATCCACCTGGAGAGGCAGACAGGGCTGCAGAATACACACGTGCACAAAATCCGGTATAGGCGTGAGATCGAAGACGGGTTATTTACAAAAGGCTCTTTATGACATTGAATGGCTAATGTCAGATTTGCACCCGTATACTCTCTGTTAGGGGCTACTCACACTGTGTCTTGGCTTAGGGTGAAATCTGCTCTTCCCTATAGGTCCTTATAAATACTGTCACAACTACAGCTCCTCAATTTCACTATTCATCTTTGACGAGCTCTATTTAAGACCCTTTTAAGTCATGTTTCTGATTGGGGGGAAAATTGGGGAAGCCCCAATTTTTCTAGCCTATCCTCACAACTATTCCTTTTGCCTCGGGCAAGTTTCCTCACTCCACACGCCTGATGATCGCCCAAGAAAAAAAACAATAATAGATTCGCGACTGTTTGTGGGACACTGCTGTGCGCAATTGGCTGCCGCGTTTCTCCCACAAATATACAGTCGTTTCCCTTTACAGTATATTCTGTGAAACGCTTTGAGACGTCTAGAGGATGTGAGAAGCGCTATATCAAGTGCAAGGATTATTATTATTTTATCCCTGGTATCATTCATGTGTGCTTTTTGCTGTAACCTTCCCATGGCTCTGAAAATGGGATGCCCAGACGCGGAGAACACCCAGTGCTCTCATCTGAGTCGTGTGTTGTTATTGTCACTCCGCTCGCAAATCCCAGTAAATTGATTTCAGCAGTGACACTCTTCAGGTAAATGGCTATGTTGTATTTTTCGTAGCGCTGTGTGTGTTAGTGGTGTACTGAGGCTGAAGTGGCATCACATGGGAGAATGGGCTATTGTTTTTTATTGTGCGAAAAAATAAGGTTGGTTTGGGATACTATTGGCCAAGTACCTTTGAACTAACTATCTATCTAACCCTGAAGCCCTATTTATATATTGTTTCTGTTCTGTTGATTACTAGGCTCAGGAACTCCAAGATGGACACAGAAGATCAGGTGTGTAGTCTTACTTTTTTTGTTCGTCAAGTGAAGCGTGTCATTCTGGAGAGGACACTGTTTTAGTCAGCGTTAGAGTCAGTCTCTCAGATCAGATGTCGCTGCAGCCAGATGCCAAGTAAAGTTCCTGCCTTCTGCCCCGAACTCAAGAATGTGATTTCCACTGTAATGTGGTTTCCATTTCTCCTCTCCCCCCAATTCTTAGAATCATAGAACTTTGCAGCACAGGGGCCAATCAATCTGTTATTGACTGCACTGTCTCTCTGAAAGAATCATCCAATTAGCCCTATTCCCTCCGCCGCCACTCTTCCTTCCCCTCATTTGGATCATGACTGAACAACAACAACAACAAGATTCCATTTATAAAGCGCCTTTCACGTCAGGAGGACGTCCCAAGGCGCTGCACAGTTGGGTCATGACCCGAGCAGGGGGAAATGGTCAGGGTGAGGGGAGGGAGCGAGGAGGGGGGAAATGGTCAAGGACTGAAGACCTTCCCCTTCAACAGTGCTTATGGTCACTGGCTCCGCCACTGTTAAATGCTCCGAGAAGCTGCCATTGTGTAAATGCAAGTTGTTATAGGAGATCTTTTGGAGAAATTTGTATTTACTACTTTTGTGGTAGGTCTATCTTTACTATGTGTTTGTACCTATCACATATGATTTGGGAGCTAATTTTGTTTAGCCCTGATGATGGGGCTTTATTACTTTGGTACCCTGGCTCGTTGGGAGAGGGCAGCAGCTAGTTTGCTGTGTACATTGCTAACGGGCTGATACAAGAGTGAAAATAAAGTCACCTAAGCCAACACAAACACTAACAATCTGTCCCACTTTTCACATACTATAGCACATTTGTTCTTAATAGACTGTATCTTGGTTTCAGCCGGCCAACAGAAAATGAAATAAGCATCCGCAAAACTGAGCCATGTCTCTCATATACAGTATATATATTTTTGTTCCTACACTTTGGGCCAAAACTCCCCCCTGCATCGCCTTGTTTGTGCTCTTCTCCTCATTGCTGCTTTGCAAGCAACCATATATCAGAGGGAACAAGTCAGTATGCCCCAGTGTTTCAAGACCTCAACGTGCCACCTTTCTGCTTTGGTTCATAGTGTATTACTGAACATGTCTTTGAACAGCTCTGGTTGATGCTGGGTAACCATCAAGGCTTGTGTGTTTGCCTGGCTCAGTCAGTCACACTTTGCCTCTGAGTCAGAAGGTGGTGGGTTCAAGCCACCATGTCGGGACTTGGAATCACACAATCTAAGCTGACGCTCCAATGCAACAACAACAACTTGCATTTATATAGTGCCCTTCACACGGGGTAGGGTCCTGGAGTGCTTGCAGTGCTGGGGGTGCACTAGATTGTTGGAGATGACGTCCTTCAGATGAGACATTAAACCGAGCTCGCCGTCTGCGCCCTATTCAGGTGGACGGTAAGATCACATTTTCAAAAAGAGAAAGGACTTTCTCCCTGTGTCCCGCAACCCCCGAAATAAAATTGGTCATTCATTTCACGGCTGTTTGTTGGCACATTGCCATAAAAATACACAATCACTCTGCTTCATGTTGTATCCTTTGAAGGGCTCCCGACATGAAAAGTACAATATCAATTGTATTATTGTGTGGAATTGGACACCTAATCCTTTTACCCTGCACTTCCAGTATCAGCTATTGAGAGGTGACCGAGAGTGTCCCAACAGAAATGGTGGGTAGGAAACAACCACATGCATTTATTTTGTGTCCTTCACACTTAACAGTGCCAGAGCTTGGGAAGCGAGGGAAGGTGTCCGTAGGTTCAGTCAGAAGATGAAGGGTGGGATCTGAAGACAGGCGAGTTTGAGGGATTGCGGAAGAGAGTTCCAGAGATTTGCGCGTAGTGGTTGAAAGCACGGCCGCCGATGATGGAGCGGAAAGGATGAGGGAAGAGCAGAAGGCCGGAACCGGCAGCAAAGGAAATGTACGGGATCAGGAATTCATGCAAAGAGACAACAATATCTTGAAAGGATGGAGTCTCATGCAGCAGAGTTACAGATGGACTAGATTTAATGTGCACTTCCTGACCCATAGCGTGATAATATTTGGCAGCTGATTGTAGTTGTGTTCTGAAATTCAGCTACATCTGCTTCTACAGTGTTTGAGCCAGATCCCAAGTACGCTGACATGAAGGAATTTGTTTCTCTATTTATTTACCAATGCCAAATAATAATAATAGTCCTTGCATTTGATACAGCGCCTTCTCACGTCTTCGAGACGTCTCAAAGCGCTTCACAGGATATACTGTAATGTGAATTGACTGTATACTTTGTTGGTGAAACGCGGCAGCCAATTGCGCACAGCGGCGTCCCACAAACAGTCGTGGATTGAGTGACCAAAAGATTATTTGTTTTTAAAAGGATTTAAATCTTGATTGGCTATGATAATGATTTCTCTCCATTACAGAAAGCATTTCATAGGCAATATATACTCTAAGCGTGCTTGGAAACTAAGATTCGCTGGAAGGACAAGTCAAGGTAGTGATAGGAAGGTGAAATGAATTGCCAGGAGTGGCTGTTTGGATGGGGTATATACGGGCATTCAACGGGAATGAGAGAGGTACATGCGGAGGAAGTTGCTTTACCTTTCACCCATTCTGCCCCACGCTGTAAAGCGCTCCGGGACGCTACCCTGCGTGAGGCGTGCTGTGTAAATGCAAGCTGCTGTTATTGTTATCAGTAGAGACAGGGATAGAGCAGCAGGCGAAGTCCGGGTTTTGTTTCTATTAAAATCAAACGCTGCAATATAATTTGCCTCTCTCTCTGTGTCTCCCTTTTTTTAAAAAAAAAATTAGGATTCCATCAAAAAAAGCCGTCGCACAGAACAGGGGCCTCAAGAGTCGGGTAAGAAGAACCTGCACAAAACTGTGTGTGTGTGTGTGTGTCAGCGCTGTCGCGAGATTACAAAGGACTGAGACTCGCTGTGCGTTAGTGCTGTTTGAGTGTGAGTGTCTGCGCGCGCGTGTGTGTAGCTGGTTTAGATGACAGGGTAACATTGCTCCTGACATTCGAGGCAGTTTGGAAAATTGACAGTGAGAAATAGTCACTCGTCCACAGGTGTTATAGTCACAGATGTTTGTTTTTGCTCTTCAGCTGGTTCACTGCCAGAAAGGCTCACTTTCCACTCAGTGTGACAGATGGGCTTCAGCGCTGAATTAATGTCTTGCCTGAGACTCTTAATACAGTGAGCTCCTCCGAGGCCCTGCTGCCTGCTCCACGTCCCCCGCCCAGCCCGCCCCACCCCACCATTGGCGGTCGGGCCTTCGGCCTCTCTGCCCCCCCACCCTTTGGAACTCCATCCCACAGTCCCTTCGCCTCTCCCCTTTCCTCGCCTCCTTCAAGGCCCGTCTCAAGACCCTCCTCTTCGTCGGCACCTTCGGCCGCCCTCCTACCCCTACCCTCCCCGCCCTCCACCCCTCCTAATCCCAACCCCCAGCTCGGGTCCAAAACCCTGACAGTGCAGTGCCTTGGGACGTCCTCTCAACATGAAAGGCGCTGTGTAAATATAAACAGAGAGAGAGAAGGAGAGAGACCCAGCTCAGCCTGAGTGCTGACTGGTCCCCGTGTGCCTGTGCACCTCCCCGTGTGCCTGTACCGTTCCCCTTCGCCTGTACACTTGCTGTTTGTCTGTACGTCCCCCTGGAGTCCTGTAGCTCAGTGGTTAGAGCACTCGCTTTGCAAGCGAGAGATCTGAGTTCAATTCCCGGCAGAGGGCCAAACCTTGGGCAAGTTTCCTTACTCCACACAGAGCCTAATAATAATCCCTCCAAAAAAACAATCCACGACTGTTTGTGGGACATTGCTGTGTGCAATTGGCTGCCGCGTTCGCCCACAAATATACAGTCAAATCCACTTTACAGTGTATTCTGTGAAGCGCTTTGGGACGTCCTCCCGACGTGAAAAGCGCTATATCAAATGCAAGGATTATTATTATTACCTCTCCACTTCGCCTGTACATCTCTCTGGGTTTACAATGCTGTTAGTCAGATTTGTACAACTGATCCCTTGGTTCAGCCCTTCTTGTGGCCTGTGTGAGACTGACTCTGTTCTGTGACCTTGTACTGACCGGGAAGGTAAGGCCAACACAGTTACACCTGAGAGTGCACTCATCCTCTATGTTGGGCCTCGGTTCAAACTCTGGTATTAGAGATGAAAGGTGATTGGTGCCAAACCATCCATTTTAATGTTAGCCTGAGGTGACTTGTGTGTGGTTAGCATCAGGATCTGCTAACTAACGGATATGTGATGCTTTCCTTTGCTTTCAACCTCCCATCTTCTCCATCCACCAGAGAAGCCATCTCGTCTACCCTCTATCTAGCTCACATGTGGCTGAAATCCTAACCCTAACCTCTGCAGATTATATTTCGCCCACAAAATACACAGTCATTGCACTCCACAATATATTCTGTGAAGCGCTTTGAGAATCCTTGAAGACATGATTTATCGTGAAAGGTGCTATACAAATGTAATGTTGTTGTTGCAATCAAATGCAAGAATTATTATTATTATTGCTGATCTTGTGCCTTGTTGCTGTGTAATACGTAGCATTCCACAGCGTACTAATTAGCACGTTTGCCTCGCAAGTGGAAAGGACCTGGGTTCAATTCCCGGGCAGGGCGAAACCTTAGGCAAGTTTACTTACTCCACAAGCCTCTGTTTACCTAGCGGTAAGTAAGAACTCGGCTGTTAGTTGATTGGCGGATCGCTTTCCAGGGGTAATAACCCCTTCAAACTAAATAAAAGTTGGTCACTCAATCCACGATTGTTTGTGGGACACTGCTGTGCGCAATTGGCTGCCGCGTTTCGTCCACAAAATACACAAGTCAATTCACTTTACTTGTGAACCGTCTTGAGACACGTCTCAATGACTCAATAAGGCTCTACATCAAATGCAACAACAACAACAAGATTCCATTTTTTTGAGCGCCTTTCAGGTCGGGAGGACGTCCCGAGGCGCTGTACAGTTGGGTCAGGACCCGAGCATTGGGGGGAAATGGTCAGGGTAAGGGAAGGGAGGGGGCGAGGAGGGGGGAAATGGTCAGGGTGAGGGGAGGGAAAGAAGGGAGCGAGGAGGGGGTAGAGAGTCGAGAGGGGAGCTGAAGGCGCAGTCGAAGAGAAAGGTCTTGAGACCGGCCTTGAAGGAGGAAAGGGAGGAAGCGGCGAAGGCACTGAGGGATAGAGTTCCAGAGCCTCGGGGCTGAGAGGCTGAAGGCCACCGATGGTAGGGCGGTTGGGGCGGGGGATGTGGAGCAGACCGGAGCCGGAGGAACGGAGGGTACGGGCAGGTAGGTAGGAGGATAGTAGGTCGGAGAGGTAGGAGGGAGCGAGGCCGTGAATGGCCTTGTAGGTGAGGATGAGGATTATTATTATACTTGACATATATTACCTGCAGCTTACTTCAGGATATTCTTCAGGTGGTCTCTCGCCTCTCTCTCTCTCTCTCTCTCTCTTTCTCTCCTTCCTGGCACAGTAGCTGGCTCGTCCACAGGGAGCATTGCTGCTTTTTCCTTTTCTGATTTGAAAGATGTTTCAATAAACACCAGTGAATATATCAATAGGAAAAGGCAAAATACTGCAGGTGCTTGAGAACATAAGAAATGCTAGACGAAAATAGACCAAGGTCCATCTAGTTTGCCTTCCACCTTCCTGATGGTCGCATGCACACATGTCCCAAACTACCTATGTGCTCTATTCCAGAATGTTATTCCCTAAAAGAAAACTAATCTGTGTTTGAAAGAATGAACACTTCCTGCTTCAACCGTCTCCCTTGGCAGCCTGTTCCACAGCTTCGCTGTTCGCTCACTGAAATAGTGTTTGCGTAGATTTGTTCTTGAGAACTGAAATTAAAACAGAAGTCGCTGGGAACACTCAGCAGGTCAGGCAGCATCTATGGAGAGAGAGGAAAGCGAGGTAACATTTCAGGTCGATGACCGCAGGCTGCTTCCTGTGTGCTTCAATCCCACTCTGCGCATTCTGCGCAACACAAGGCAGGAGAGGAGAAGGAGGTGAAGATGGGAGCGTAGAAAAGAACGAAACGAAGGCGGAGAAGCAGAGTAGATGGAAGAGAGAGAGTGGGATGAGGAAGTGAAGAAACAGCTTGCCTTTCAGTTCAGGCACAGAACAGCTCAGTGAGGAGGGAGCTTTACCCCAATTGTTGCTGCATTCCTCTCCGGCTTCACTCTGTGTTTGTTCTGCTTTGTTTTTAGAACTGGACCCCAAGCCGGATCCAACCCCGCCACGAAGGAGCCTCCGCAAGGCGCAAGGTGTCAGCCCTGGGCTCCCGACTGGCTCCCTCGAGCCCCCCCCAGGCCCATCCCTAGCCCCCAGGCTCAGCCCGAAGCCTCCCGCCAAAAAGAGCCCCCGCTCCTCCCTGCTATCCTGGCGCCGCTCCAGCTTCAAAGGCAGAAAGAGCCGGAAATCTCTGCCACCGATCCACTGTGACACCACAGGTGAGCAACACCGAGGGCCGAACGATCGATTGATTGATCACCTGCGCAGCCCTCTGCACCGAGTGCTGAGCCCCTCTCTCCTGTGTGACTTTCTCTCCCTCATATCCATCACCTCCAATGGCTTCTTCATGATGCCTACTAGGGCCCTGGCCAACGGTTCTCCAGATACATTGGACATTCACTTCGACAACAACTTGCACTTGTATAGCGCTCTCCACTCAGAGCGCTTAACCGTTGGACGCACAAATTGCTTGTCGGTCAGTCAGTCAGACCAGTGTGTTTTTAAACAGGAGAAGGATTGGAATGGAGCTCATTGCAACCGGAGCTCACGGCCTGTGCTGTTATTTATTATTATTATTATTATCTGCTTCTGCTTACCATATAATAATCCCTGCCGTCCAGACAAGGAATGAAACTGCTGTACGTGCAGCCTCTCACATCAAACGACGGCTTCAGCTCACGGCCCCATCCTCCATGTAACCCAGCTCTCACTGCTACAACCACACTCAGGCCCGACAATGATTACTGTAAAGTACTTTCAGACAATCCTATGTGAGCTTGTTCTTTCTTTCGTACATCTTCGACTTACCACACCTCCCTCAGCTCCCACCCCCAGCTCAGATGCCCAGCCAGTATCGTTCAGCACCTTGGGATGTCATCCCGACGTGAAAGGCAGCAACATCAACAACAAATTTAATTCACACGGTGCCTTTCGTGTCGGGAGGACGGCCCAAGGTGCTGGATTTGGACCTGAGGGGGAATCTGGAGGTGGGGGGGTTGAAGGCGTGGTCGAAGAAGAGGGTCTTGAGATGGATCTTCAGATTTGTAAGGGAGGGAGCGAGGTGAAGGGACTGTGGGATGAAGTTCCAGTTCTTTATGAAGATAAACGATAAGAGCCTACTGAACGGAGGGAGCGGACAGGTTCATATGGCTCTATAACCTGTATAAAGACACTGTATAAATGTTTATCTGTGCTGTTATTTATTATTATTATCTGCTTCTGCTTACCATATAATAATCCCTGCCGTCCAGATAAGGAATGAAACTGCTGTACGTGCAGCCCCTCACATCAAACGACCGCTTCAGCTCAGTAACCCGAGTTCCACAATCCCATTCCCCTGCACTCAGGCGCTAGGTCAAATCATAATAATAACCGTTGCTTTTGAGATAGCGCCTTATCTCATCTTTTAGACGTCTCAAAGCACTTCACAGAAGAGACTGTAAAATGAATTGACTGTATATTTTGTGGGCGAGTTGCAAGGGTTATTATTAAAATAACATAATTGTCCTTAGCTAAAATATCTAGTGTCTAAGTTGCCGGAGTTTTTAAATTTGTTTCCTTTTCTAGATGAAGCAACTCCCAGACGCTGCCCGGGTGAAGGTCGCTGCGTATAAACACAGGTGGTTGTTGTAGATTTTAATCTCTCTTTCCTTTCCTCAGAGATCTTCAAGGGCATCAGCCAGGATTTGCCCGAAGATGAGAGACTGGCGCAGCTTTTAGAAGCCTGTCTGCGGGTACGTAACTTAGGCCAGGACTCTTTCTGTCACAGCGGGGGAGGTTGGAGGAGAGGGGTTTAAGATAACGAAAAGGTTTGAGGATAAGTGGGGAGGAATTGCTTCACGTGGTAGATAATCGAAGGCAACGGGACACAAGGTTGTAGGTTCAAGCCTTGAATTTACATCGTCATAAATTGACACTCAGTGTGGCGCTGGGTGGGGGGGTGTTGCTTTGTCGGAGGTGCCCTCCTTCGCCCACAAAATACACAGTCACTCCACTTTACAATATATCCTGTGAAGCGCTTTGAGACGTCTCAACGACACGATAAGACATCTCAACGACGTCAAATGCAAGGCTTATTATTATATAGAACTTCTCAAGCATCAGGCTCTTGTAGTTTTTTTTTTATAAGAATAATAATCCTTGCATTTGATGTAGAGTTGTATCACGTCTTCGAGACGTCTCAAAGCGCTTCCCAGAACATACTGTCAAGTGAATTGACCGTGTGTTTTGTTGGATTACGTGTTGTTGTCTGGGGAGGTGGATGACTTACCAATGTCAGGCTTCCAAACCGTCCGTTTCCCATCACAGTATTGCCTGCAGAAGTTGGAGCAAACCTCGGAGCCAGCAGAGGACCCCAACTCTCCCACCTTCCAGGCACGTGGTGAGTCAGAACCGGGAGAAAACCCTGCAAATAATCATCGTAACAATCCCGGCATTCGATACAGCTTTGATGAGTGTGTTTTACAGGAGGAAAGGTAGAACTGTGAGCCTCTGTTGTTACCTCTGTCCATCTTCTCATGATCCTCTGATGTGAAGGAATGTCTGGCTGCTGTAGCTCTGAGTTTAAGATTACGTGTCAGCCTGGCTCAGTGGGAGCGCACTGCCTGCGTATTTTGTGGGATTTCCCTGTCTCTAGAATAGAAAGCTCTTTCTGTCTACCCAGAGGCTCATGTCCTGTTTACCTAACTCCAGAAAGTATTAGGCGCAGGTTGGCAAGCGCCAGGACTTAGGGACCTCAGAGTGTGCGTTGGAGGTAACTAACTGCTGGAGTCTAACCAGCTAAAACCACTTTGATTGCCATTGATTTTATAAGAATAATTTGATTGAGTGTGTGGAATCGGGGGCTGGGTGGGTGGCCATATAATCCCCAAGAGAGCCATGCGGACAGTTATAATAATAATAATTCTTGCATCTGATACAGCGCCTTATCACATTGTTGAGACGTCTCAAGGCGCTTCACAGAATGTACTGTAAGATCCATTGACTGTATTTTTTTAGCCGCCGCTCTTCCCTGTGTGAATGTCCCTTTGTTGCTTGTGTTATCTCCAGCCGCTACCCTCACCAGCGAGTTCAAGCGGACGGTGGAGGCCATGAAAGTGGACGGGACGTTAAAGAAGTGTACGGAGAGAGCAGAGTGAGTGGCTGAAACCTCGGAGTGGGTGGGTGGGTGTGACTGGTGTGACTGTGTGTGTGTGTTTCAGCTCCTCAGTCGTCTCATATATCGCTGTTTTATCACTATGGGCTAACAGGACTTTGTGGACACCCTGTAGAGAGGGTGAAGCAATGGGTATGGGAGAGGGGGTGGGTGTTTGAGGGCTGACTTTCACGACCGGGGTAAAGGTTTGCAGTGTGTCAGGCTGCTGGCTGGCAGCAATTGTCAGAGGTGATGTTCAGCCGAGCTTGTGCCCTGTTCGTGGATGTTAAAGATCTCGTGTGGGGCGGGTTTGAAAAGAGAAGGGAGTCTCTCTCTCCTGATTTTCTGGCCGACTGATAAAATTGTTGACTCACCTCTGGGATGTTGCTGTGCGCAGATTAGCTTCTGCGTTCGCCTGCAAAATATACAGTCACTACACTTTATAGAGTATCCTGCGAAGCGCTTTGAGACGCCTTCCTGACTTTACTCTTTCCCTCTTGCCCCCCCCCTCTCCCACACAGAGTTCCTACTAACCCAGAGACGCAAATGATAATGGATCAGTTGAAGCAAGACTTTACCAGGTAAGCAGCTGTCTGCTTCCGCTCCACAATGCGCTATTTCTTAATGGTTTTGCTTAACTCGAGTCACACGAGGAAACAGCTCCCACGGATTGAGTGACCAATTCACGACCGTTTGTGAGGACGCTGCTGTGTGCAATTGGCTGCCGCGTTTCGCCCACAAAATATACATTCACTGCACTTTACAGTATATTCTGTGAAGCGCTTTGAGACGTCTCGAAGACGTGATAAGGCGCTGTCTCAAATGCGCGGATAAGTATTATTGAGGTCCAGTGGGCTGAATGGCTTCGTTCTGTGCTGTAATTTCTATCGTAGTAAAAGTAACCAGAGAGGAGATGAGGAGAAATGTTTTTCCCCAGTGGGTTGTTACGGTCTGGAACTCACTGCCTGAACGGGTAGTGGAAGCAGATTCAATGACAGCTTTCAAACAGGGATTGGATAGGTACTTGAAAAGGTAAAATGTGCAGTGCTATGGGGTAAGTGCGGGGGAGTGGGACTAGTTGAATAACTCCTTCAAAGATGGGCCGAATGGCCTCCTTCTATGCTGTAAGGTTCTATGATTCTAAGTTAATACTTTCCTCGTTAATATTTAACTAGGAAACCCAGAGAAACAGCTGGTTAGCAGCTGTAATGCGGGGCTGAGTCAGGATTCAGTGTGTGGGTGGGTGGGTGGGGTGTGGGGAGAGGTTGATGCACGGAGTGGGAAGGAGGATAGGGAGGGGGAGGAGAGGGGTGTGGGGGAGAGGGGTGTGCGGGGATAGCTAACAACATGACTCTTGGTAAAGATATTGCCTGATTGACTTTCAGGTTAAACAACGAGTGCAAAGCCTGGGACCAGATACTGACAAACTGGAAAGAAAAACAAGAACAGGCGACCAAGTGAGTGACCAGTGTCTGCGCTGCAGTTCGATGTGTGGCCGAGTCTGTGTTAAGAATCCACCTTGTCGTTCACAGTTGTTCTCCAGCCTGCTCCATGACCGCCTCACTATCGGCGCTCGGGCCTTCAGCCTCTCCGCCCCCACCCTCTGGAACTCCATCCCACAGTCCCTTCGCCTCGCTCCCCTCCCTCGCCTCCTTCAAGGCTCGACTCGAGACCCTCCTCTCCGACTGTGCCTTCGGTCACCCTAATGCCCCCGTCCCTCCACCGATCCTGATGCCAACCCCCAGCTCGGGTCCCATTCCTTGACTGTCCAGCGCCTTGGGACGTCCTCCCAACGTGAAGGGGGCTGTGGAAATGTCATTTGTTGTTGTTGTTGTTGTTGGTCGCTGTTTGCTGGGATTTGCCCCGATCCTCACTTCTGCCCCTCGTGACGTTTTATTTTATTCAAAAAGGGATTTGGAACAAGTGAAATTTTGCAAGGTGGAAGCGGAGCCTGTGCTGGAGAATTCTCAGACGCACGTGATCGAGAGCAAACCTGATTACAGCCACATCCTGGGGAAGGACGCAGGGATTCTGCAAAGCCTGGAATGTATAGTGAGTGTAGCTCGGGTCCCGGGGAGGGGTCATTAATCCTGTAAGTTAATCGTGTTGAGGATTTACTTGTATTTGCAACTTGCAAGTTAGTGCACTCGGCTCGCAAGCGAGAGGACCTGGGTTCGATTCCACAGCCGGGCAAAATGTTGGGGAAGTTTCCCTACTCCACACGCCTCTGTTCACCGAGCAGTCAGTTTATTAGTTGATTGATTGGTGGATCACTTTTCCGGGGGCAATAATCCCTCAAAAAAATTATAATAGGGGAGATACAGAGAAGCTATTCCCTCAGGCGGGGAATCCAGAACAAGGGGCACAATCTTACAATTGGAGCCAGGCCATTTAGGAGTGAAATTAGGAGGCAACTTTTTACCCAAAGGCGAGTGGAAACTTGGAACTCTCTCCCCCAAAAGGCTGTGGATTATGACTGGATCCATTCACATCCTCAAGACTGAGGTAGAGAGCTATTTGTTAAGTTAGGGTATCGGGGGATATGGGGTAAAGGGCGGGTAATTGGACGTGAGAAACAGATCAGCCGAGATCTTATAGAATGGCGGAACAGGCTCGACGGGCTGAATGGCCTCCTCCTGTTTCTAATAATAATTTGTTCACTCAATCCACGACTGTTTGTGGGGACGCTGCTGGGCGCAATTGGCTGCCGCGTTTCGCCCACAAAATACACAGTCACTACACTTCACGGCGTCTTCTGTGAGGCGCTGAGCTGTCTCGAAGCCGCGAGATCAAATGCGAGGGTTATTATTCTTGTCTAAAATGACGTCTCCTCCTCCAGATGGACCGACTGCAGCTGATGATCCAGGTGCTGAACAGCGCCAGGCAGGAGTGGGAGGAGAGTCTGCAGAGCATCTCGGCCTCAGTTGGTGAGTGTTTTACCGATCTCTTTCTCTCCTGTTGTTTGCAGCAGAATGAGCTGCTGAGCGTGTTTGGGGGGTCCAGGGCTGGGCAGCTGAGGGGGGGGTATCTGGCGTTTATTTGATATAGAGCTTTATCGCATCGTTGAGAGGACACAGGAGAGCTTCACAGGACACGCTCTTAAGTGACTGTGTGTGGGTGGGTGGGTGTGGGCTTGTCCTGCCGAGCCCGGTCAGGATAAGGTGACACGTTCTCCCGCTCACAGAACCAGACCCACTGCTGTCCTGTCAGAGGGGCCTTGGCTTGAGCTGTATAGACGGGGTGTGCGTTTGGGGTGGGGGGTGGGGAGGAGGGGGCTGTGGACTGCGGAAAGGTGACTTTGTTCCTGGTGCTGGAGTGGAACTTACTCAACAGCAGCAAATTGGATTAACATCAGGAGCACATCCTGAGGCGCTGGACAGTCGAACTGGGGATTGGATTGAGGAGGGCGGAGAGGTGGGGGGGGGGCCGGGTGAGGGGTGGGGTTTGGGTGAGGGCTGGGGGTTGGGGCGGGTGTGAGGTGACCAAGGCCTTGACACTCTGTATTGATCTTGTCTCCGCAGCGTCCAATGCGTTCCAGGGCCTGGAATGTTCCCCCGTGCGGAAATTTTTCAGTATCACAAAGAAGTAATTTCGAAGGAGCTGAGAACCTGTGAGTCTGTAAACGAATCACCGTTTACGCAGAGAGAGACACACAGACAGACAGACAGACAGACAGACAGACGCTGTGTATTGATCTTGTCTCCACAGCGTCTAATGTGTTCCAGGGCCTGGAGAGAACCCTGGGTTCGCTGAAGCCGACATCTTACTGGAGTGGCTTCAGTTCTGAGCTGCTCTGCTGCAGCAAAGGTTACCCGTGGCCTGAACACTCTCTCCCCCCACCTCGCTGCCGAGCCGAGCCGAGCCGTCACTGACTTAAACCCTCTGCAGCTTCATCTCCAGAGCTTCTCTGGGTGGACAGGGACCCATTGAAGGGCTGACAGGACACTGCAATCCCGCGTGCGGCCGGCAGTCCTGTCTATTCAGGCCAGATCAGAAAAAAACTGCAGCCGCTTCGGTCACCGAAGCCTCCGCAGCAGACACGTCACTTGCTAGAAACATGTTATATTTTATCTGGGAGCCGTCTGGGAGTTTAATGCCCTGTGACCCTGCGATTCCGCCTTTGTCTATTCCACGCCTGGAGTCTGGTCGTGCGTTTAAATGTTGTCGAGTTTTGTCGCTGAGTGACTTCAGCAGCCGTGTCCTTCAGTTTGAGATGTTCTATCGCACATTAAAATGTTTTCAAGTCCGGCTCTTTCCTCATCTCCTAAAAAGCGGGTCAATGCGGTAACGGTAACTTCCCTCGCGGATATCTTCCCGTGCACGGAAAAGTCACCAGAGAACAACAACAACTTGTATTTACGTAGAGCCGCTCGCGCAGGGTGGTGTCCAGGAGCGCTTAAATGAGCGCAGAATGAGTAAAGGGGGGAGTGGGGTTGATCAGGGCTATGGGGAGAGCGCGGGGGGAGTGGGGGTTGATCAGGGCTATGGGGAGAGCGCGGGGGGAGTGGGGTTGATTTGGAAGCTCTTTTCAAAGAGCGGCACAGACACGATAGGCCGAATGGCCTCCTTCTGTGCTGTATAGTTCTATGATTCTCGGAGTCCATGACAGTGTTTACCCACAGTCTACATCGAGCCTCGTCCCCATAGATTCCCGTTAGGAGATAATATCTCAGGGACACAGCAGATAGTTTGGGGACACGACCTGTCCTGCGGTTGCCAGGATGGTGGAAGGTGAACGAGATGGATGTTGCCTCGTAACTCTTCATGTTCCAATCGCCTCTCCTGCACCAAATCAGACGCTGGATCAAATAAACTCAAGACCGAAATCCCACAGCAAGAGAGGGTTTGTGGCAAAAAAATGGTTTATTGTGTTTGGTGTTAACCGTACAAATAAAAACGCAATACACCTCATCTTCTTTGAACTTTTTTTTTTCCAAATTGCTGTCAAGCCGTTTCACACGGTACATAGTTTCGAAGGGGGGGGGTGGGAAAAAAAGTTTGCGAAGGCAGACTTAGACATGAACTCATTCCAGGAACTAAAACCGGTCGATATCCAAGGCAAGGTCTTGCAGTTTTACATCCTACAGTTTTAAAAAGCAAATTTTATACATTTTTTAAAGTTTTTTTTTGAAAAAAAAGGCATAATACAATAGAGTTCTATTTAAACAGATGCATGATCCTACCTACCCGCTGGAGATTAATTACTCGACTGAGAGAGAGAAAAAAAAAGACGTTTATCTGCGATTTGTTTGTGTGACAGGGACAGCCACCCCGGGAACTGCTCGCCGTGTCTAGGTTCTTTCCGAAGGTATTTTTTGCGATTTTTTTTTTTAAAAAAAAGAACGATTTCCGGTATTTTTCTGGGTTTCGCCCACAAAACATACAGTCAATTCACTGTACAGTGTATCCCGTGAAGCGCTTTTGAGGCGTCGCGGAAGACGTGATAAGGCGCTGTATCAAACGCAAGGACTATTATTGTTGAGCGACCACAAACCTAGTTAATGATCAGCGTGCCCGGCCTCGTCCAATTCGTGTAAATGACATTGTGATAACACTATTTGTCGGATCAGAACATTAGTTATCGAATCATCGCATCACTCACCCGATCGGGAACAACCGTTAAAACTCACGAGACCTCGGTATTGTACAATATTTATGCTGGTATAAGTGCAACATTCCTAACAGACCACGATGGCTCCCTGAGCCCCACTGAAGGTTTCACGTGCTCACTGGGCGGCCAGAGAAAACTAAGCTTTGAAAAATAGACATTTTTTTTTAAAAACAATGAACATTTTTTTTTAAAACTTCGAAATTTTGGTTTGGAGGTGAACTGATTTCGGAAAACAAAGTGTGGATAAGATCAGACGTCGCTTCCATCGATAACAGTGGTTTATCATTGGATCACCACGTGTGTGTATATGTGCGGAGTGTGTAAGCACAGGGTGTGGGGGAAGATTATTAAAATGAGGTAACAACCTTCGATCGTACCGATAAACGTGACTGAAGCGGCCGGACTGGAATTATGGAGATTCCACGGCCGAATCCGCATTATATTTGCGACGCGAGTTCTCGCGTGTGGGTTTTTTTTTCACATTTCTTCATAGAAAAAAAAATGTTGCCCGGCCCAAAAGGCAGAACTGAAGTTGAAATGATAAAGGTCGTCGTCCCATTGTATATCTCTTGGGTTTCATCTGAATAAACAGAAGTCTTTAGTATTGAGAGTTCACGCGCCAATCTCAGATTAAGAGCTTTACATTGTTTCACAGTGAAAATATTACCTTTTACTGTAGGACCCTCTTTAACAGCAGAAATGCGGTTGTTCGCAAACACAACATCACTGTGTTTGGCCATCGGTCGAAATATTGTAAACATAGGGGTTACGCAACACATGCAAAATGATTGTAGGTGAGAGTCGGATTCCAGAAACTTTCTCGTTGGGTCGTTTTGGTCTTTCTACAGCTGACAGTTTACACAATACATCAGTGTCTAACGTGATCAGTGCTCAAGACGTTTAACTGAGGGCTTTCCTTCTGATTCACACGAACCTTAAAGGGGCGACGGGTGTTTTCTCTTCACGAGACAAAAAAAAAATGACATTCAGTGATCAACACCAAATGAAAACTGTCTTGGGCTTTTGAAGACATTTTACCGCAGAAGCTGCAGTCACTTCAAAACTGAAAGGGAACCGATCGCTGAACGTTGGAAGAGGACGAACACTGTCGGGAATTATCGGGGTAAGATCACAAGGAGAGAGACACGAGCCCAGTCGCCCGTGGGGCTGGTTCTGTGCTGGAAACCTTCTTACGTGTCTCGGATGAGAAGCGACATAATATTCGTGTCTGATTTTAAAGCGCTTTGTGTCAAGCGGTAGATTAACTGCGCGGGTATTTTCAGTTCCGACCCTTTAAGGTTGATGGGAGCGCGCGACTGAACTCCAGCCATCATTCACCGCACAGATCACCTTGGACTTTGACACATGTCCGTCCGGCTGTCAGCTTCACGTGGGACGCAATACATTCATAGCAAGACGTGTAACATTCAGAGGGAAGAATGGGTCCTACAGTAAATCAAATGAGTTTATATACACGTTAAGTTTTTTTTCCAAAAAAAAATGACAACAAAAAAAAAGAGAGAGAACAGTAAATCCTGTCCAGGACAGAAAAAAAAAACAGCTCCGTCCATACATAACCTTGAATTACTCGCGTGATTTCGCAGCCCTGAGGCTGCTCCTCCGAAGGGCTCGGAAACTGATTAAAAATTACCTTTGGGTTTTCAGAGTTTTTACAATGACATCAAAGTTTCAAAAAATTCAAACGTCACAACCATCGAAACATAGAAACGCCAGGAAACAGAGGATTAAAAAAGTTAGTAAAGCTGCTGCACACTTAGTTGGTGTAGGTAAGCATCTGGATTATGGAGATTTTTGGTACAGGCGGTGTACATTTGGATAGATATTAATTGCACACAGAAGGCAACTACAAAAGGGGCTACGTTCTCAGGAATGTCACTACTCCGTGGTTTTTATAACGTTATTTTCCAACAGTCGACACCGATGAAGTGTTTTACAAAATCCCAAGTTGAAATCTTGGGAGGGTTTCTGGGCACTCACTTGCTTCTCTGTGTTTCGGCCCGGAAAGTCGGTTTACCAAATAACTCCCAACGTTTTCACGTGAAACTTTCGCTCAAAACTGCCAGAAAGGAAGATTTCCTTTTGTTGGAAGCGTTTGACCACCACGAAAGGCTCTGTCTCTCGTTGTTAGTTCACAAAGCAGAATTGACTTGGTTTTCCCTCATTTTAACCAAAGTGTCTCAGGAGTTACTGCTCTCCTTTCAAACACTTTGCAATCCGGAGACACTGACGGACAAAGGTTACAGAGCCCATAACTAACGGAGACTCAGCAGAGAAGGAGATTGCTGGTCTTGTGCAACTAAAGGGTGAAACTACAGTGTACATAAAGTCACAATAAGTAACAAAACCTAGTATCTGTTATTCTATTGTCCTTTACATAAGTGAAGTTAATTTTAAGAAAAAGTTAATAAAGGCTTTGGCCGTTGTCAACATTCACACTGTGCAGAGTAGTGAGGATTTGCTGCGCTGTCTCCAGTCACAGGACTAACTCACTGCATTCAACACGGAAATCGGGGAACAGGTCGGAATCACCCAGTGTCTCACTGACACTGCCCTCAGGGCGACAGCTCTATGTTCCTCCCTTCACTGCTATAATCCACGGCTGTCTGTGGGGACGCTGCCGTGCGCAATTGGCTGCCGCGTTTCGCCCATAAAAATACGCAGTCACTCCACTTTACAGCGTACTCTGTGAAGCGCTTTGAGACGTCTCGAAGACCGTGATAAGGGGCTAAATCAAATGCAAGGATTAATATTGTTTCTTTCTATTTAAACCATCTGTCGGGTTTAGATTTTAGATTTTATCTTAAATGCCGAGTCCCGATCAGGAACAATAGAGGAGCACTACAGGCAGTGGCGGAGCCACTTTATCCCACAGTCACCGAGTTTAAAGCTGATGGTTCCTCAAGTCAGCCCAGAGAAACCCTAATGGTCGATGGGCAGATTCAGAGCTGTTCAGCAGATTTCCTACAACCAATTCTAACCTCTAATCATGGCTAAACACTAGAACATCAGTAGAAAGGAAGGTCAGCCTGCATTAGTGTATGAGAACATGCCTGACCACAATCACACTGTCCCTGTTAGGGTTAAACAGCTGTCTGAACGTCCGAAGCAGTCGTTTCAACCTACACAAAACACAGGCAACAAGGCCTTCAGCCTTGGGAACGGGAAACCTTTAGGAACAGGGCGACGAGGGGTTTAATTATCATGCAGCCGTCAGTCTGTTACAGTGAGCTGTTTGCTAATAACGGAGCGTGTGGAGCTGACTCAGTCGGAACAATGCGACGTTGACAGAAGGCTAAAAATCCGCAAACGTAAGTAAGCGAGCGAGCGAGCGAGTGAGTGAGCGACTGAGCGAGCGAGTGAGTGAGCGAGCGAGTAAGGTCATGATTAAAGTTATGAGCAAAGCTGAGCGTATTGCTGAGAGGTAGTGTGTAAGCACTGGAACCTAAACAGGAAGCGTCCTCTATTGGTTTTTTTTTAAAAGGGTTTTACAGTGAGGTAATTGGCTGCACTGAATTGTGTGAAAAATGTATAAATACTTTTTCTTGTCTTGACTATATTTACATATTGGTGGTGGGCGGGCAGGCGGGGGGTGGGAGGGGTGCAGCTACACAGGAACTACCCCCCCCACCCCGAGGACCCGACAGTTGTTATCGAGCCCCCCTCCCCAGCCGGGGGATCTGGTGATAGAGGGCAGCTGCTGGCTGCAGGTGGTCGCTGGCGGCTGCTCAGTTGGAGGTGTCGGAGTTAACGCTGCCCGGTCCGCCGGTGGGTGATGTTACAGACGATGGGGTAGTAGCATCCTGCCAGCTGCCATTAGCCTGAGAGAGAGGGGAGAGGGACACATGTCAGACAGTCAAGAGTCAGTCGCTCACACAGTCGGTCAATCGGTCACACAGTCAGTCAGTCGGTCTCACAGTCAGTCACACAGTCAGTCGGGCATACAGTCGGTCGGTCACACGGTCGGTCACACAGTCAGTTGGTCATACAGTCGGTCGGTCACACAGTCAGTTGATCAGTCAATTGGTCAGAGTCAGTCGGTTGGTCAGTCGGTTGGTTGGTCAGAGTCAGTTGGTCACACAGTCAGTCAGTCATTCTCAGTCAGTCAGTCAGAATCCGTCTGTCTGTCTGTCCGTCCGTCCGTCAGTCAGACCTTGCTACTCTTACACCTACTCTGCCATCCTGCGTACTCCCTCCCGGCCTTCTTCACGTCCCCCGCTCTGCCCTCTCCACCATCGGTGGTCAGTCCTTTAGCCTTCCTGCCCCCACCTTCTGAAACTCCATCCCCGGCCCCTCCACCTCGCCCCCTCGCCTCCTTCAAGGCCCGTCTCTTTGACTGTGCATTAGGCCATCCTCACATCCCCAGCCGCCCTTTGCCCTCAACCCCTCCCTGATCCCAACTCTCAGGTCCAGCACTTCGGGACGTCTTCCGTATAATGCATTCATAATAATAATAATAATCCTTGCATTTGATATAGCGCTTTTCATGTCTTCTCGACGCCTCAAAGCGCTTCACAGAATATACTGTAAAGTGAATTGACTGTGTATTTGTGGGCGAACGCGGCAGCCGATTGCGCACAGCGGTGCCCCACAAACAGCCGTGGATTGAAAATGACCAATTTATTATTGTTTTGTTTTGGAGGGATTATTATTAGGCTCTGTGTGGAGTATAATACATTATAATATACACATAACATATGTATAAGCAATTTGTTGCTGTTGAATCTCAGGCTGTCTCTCACAACACCCTTCAACCAACCACTGTGGTCAAACCAAGGGCAAAGTTAGAACACACACTAGGACGTGTCCTTTACACCGAGGCTAAAGCAACATCTTGTGGTGTAGCCGGACTGCGATCAGGACACAAGATATTAATATTAATATTCATTTAACAAACAGCCCAATGTTATAGAGACGACACTGAACCGATTTTACTGTCGGTCAGTTAAACCTGCGTCCTGTTAGCTTGGGGCTGGCCGCAATAGCTGGACATTGCCGATGTAGATTCGCTGCCGTGTCTGTGCGAGCTTGAAAAAAGACCAAGGTCCATCTAGTCTGTCTTCCCTCCCGGTAGTCACATGCTACAATTATGGAGACTGTTTGTGGGTCACTGTTGTACGCAACCGGCTGCTATGTTTCGCCCCCCAAAATACAGTGAATTCACGTCACAGTATATCCTGCGAAGCACTTTGAGACGTCTCAACGACGTGATAAGGCGCTGTATCAAATGCAAAGGTTATTATGACGTTGAGAGCAATTAATTCTGCCTGGATTAGCTACAGAGAGCTGTGATGCTGCGCAGGATAGGCCTGCAATCATCATAACACGTACAAACAGCATCGAGAGCACAGCTGCTGCATAGAATAATACGAGACGGGTTAACAGGAGAGAGAGAGAGCGCGCGATTCTTACATCAATACGTCTTGGGGTGTATATCTGGCTTCCGGCCAGTTCATCACTGTATCCGCCTGTCTGGTGTATAACATGGCGCAGGGAATCCACCTGCAGGTCAATACAATCAACATGTCAGATACATCCATCCACCAGGAAGTAACACTTAGCATCAACTGTACCTTTGGTTTAAGTTCTTCTCTCTCCCTCCCTCCCTCCCTCCTTCCTTCCCTCTCTCCCTCACCTGTCTCTTTGACGCTAATAAAAGACACTACTGTAGGATCGTGCAGTATCATCACAAGTTTCCCCCCCAGACTGGCGAGGGGTTGGCTTCACCGCTAAACAACTCTTCTATCCCTTCAAGCATTCCAGCCACAAAAAAAAAAGGTCGCCCCCATTGTTCCCATCTTATCATCTCTTTGCCCCTTCCGCTGTCCGGGCCTTCTTATTGAAAACTATGTAGGATTTTATTGACTTTTAATTAATAAACATAAAGAGAACTGAGCCGAAAAGGGAAGAGGGTTTCTCTCTCCCGCCAGGAGTGCTGACCTGTACGTGGGATACTGCGGAGCGCAACTGACTGCCGCGTTTCGCCCACAAAATACGCATTCGATACACTTTACAGTATATCCTGAGAAGCGCTTTGCGATGTCTCGACAACGCGATGAGGCGCTGTATCAAATGCAGGGATTATTATTATTATAATTATATTATTATTAATCTTGACTGAACAAGTGCTAAAGTGCTCTTTATTCCTCTAATAATAACCCTTCCATTTGATACAGCGCCTTATCGGGTCTTCGAGACGTCTCCGTAAATACTGTAAAGCGAATTGACTGTATATTTTTGAAGGCAAATGCGTTTCAGAGCTCAGCGGTGTGTCAGGATTGTGTCACTGTGTGTTGTGGAGAGCCCCAGTACAGCACAGTGTGATATTGGTATTACTAGTGAGATCCATAATACTGTGATGCAATTACTATTACAATAGGGAATTGGCTCCGACACCCAGAGAACTGCTGCTGTTGTACGCAATCTGGAAAGTCCTTTCAAACGATCTGGTGAACTGAGTGACGGACGCGCCCAACGTGACTGAGTGACGCGCTGTGGCTGCAATTTGATGTGCGCCGTTCAGAATCATTCCAGCTCGAAACATGTTAAAACCAGGGCTTTAGCAGGTCAGGAAGTGAGCCACTTGACGAGCAAACGTTCTGCACGGGTTTAACGGCGGAACGCGGCGTCTGACTGCATGAGGTTTTAAGTGAAAAAGTGGCTTCGGTGGACAGTGGGATTAACACTCGATACGTCGATCACAGCGGCCGAGCTAATTACTGGGTCTTCCTGTAGTCTCACCTGGACTGTTGGGTGTTTGTGCGTGTATTTGCCTGCGGTGTTGGTGTTTGTGTGCATTTGCCTGCACTTGCCTTTAGTTAGTTGCCCGTACTGTTGGGTATTCCCTCAGTGAGCCTGGGAATGGGATGTCTGGGAATACAGGAAGGGGAGGATTCCCAGCCTGAAGAGATGCTCCTTTAAGAATTGTTGTCCCTTGTCTGGGGCAACTGTGCGCACCCGCTAGACGTCTCTTCCTTTTAAAATTATATTTTACGCTCAACATTTTAGGGGGGGGGGAGGAAGAGAATGGTGGGAGCTGGGGCTGACACCCCTTCCCATCTCTAGCACCGCCCTACCTGTGTGAACTCCGTACTGACCTGTCTTCTCCCTCCGCTCAGCGGGTACTGCCCTGCCCGCCCCACCTTCAGCCTCTCTGCCCCCACCCTTTGGAACTCCATCCCACAGTCCCTTCGCCTCGCCCACCCCCCCCCCTCACCTGCCTCCTTCAAGGTTTATTGCAGGTCAGACACAGACTAACAGTCTTTTGCCTCCACGCTCAGTATCACAAAGCTCGAAGCACCAATGTCTTCCACACATTGACTATCTAAAGGTCTGAATAAAACGGCCAACGAATGTTGAAATATTAGACCACATCCGGACGCCTCACTTCAGGGAAGATGTTCTGACGTTGGAGGGGGTGCAGAGAAGATTTTACAAGAGTGATTCCAGGTATGAGGGGCTTTAGTTATGAGGAGAGACTGAAGAAGTTGGGTCTGTTTGTGTTGGAGCGGAGAAGGTTGAGAGGGGACCTGATGGAGGTGTTCCCAACGCTTTCGGACGTCCTCCCGACGTGAAAGGCGCAGCACAAATGTGATTTTGTTCTTGTCGTCGTTGTACTAAATCGCGAGGTTTTTCACTCAGTAAATAAAAGGGAGAAACTATTTTCCACTGGTTAGCGATGGGGGGTCATAGTTATAAAATAATCATAAAACAAGCAAAAGGCGAGCAGGTGAATTTCTTTCACTTAGGCAGTTGCTGGGGTGTTGGCAAAAAGAACCAGAGGGGAGAGAATTACGATCAGGAATTCACTGCCTGAAAGGGCGGTGGAAGCAGATTCGATAATAACCTTCAAAAGGGAATTGGAATATGTACTTGAAAAGTTTTTTGCAGGACTATGGGGTAAAGAGCAGGGGAGTGGGATGAGTTTAGATAGCTCTTTCAAAGAGCTGGCACAGGCACGACGGGCCGAATGGCCTCCATCTGTGCTGTAATATTCTGTGATTCTAGGGGACGTGATAGAGGTGGAAGTAGGGAAAAACTAGATTAGGAAACAGGCAAAAACTGTGTCCGCTAGTCTGTGCTGAGGGGCCATAGTTATGAGATAATCACAAGACAAGAGAAAGGAGAGATTTGCTGGGATGTGGGAGGTGTTAAGTTGAGGTGGAGTCCATTGTGGGTTTCATTCATTTCAGCCATGAAATCAATGACCAATATTCCATAATTCACAACTGTATTAGGCTCCGTCCAGCCTGCTCCATGTTCCCGGCCCCACCATCAGTGGTCAGGCCTTCAGCCTCTCTGCCCCCATCCTATGGAACTCCTTCCCACAGTCCCTTCGCCTTGCTCTCTCCCTTGGCACCTTCCAAGGCCCGTCTCAAGACCCTCCTCTTCGCCCGCGTCTTCGGTCATCCTCCTACCCCTACCCCCTCCCCGTCCTCCACCCCTTCTGATCCCAACCCCCAGCTCGGGTCCAAATCCCTGACAGTCCAGCGCCTTGGGACGTCCTCTCAACGTGAGAGGCGCTGTGTAAATGTAACGTGTTGTTGTATTCAAGTCTCAGGTCCAGGAAAGTAATAATCCACCGCTCTTTTCTTCCCTTGTCTTTATTTGAAACACTGGTCACTGGACATGATGGTATATGTAGGGGAGAGGCTTGAAGAGATATGCGGGGTGGGACGAGTTGGATAACTCTTTCAAAGAGCTGGCATAGGCACGATGGGCCGAATGGCCTCCATCTGTGCCGTAATATTCTGTGATTCTAGTGGGAGAGCCAAATGACCAATATTGCACAATTCACAATTAGGAAATAACACTACAGCAAAAAGGAGCACATAGGTGGCTCAGGACGTATGTCCATGTGACCGCCAGGAAGGCGGAAGGCGAACTCGATGGACCTTGGTCTTTTTTTGTCTAGCATTTCTTATGTTCTTATGTATTGATGACTCTAGAGGTGAGAGTAAGATCTGATAGCCCACTGCACTGCACTTTCTTCCCTTTCTGTGTTTGAAGCCCTGGTCACAGTTTGCCACTAAACCAACAGGTCACACCATGAAGTAAATGACCAATTTATTCGGAAGGTTGAAGGCCAGGACACTGGGGAAAAAAATCCCTTCCCTTTCCGGAAAAACACAGGATCTTGAACGTTCGCCTAAACGGATGAACAAGACGTTAACGTCTCACTTGAAGGAAAGCACCTCTGACAATCACTGAGCACCGGACTGGAGCGGCGAGTCAGCCTAGACCAGGCCGGTCCATCTGGGCAGAGGGCTGCTTTCACCCTCTCTGCACCCTACCCCCAACCCCGTACCACCACATCTGGCCCACCCGGTCCCTCCACATAACCCCTAAGTGTTACGTTACGTTTCTGGAAGGGAAATGCCGCCCGCAGACCTTACTCAAGTAGGGCATCCAAAAGGTTAGACGCCCCCCACACTAGGCTCAGACTATGAACTCAAGTGTGAAGCAGAGGTGAGGGAGCTACCAACTGAGCCAAGCTCACACCTGTGTTGCTTCTCAGCTGAGGCAGCAACAGAATAACCGTCACTGTGTAAGCATCTACATTCTGAGCAGCAAAACAATGACTAGGACAGCGCTCGCTACTGCGGTTGGCATTTCTTGCTTAAGTCAGCATTTCAGTCCCCGATATCGCTCCATAATCTTAACGTGTCAGTCCAATCGACAGCAATCTCGCCTCGGAGTCAGACGTTTGTGGGTTCAAGTTCCACGTTGGGTTAATACTCAATGCGGTGCCGGGAGAAGCGCTCCATTGTCAGAGGTGCCGTCCTTTGGATAACGCGTTCAACCGAGATCCTATCGGCCTGTTCGGGTGAACGCTAAAGATCCTGTGGCACTATTCAAATAGAGAAGGGAGTTTCTCTAAGCGTCCCAGCCATCGATCCCCCAGATAAACAAGATTATTTATTCACTTCATGGCTGTTTGTGTGACATCGTTGTGCACACGTTGGCTGCTGCGTTTGCCTACAAATATACACTTTACAGAAATCTCTGCAAAGTGCTTTGAGAAGTCTCAGTGTAATAAGATTACAACAGCTATTATAATAATAATAATAGTAATAATAATCCTTGCATTTGATAGGACGCCTTATCACGTCAGCGAGACGTCTCAAAGTGCTTAACGGAATATGTACGCGCGAAGTGAATTGACTGTGTACTTCAAAGGCAAGGATTGTTATTATTTGTTTATCTGCTTATTTCCAGACATAAGCCCAGCCTACAACTCTTTCCCGTGGTCGCACGCGCTCTCCACTCTCCCGTCCCAGGAAAAATCCATCAGCGCTCACTACCTTGTCTGTGGAATGCTCTTCCCAAACCCACCATGGCCTCTCGCTCGCTCAGCCCCTCTCTCTCCCTGCTTTCATAAATATACTAACGTCTCGAGTCACCTCCAAATCCCGCTCACTTCTTGCTCAGTGTCCGGCTCTACTGTGGTTAAGCCCTTTGACATGACCAATGCACACATTGGCTGCTGTATCAAACCAAGGCTGTCGCACACGTAACACATCGGGACGGTCTTTCTTGCGTGTGATTTGAGGCCATTGAGTGCAACTTAAACAATGCACTGTGAACATTGGACAGATTCTGATTTGTAAATATAGCGTTTCGCAGACAAAATCACCCTTCTCCTCCCAATCTCCTCCAACAAATGGCACCGTAATTCCCATTTCCCTGCTAGATCGGGAGTGGGCAACACTCCACATCAAACGTACAAGTAACACAGCCATTATTCACCGGAGGGCGTGAATTTAGCCAGTTTCCTCCCCCCACCTGCCGAGGCAAGTGTCAGACATCAGGCTATTGTATGAAGCAGCTCAATATTAACACTCCCCCCACCAGACACTCCCTGCGGGACGTTATCTTTAATAATTTGGTCACTCAATCCACGACCGTTTGATGAACGCTGCTGTGCGCAATTGGCTGCCGGGTTTCACCCACAAAATATACAGTCAATTCAATTTACAGTATATTCTGTGAAGCGCTTTTAAACGTCTCGAAGACGTGATAAGGCGCTATATCAAATACAAGGATTATTATGTTATTATAACAAGGATTATTATTATATAACAAGGATATTATATTTATTATATCATTATTTCAAGGATTATTATATTATTCTAAAAGGATTATAATTATATTATTATTATAATGCACGGTTAGTGATGGAAATTGGATGAATATTCTTTACAGGTTTCCTCAGTGAAGCAGAGCACAGTGACGAGCGAGGGAACAATCAGAGAACAATTCAAAGCCAGAGCACGAGTTTGTCTGCAAAGTAAAATCAACACAGAAGGCCATCGGTAGGGCTGACTGTTCCCAGTACAGGACATAATACCTAACGCTGGAACTTGCTGTAGTGAAATTAACTATAGGGCGACTCCTAGCAAGAAAGCACGGCGATAGTCCAGGGCAGACGTCAGCGACTCAATGATTAACTCAATTGGATACTTGGCTACTGGGTTGAGATTGCCATCAGGTTTGGAGGTGGTTTTGAAGAGCTCTCGTTGATGGGGGAGGGCTGCTCTAAGCTCTTTTAGGTGCTCGGTACCCCCAAACGAATCAACCTATGCCTACCTGTGACTGCACGTTAGCTCCAACTTGAGAGCCCTGGTAAGAATCCCCATTCAGTGATTGCATGTTCATGAATAAGTCTCCAGAGTTTGGCATGTTAAAAGAACCAGAAGAACCTGGAAAGGAAAGAGTCAGGCACCTGAATCAGGCAAAGATTGCACAAAGTTCGTCCCATGAGCCGAGCACAGAGATAAGCTGAAGGTAGCCAACAGGTAGCGTTAGCTGATAGATGGAGCCACATGCACCCAAGGTACAAACAAGTGGAACAAACAGTCATACCATGCTTACGTAGTGTCATGCATTAAAAAGTGATCGGAAGATTATTAATAGATTTTAGAATTTACCCCCTTCGCTCACTGAAGTGAGAGGAAGAGATAAATTGTCGTCTCCGAGTTTTCAGGGCTCAATCCAGTTCCCTCCACATAGTTATATTTACAATAGCCTTTTCCAACTCCCAGCTTTGCGAGGATCCAATCAGTCCCGTTGGTTGCTGTTTTATTGCTGCTGTTGGACAGTTTGTGAGTAAGGACTGCATCCAGGTTACAGATTATATAGTGCAAGAAATCATGCAGGATTAGTAAATGTGGGACAACTGTGTAGTGGGTTGATGATGGGTGTGAGCCTCAGCTCAGGTCAGAGCCGGTCTGGTCAGGGGGGTGTGTATTGCCCTTGTTTGGGAGTACTTTCTCAGTTACTTGTATTGTGTCTCTAAGGAGCTTAGTTCATGAAACGAGAATCGGACACCCAACACATTTACCACCGATCCTACCAAGTCCATCAAGTACTGGTACTGTACGCAATGGACAGTCACTTGGCTGCCTCCATAAGGATCGTTTACTCACCGTTAAAAAGGCCGTCTACAAACCCCGGTCTACAATCAGCCAATCGATAATTACAGAATTAAATCCATTCCATTGCTTCTTAAATTGTATAAGTTAGACTGAGGTACAGCGAGGTCCTGTAGTTTAGGGGTTAGCACTCGTTTTGCGAGCGAGAGGGCCCGGGTTCGATTCCCGGGCAGGGCGAAACGTTGGGCAAGTTTCTTTACTCCACACACACGCCTCTGTTTACCCGGCAGTCAGTAGGAACCCAGTTGTTAGTCGATTGGTGGATTGCTTTTCTGGGGGTAATAATCCCTTCAAACATAATAATAATAATAATTTGGTCACTCAATTCACGACCGTTTCTGGGACTCCGCCGTGCGCAAATGGCTGTTGCGTTTCGCCCACAAAATATACAGTCAATTCACTTTACAGTATATTCTGTGAAGCTCTTTGAGACGTCTCGAAGACGTGATGAGGCGCTGTATCAAGTGCAAGGATTATTATTTTAATTAGGAGCATTTGTGATTCCCTTGACACATGTCTGTGTACGCCGCAAATCAAATGGTTTACATGCGGCACATTATCGAGCCCAGTGTTAGTATTTTATGTTGAATTCTCATTATACCTCTTCATGAGCGATGCCTTACAATACAGTACAAAATTAAATTACATTTGTATAGCGCCTTTCATATCGGGAGGACGGCCCAAGGCTTTCACAGGAAAACTACGATAGCTTTTCTGCTGGACAGTTTAGCTAGGAATTACTTGGCAAACCACATGCCTATTCTCCTTTCGTTAACCCTACCACAAAGGAACAACAGCTAAAACGGTATCTAAATAAAGTCAAGTTATTTAGCAAAAACAATAATTTGGTCACTCAATCTACGATCGTTTAGAATAATAATAATCCTTGTATTTATCTCACATTGTCGAGACGTCTCAAAGCGCTTCGCGGAATATACTGTAAAGTAAAATTGACTGTATTTCGTGGGAGAAATGCGGCAGCTGATTGCGCACAGCAGCGTCCCACACTGGATTTGAGTGACCGATTTTTTGTTTGGAGGGGTGGGAGGGATTATTATCTATTGTTTGCGCAATGGTGGGGTGGGGCGGGCCTGGGACGTGGAGACGGCTGAGCAGAGGGAGCGGACGGGTTGATAAGGGGGTTGGTGAGCAGGTCGCAGAGGTGGGAAGGAGCAATGCTGTGGAGGGCTTCCTTCGCTAACAGCACTGACTATTCCTCTCGGTTCAGGAAATCTCAGCCCGAGAGCAGCTGAGTATCCGCACGGGAACTCCAACCTGGAGACGAACAGCATTGCGATGTATTACGAGCCTCCGGCAGGCTCCCGTTCAGCAACTGGGAGCGACTATCAGTGAATCCCTCTGTGAACCCCCCCCCCACACCCACTTTTTACCATCGAGCTTCGTGGTGAGAAACACTTTGCGAAAGGTCAACCCCAATCTGAGCTGCACTCGGAGGGGACCCATTCCCCCAGGACAGACGCACCGTGTCTCAAGAACCTTAGACCCAGGTTACGAAGGCTGCGCCGGCTTTCCTCTCGGAGGACGGACTCTGCTCCACGTCCCCCGCCCTGCCCGCCCCGCCCTGCTCCCACCCTCTGTAACCCCATCCCAGTCACTTCGCTTCACCCTCTCCCTCGCCTCCTTCAAGGCCCGTCTCGAGACCGTCCTCTGCGACTGTGCCCTCGGCCACCCTCCCGATCCCAACCCCCAGCTCAAGTGCAAACCCTTCGCCGTTCAGCGCCTTGGGACGTCCTCCCGACTTGAAAGGAGCTATACGAGTGTAATGTGTTGTTGTTGTTAGATACTCAATCAAGCCTGGCACCCGGATTGACCAACATCCAGACCCCCAAATTGGATTCTTTTGAGTAAGCGAAACACGAGCTGACTCAGCAATTCCGTCCGGTACCAGGCTGAACCGTTCTAACAGGAACAGACAGAACAGTGCGCAATTGCTAAAAGAGTTAAAAGAACAACTAACCAATTGCCAAGTGATAATACGATTCCTACATTCACAAACTTTCCATCATTATTCTCATCAGAAATCTAGGATGAGGATTGGTAGTGATTTGGGGGGAGGGGGGGGGGGGTATTGTCACTGTGGATCAAGCGTTATTTATTTACAAAAAAGACTATTCCAACATTCGAAGCGGTTGTGGTTTTAAGCTGCACACTCGCCCTGATCGGTCTGCGTGGGAACGCTTTCGCGGAGACCTTTTCACAGAAGTTGCACAGACCCAATGGGCTAAATAAGCCTCTGAAACCTTCCACTTCGACCGTGCCTTCGGTCAGCCTCCCACCCCCGCCCTCCCTGCCCTCCACCCCCCCTCCCCTCCTCCTGGTCCCAACCCCCAGCTCGTGTCCAAATCCCTGACCGTCCGGCGCTTTGGGACATCCTCCCGACGTGAAAGGTGCCGTGTAAATGTCATTTGTTGTTGTTGCTGTTGAAGACTTTGGTTTCTAAATTGCAGCTCTTTGCTGAAACCTATTCTCGTGCTCTTTGATATTAAAACAGTTCGGGATCGAGTGTGCAGGACATTTCCTTCCGTGCCATGTTAATTCAAGATGATATCGCCACGTCACAGATGATCAGAAGTCAGGTCAGATTATTGACGTAAACAACAATCTGGAGTTTCTTGCAAACTGATGAGCTGATTTTTTTCAGCTTATCATCGTAGAAAAACAACACGTTCCTCATCCCCCAGAGGATCGAATTCAAGATCCTCATCCTCACCTCCAAGGCCATTCACGGCCTCGCTCCCTCCTACCTCTCCGACCTACTATCCCCATACTTACCTGCCCATACCCTCCGTTCCTCTGGCTCCGGTCTGCTCCACATCCCCCGCCCCAACCGCCCTACCATCGGTGGTCGGGCCTTCAGCCTCTCAGCCCCGAGGCTCTGGAACTCCATCCCCCAGTGCCTTTGCCGCTTCCTCCCTTTCCTCCTTCAAGGCCGGTCTCAAGACCTTTCTCTTCAACCGTGCCTTCAGCTCCCCTCTCGACTCTCTACCCCCTCCTCCCTCCCTCCCTTCCCTCCCCTCACCCTGACCATTTCTTCCCAATGCTCGGGTCCCGATCCAACTGTCCAGCGCCTTGGGACGTCCTCCCGACGTGAAAAGCGCTCTATAAATGAAATCTTGTTGTTGTTGCTTGTCAATTAGTTAACTAATTACTTATTAAGCTTGTTAGTCGATTGGGGGATCACTTTTTAGGGATAATCCCCCCCCCACACCACCACAAAAAAAAAAGTAATAATAATTTGGTCACTCAGTCCACGACTGTTTGTGGGGACGCTGCTGTGCACAATTGGCTGCTGCATTTCGCCCACAAAAGTATACAATCACTTCATTTTACAGTATTATTCTGTGAAGCGCTTTGAGATGTCTCAACGACGTGATAAGGAGCTGTACCAAATGCAAGGATTATTATTATTACTTATTCATATTATTATGACTTGGAATTGGAATAGTTCGCTCTTTCTATGTATACTTTAAAAACTCCTCGCAAAAACTATAACAGCTGAGGTGGTAAAACCTTACGCATTTCATGGGAATGACTCGCTCGTAAAATGTTGGGAGCCGAGACATGACATTAAATACACCTGCAGTGATAAGGCTCCGGCTGTGATTTAAAGCTCCCAACAGAAAGCTGAAGCTTGCCTTTAATCAGCCTGTGCCCTCTCCCCCACCTGCCTCTGGGACCCTATTACCCCAATCCTCGCCCGGCTCCACTGGCTCCCCATCACTCAGAGGATACAGTTTAGATGCGGGTGGGCCTCCAGCCTCTTTGCCCCCAACCCTCTAGAACCAAACCCCATCCCACAGTCCCTCTGCCTCTCCCCCTCCCTTTTCTTCTTCAAGACCCTCCTCTTCACCACGCCTTTGGTCACCCTCCTACCCCTACACTCCCCGCCCTCCACCCCGTCCTGATCCCAACCCCCAGATCCCTGACTGTCCAGCGCCTTGGGACGTCCTCCTGACATGAGAGGCGCTGTGTAAATGTCATTTGTTGTGGTTATTGCCTTTGGCTAAAGCGGTTTTCAATTGAGAAGCCAGGTGATGGGCTAAGGACCCAAAGCGTAGGACAAACATCTTAAAACGTGTGGGAAGAGGGGAAAAAAAAGGGAGGAAAGAGACGTTCTTAGGTGAAGGTTGGGTTTTGAAAGCTTGCTGACTGCGCACGATGGGACTTGCTTCCAGCCGTTTGAAAGCACAAAGCACATTCAGAAGAGAAACGCACCCAGGAAAGGATTTCCTTTTACTCTATTTGGGAGTGTGGGCACTTTAGTAGAATATATGCGCACGTAACACACACACATTTCTGGGGAGAAGTCGTGCTGGCAATCAATCGAGAATAGTAACTGTCTGAATTCCCCAAACTGACAAGGCACCAATACTCGTGCAGTTACCCCGAGAAAGACTGGCATTATTATTACTATTATTATTGGCATTGGAGGGTACCATTTCTGAGTTTATCGCCTATATTCTCGTATGAAAGTTAAATCACTACTCTTTCTTAAAAGCGATCTGATTTGTGTACATGTCCAGCGGAGTCCAAATGGTATGCGACGGCCTCAAGGGAATTTGCTTCCCTTCCATCACCCCGTGAGGCTATTTCTCGGAGTTGGACGGACACTGTAAATAGGATTATTTTAACATTGAATAATCTCCCTTTTAAACCCCCACCCGACTGCACGGTGCAATGTTTATTCAGCTGCACTGACCGCTCTACAGTACTTCCCTTGCAAGCAATTTCAGCTTTAATAAGCACAGTAATATGATTAATGATACCCAACATATACACGCACACGCACACACACACACACACGCGCGCGAGCAAATGGCATTGCTAGGATTAACGGCAGTTTTCTTGTCTCTGTGAACTTCAGAAGCTCACAGTCTCTTATCCCACTCTTTCTCTGCAGCATATCTACTTGGATGTGAGTGTCTAACGGAGACTTACCTGAATTGGGAGTGGAAGGGGAATTTGCCTGACTTCCTTGCTGGCCTACCACAGTTGTAGCATCAGCTGCGGTTTTGGCTGCGTAGAGGTTCGCCTCTTCCTGGAACTTGCCGATGTTCTTTTTATACCTGATTCGCTTATTACCAAACCAATTCGACACCTGTTTTAGAAGACAAAGCGCATCGATCACACACGTTTCACAAAACAGGAGGCAGGTTTCATCGCACAGAATCGACAGAGCAGCTCGTTCTTCTGAAGAGCTGCTTAACTCTGTTATATATCAAATGAGAAGTTACTTTTCCAATCGTGGATTAGAGTTAACACTGTGGATTGTGTATAAAATATAACCAATTAAGTCATTTTGGCTATTCGTATATTGTCAGATGGGCAAGTGTGGAGAGGTTGGTAACTCAACAACGGTAACTCCTTCACACAACTCCTACTCTATAGGTCTTCAGCTTCTAACTGCAGTGGATTCTCACTATAACCTGGTAAATAAGAATTGCCAGACGCAAAAAGTTTGCCTTTTACCTTCCTGGTAGTCGCATGCTTCGAGAATGCAGATGTTAATGGCAATTAATTCTGTACGGATCAGTCTATAGCAGAGTGGGAAGCTTTGGGGACCTTAGATTCAAAATTGCCTGGTTCTTCTAAGCCATACTACACTTGCTGTTGTACGCAATTGGCTGCCACCTTTCACCCACAAAATACACAGTCAATTCACTTTATAGTATATTTTGTGAAGCGCTTTGAGACGTCTCGGAAGACGCGATGAGGCGCTAATTTGTGTTGATGCTGTGAAGGGAACACAGTAGGATGGGTATCCTGCAAAGGTTAGATCAGATAGTCTGAGGGTCTTCTTCATCCAAACCAATCTTGTGATGGTGTGAAAGCTTGTGGGAAATGAGTAGACCTGCACAGTCAATAGGGTTCACACGACAACCCCATCACACCAGTCCTTGCCAGGTTCCCAATTACCGAAAGGATTGATTTCAAGATCCTCTCACTCGTTTTTAAATCCCTCCATGCCCTCGCACCTCCCTACGTCTCCGATTCGTTTACCCCCCCCCACTCCCCCACCCGCTGCCTCCGCTCGGCCAGCTCCGGCCTCCTGTTTGTCCCTCGTCCCCTCCGCTCCACCATCGGTGGCTGTGCCTTCAGCCACTACGCCCCGAAACTCTGGAACTCTCTTACTCAATCCCTCCGCCTCCCCCCCCCACCCCCCTCCCTCCCCACCTTCAAATCCCGCCTAAAGACCTTCATTTTGATCGTGCTTACAGTCCGCTCCCTCCCTCTCCTCCTGGCTCGGGGTCAGACTCCGCAACTGTGAAGCGCTTTAGGAAGCTAAACCGCGTGAGAGGCTCTGTATAAATGCAAATTATTATTACTGTCATAACCCAAGTTAACACTGCAGGAGAAGTGCATTATAACAGAGCTGCTTTGTAGTACTTGAAAGAGATTTTCAATACAACCAGAGTCTTTCGTGGAGGTCCCTCGGCCCTTGTGAATGGCCTTTAACTATAATAATAATCCTTGCATTTGATAGAGCTCCTTATCACATCTTCGAGCTGTCTCAAAGCGCTTCACAGAATACATCGTAGATTGTAGTGACTGTTATGTTTTGTGGGCGAAACTCGGCAGCCAATTGCTCATGGCAGCGTCCCACAAACAGTCGTGGAGTGAGTGACCAAATTCTTCTTATTTATTCATTTTGAAGGGATTGTTTCCCCCGGAAAGCGATCTGCTAAGCAACCAAAGAGCACGTTCCTACTTACTGCTAAGTAAACAGAGGCGTGTGTGCGGAGTTCGAAAACTTGCCTGAGATGGTAAAAGAGAATTTGTGAAAAAAAAAAGAACTAATGCCTTAACTGAGGACATCTCCCTGCGGGGTAACCACACACCAGAACAACTAGTGATGATTTTCCTGGAGGGTACGGGAGGCGGAGAAGGAGGAGGAGGTAAGCAGGGTATTCTAGGGGCTGAGATGGCTGCAAGATGATGCATCTGGCAGTGGCGTATCGGAATTGAGTCAATCTTTCGGGGTGGTCTCGGTAGTCCTTGGTAGCTTAGTGGGCCCACAGTCGCTGCTACATGGCAGACCAGCCAGCCCACCTCATCAGCGGGCCTCAGAGGGGCAGACCAGTCCCCGGGGGCACCGATTCTTCCCACTCGGCTCCTGTTTCCATCGCCCAATCAACAACAACAACAACAAGATTCCATTTATTGAGCGCCTTTCACGTCGGGAGGACGTCCCGAGGCGCTGTACAGTTGGGTCAGGATCCGAGCATTGGGGGGAAATGGTCAGGGTGAGGGGAGGGAAGGGAGGGAGCGAGGAGGGGGTAGAGAGTCGAGAGCGGAGCTGAAGGTCAAAGAGAAATCACTCCGCCTCGCCCCCCTCCTCAGCCTCCTTCAAGTCCCGCCTCAAAACCCTCCTCTTCGCGTACCATCGGTCACCCCCCCTTCCCCTCCCATCCCTTCTCCCCCCCCCCCCGACCCCAGCTCGGGTCTGAAATGCTGCACACTGTCCAGGGCCTTGGGGCGTCCTCCCGACGTGAAAGGCGCTATACACATGTAATCTTGTTGTTGCTGTGGTTGTTGTTAACCCTGTAAGCCAAAGCGTAATAGGTGGTCCTAGTTGGACAAGCAGCGGGAAGCTTGGCAGACCTACCCGCCACGAGGGCAAGCTTACCCGGTTAGCTTCCAGCAGTTACCACAATATACACTTAGCTCCTGCCGGCCTGTGCCTAACATTTTCCAGAATTTAGCTAAGCACAGTGCATACCTCCAGGACGAGTGCACATTCCATTCCAGACGCAGCGATATCTCTACGTTTAAATGGAATTCGTGTGCGGAACCCATGAATGTGCCTGGTTTGGATACTCTCAAGCGCGGTGATGGGTTTCCACGTGTGTCGGACACCCGGCTGACCAAAAAAACACACCAGATGCTGTGGCTTAGGCAGCAGTAAAGAAAAGGGAGCTCATACTATTCTTTTCCTTGAAATAAAACCGCCGCGTGCCGGACACAAAACTGCCGACACGAAAAGGGAGGGAGGCCTTACATTCACGACTGTTTGTCGGACGCTGCTGTGCGCGATTGGCTGCCGGGTTTTGCCCACAAAATGCAGTCAATTCACATTGCAGTATATTCCGTGAAGCACCTTGCGACGTCCTCCTGACGCGAAAGGCGCTGTACAAATGTCATTTGGTTTTGTTGTCTTGATGCCCATAGGATTCAATCAACTATCGGAATTCACTGAGCGCTGTTCGAGTTCCTTTATGCCTCCGAATCAGACTGAATTAGACTCCCTTGAGCTTAGAAGGTCGAAGAGTGATCCGATTGAGGTGTTTCAAATCATAAAGCGTAGCTATAGAGAAACTATTTCTTCTGGTGGGAAGAATCCAGGACAAGGGGGGCATGATCATAAAATTAGAGCTGGGCCGTTTGGGAATTAAATCATTTTTTCACACAAAGGCTAATGGAAATCTGGAACTCTCTCCCCCCCTCAAAAGGCTGTGGATTATGGCTGAATCCATTCAAATTTTCAAGACTGAGGTGGATAGATTTTTGTTACGTCTGTTTTGTTATTATTATTATTATTATTATTATTATTATTATTATTATTATTATTATTATTATTATTATCATCATCATCAAGGGAAATGGGGCAAAGGCTAATTGGAGTTGAGGTACAGATCAGCCATGATCTTATAGAATGACGGAACAGGCTCAAGGGGCTGAACGGTCTCGTCCTGTTCCTATGTTCCGAGATAGTACAGGGCCTCGATCTTGTCTCAACTAACAATGGAAACCCTTCAGTGACTTATTGTCAAAGACATACAGCCAAGACGTAGTCAGTGTGTCTGCCTCACAGAAGAAATAGATACTCCAGATTTCTTTATGGATGTAGAAGCAATTTGGGAAACAGTAAGCAAGCAGAAAAGATGCGTGAATAGATGAGATAAAGGTACAAACAATAACACTATGTCACACTAGAATCCAGTCACGTGCAGTCACATCTGGGCTTCCAGATGGCACCATACAAGATAAGAGAGACAGACAACTGGTTTCATATCATTAAACCTCAACATAGGAAGGATTACTATCTTTGATTATCTAGAGGAGAAATTTAACACAAACCAAGTGAAGAGAAGGTGCTAAATACAATTCTGTGATGGATACGTAGCTGTTTTTTCCTGTTTTAATCCCATTCACCAACTGCTGGTCTTTTTAACTCGGTAACTGAGCTATCTTAGTATTTATGTACATTTCAGGGGCTCGACGGAAACTGCTCCTGAATTAGGTTCAACACCGCTGGTATAAAGAAACCTCAATCCACGAGTGTTTGTGGGGACGCTGCTGTGCGCAATTGGCTGCCGCGTTTCACCCACAAAAATATACAGTCAATTCACTTCACAGTATATTCTGCGAAGCGCTTTGAGACGTCTCAACGACGTGATAAGACGCTACATCAAATGCAAGGATTGTTATTATTAAAACATCTCATTTAAACTGGCCGTAACTGTATCTGCGTGGCTTCAAGGTAATGTTTTTGACAGGAGAATGTTGGAATCGAGTCAACCCTCTGCGGTTGGTAGCCTGGTTTCGGGCCAGGAGATGTACTCTCAGGCACTGCTGATGGCAGACTAGCCAGTCTGGCTCATTGGCAGCACTTGGGAGGGACAGGCCGGTCAATGGGAACAAGAACTCTTCCCCCCGAGGTCCCGTTAACCCTGCAAGCCAAGGCCCCCAATCGCTAGGCTGATCCCAGCGGGACAAGCTTATCAGACAAGGCACTCAATACCACGTTATGGTTAAATTCCAGCAGAACCCCAACACACTCTAAAACACTAAGCGTTGACTTTTTGCCAATCTACACATAACAGTCCAGCATTAGTTAAGCAATGACAGCAACAACAAATTGTACTTGTGTAGGATTTGTATTGTGCCTCGAGGTCGGGAGGACGTCCCAAGGCGCTGGGCAGTCAGGGATTTGGACCCGAGCAGGGGGTTGGGATCGGGAGGGGTGGCGGGCAGGGAGGTTAGAGGTAGGAGGTGACCGAAGAGGAGGGACTTGACACGTACCTTGAAGGAGTCAAGGAAGGGAGCGAGGTGTAGAGACTGTGGGATGGAGTTCCAAAGGGTGGGGGCAGAAAGGCT